AAATCCATCAAAAAAGTGTATAAAAAATATTCGTATAATAATTTTAGCCAAAATAAAACTTTGCTTTCTCTTTTTATTTTTATTTTTCTTGTTTTTTGTTTTTGTTTTTCACGCTGCGTAAACACCGCTATTAAATTCGAACTGACCCCAAATGCTGACCGAACTCGGACCCAAAGCCATCAAGCACCCAAGCTGCAATCCACCACCCCGAAACCCTGCCCCTGCCCCTACCCCCACCTAACCCTCTAGTCCAGTAAACGGGCAAATGGGTAAACGGGCGGTGCAACAACCTCGTTTAGTTGCAGCAACGACCTTGACTTAGTTTCATTTTTACATTTTCTTAGAAATAAAGAAGAAGCAGCAGGGAAACGCTAAGCCAAGCCAAATATGTAGGAGAAGTCTTAGGAAGGCTAAGACAGAGAACCCCTCCCCTCCCCCGCCAATCAGTAGCAAGTGGTGTAACTCTCGCGAATATCTTGTCTTATTAATAAGGCTTAAACCTTCTAACGGCAATTTAATTGCAGCAACACCCCCACCCCATAAGTTCACCATATGATCGGGGGGGTGGAGGAAGGGGTTCTATGACAGCAAACTAAAAATAAACAAATGAGCCAAGAAAAAAAACAAAAAAAAACTAAGAGTTTAGGCAGCAGCTGACCAGCGCCTGCGTAGAGAGAAAGAGAGAGAATGTCAGAGAGTGAGAGAGAAAGTAAGAGAGACAGTGAGGAGCTTGACAGAGAGCGAGAGAGTGAAATAGACCAAAATGATTGTTGTGGCTGCAGAAGGATTTCAAGGAAGTGAAATAGCTGCAGACAGCATTTTTCACACACAAAGTTTCCTATTTTCTACCTCTTAGTGCTGCTGCTCTTCTTCCCGCTGCTGCTCTGTAGCCCTTATCCACCTCCTACTCCTCTCAGTGTATTCCCTAGCTGTCACTTCCTCTCCGTGTTCATTTTTTGCCTCTGTTTGTGCTGGTGTTGGTGTCCGTGAGAGATTGAACTGCCCTCCTGCACACACTGATTTTCTATTTATTTTTTTTTTGGGGGAAACCTTCGCTTTTGATTTTACGGAATTTTTGCTACGAAATTTCCAGGAATTTATAGGTATTCTGTGGGAAAAAGTCTTTGACACAACCAGGCTGCATGCTGTAGTTTGCATATTTTATGTAGCATAATTGGGCTTGGAACTTGCTGTTAAAATTAATCTAAAATTTCTTGAAAATTAAAAAAATATAGAGATGACCGTAAAATATATTATCTACCATATAAAGAGAATATATTGTGTTATAATATCTTTTGAAATGACTTAAAATACCATTTTAAAATGATATTTACAAATAAGAACTGTAGGTAATCCAGCGGCAACTAACGCTTAATATACCTAATCCAAAATTAAATTCTCATCAATGCTCATCAAACATTTAATGGAAGAAATACGTGAAAAATTAATATTCAAAGAAATTAAGCATTAATTGTGGACTTGCCGCAGCTATAGAAAAATTCACGAATATTGATTACCATTTTATTACCGAAAATACACGTAATAACACCATCATTTACAATAATTACAATCGGTCCAAGTCAAAACTACTTGCGGGAAAATAAGCATAGACCAAAGGTTAACAGCAAATGGCCATTACTTAGAGTAAACGATCTGGTTAATAAACACAAACAATTAATGAATTTTAGCTACAAGAATAGAGTGGTATTATTACATGAACATGAACGCTAACTTCAATATTAATAACCGCTCTTAATTAAATCAATAAATACTTGCACATACCTAAGCTAAATTATTATTACTGAAATTAGATTTGTATAGAAATCATTGTACAAATTCATTTAAATATTCTTTCCGAGATGCATATTTCTCCGTACTCTATTGTCAAGAGAAACTCCAATTAATATATTAACACATATTCCTATTATTATCTAGGGGGCGGTTTATTATGTCCTGTGGCCCATAAGAACTGCTTATTTTTGTAGTCATTTATTCTTTTTATTATCTAGACGGGTCCTGCCACTTATGATGTATTGTACGCCACACTGAGCTCCACCACCACTCCACGCACTCGAAATTTAAGCTCGAAGACATAAGTACACACATATATGTAGCTTGGGGGGAAGTTTCCTATTTCTTAATTAAGAATCTCGTGTTGCCATATCCACACAAACATATAGCACATTTATTTACATGGACACTTTCGTTGCCATAAAATCTATTAATACTTTTAATTGCTTTGCCTTTGGGCCTTGTGTTATTGCTTCGTTTTATGATAAAAACAACTTGCAAGATTTAATGTTTTCCCTTCATTTGGCGGTGCACTTGGTTCAAATGAACCAGTTCCGTGGCTGAACACTCTCAAATATTCCTAGCCATGTGCTCTGGCGTACGTATTAGTAATGTTTCCCTCAATGTGTGTGTGTGTGAGGCAAAGTGTTATATTGACATTTGGCTACATAATGATTTATGCTGCTGCAGGGCAGGCAGGCAGGCAGGCAGGCAGGCAGGCAGGCAGGCAGACAGCAGCATCATCATCATCATCATCGATGAGCACTCGAGAACGAACGATCCTTAACGCCGTCGCCGTCGCGTAGTCTCCCTGTAATCCCTGCTCTTCCACTTGGCTGCTATTTTGCGAGGCATGGCCATAATTTATTTTTTATATGTAAAACAACAAAAACAGGAAGGAAGGAGGAGGAGGCAACTATTACACATTTTGAACGGTTTCTATTTCGGGAGGGCACTGCGAGGGGCACTGTGTGTGTTGGTGGGGCAAGCGAAGGGCAAACGCAAACGCTGGAAAGCATGCTATGATTTCTGTTGCCACTCTCGTGGCCGATGCGTGTGGCAAATGGATGGAGGGGGGGAGGGGCCTGGACTGGATGGATGGGGATGGGGATGGGGATGGTTTGAGTGTTTGGGTGGCATTTCGTGTATACAACTAGTTAAATAAATTTACACTTGACCCACCTTTTTATTCGCTATACACACATATATACATATGTATGTGTGCATGTGTGTGTGTTTGTGTGTTGGCTCTGTTTTTTTTTCCTAGTTTCCAAATGCACGGCGGCACACAGCGTTCACGTAGTTTCTATTTCCCTTTCGTCGCGCAAAAATCTCTCGAAAATTGCCTTTTTATATGCTTTTAAATGTTGCACATGTGTACGTTTGTATGCTTGTGTGTGTGTGTGTGTGTGTATGTTTTTTGTGAGAGGGTGTCGAAGTGTGTGTGTGAATGGGGGTGGTGGTGTTGGTGTTGGTGGAGGGACGGCAATGTGAGAGGCAAGGCTCGCCTGCTCTTGCTCTTCCTCGTCAGCAGCGATTCGATGGCAGGTTCATTCATGGGCCAGGATTCAGGCCCAGGATTCAGGCCCAGGACACGGACTGTCGTCGCCTGTCCGTCGCAATGTCCGTGTGTGTGTGATGTGGCACTGTTGTTGTTGTTGCTGTGTATGTGTGCCGCAGCATATTTATGAAGCACAAAAACGCTTTTGCTTTCCACGTTTTCCCTTCTTAGCACAGTCCAATTTTTGCGTTTAATTGCAATTTTTATTTTATTTTTTTGCACACAAACACTTTGCTTTGCTCTCCGCTCTTCTCTCTTGGGGTATTTTTCAATTTTCCATCTGCATTTTCATTTTCGATGGCAGTAGCAGCGGCAACGGCAGCGGCAGCGGCGGCAGCACAAAACAATTTTCATTTCCAGCGCACACAAAAATCATTACTCAGTGCGACCGAAAGTATGCACGCTTTTCCCATTTTCCGCTGTCTTTTCGGGCCATGCTGTGCTGCTGCCTTTCAACATTTGCTCGCACTGGCACTCACACTGGCACACTCACACTGAGGCTTGGAGATAGGCTGGGCCGCACACGTACACACACACACACACACACACATACACAGGAGAGGGAGCGAGTGGTGTGGTGTTGGGCAAGGGCGGGGGGTACAATGCAAAGCAGCAGCAGCAGCAGCAGCAGCAGGAGCAGCGACAGTGGCAGTGGCAGCGACGTAGCAATGGATAACGCAACGACAAAACGCAAAACGGACTACGGACGACGCCAAAAACGACCGACGCGACGCACACAAACACCGAGCAAACCCACAGAGAACCGACAGCGTTGAAAGCCAGCAAACGACTGACTGAGAGCAATTGGAGCTCCAAGATGCACAGCAAGAGAGAGAGCGAGCGAGTGAGAGGGAGAGCGAGAGCGAGAGCGCCAAGTCTACCCGGAAAGGAGAAAGTGTTGGCAGGAGAGAGAGAGCGCTGCTGCGTATGTCCTTTGCAGACTCTGTTCCCGGAACTAGCTCGCTGCAGGCATACGCTGGAGAGCGGGAGAGAGCACAGCACGCAGAGAGAGTGCAGTCCGATTACACTGCAAATAAAAGGACAAAAACTTGAGAATAATAACATAAAGAATATAAATAATATAAGAATAATATGTAAGGAAATGCTGGAAAGCCCAAGATTTACACAGAAAAGTTTTCAATATTTGATGAAATATTTTCGATTTATCAAGCTAGTTCCAGTAACAAGTATAGACTGATGCTTACCCGTCTTCTATATAGTTGTCTTCTATAATGATTAAGCCAACATTTCTGACAGTGCCATGGATTTATGATATGGATAGACAATAATGAAAGTTAAAAGAGCGCTGCAGCTGGCTCTAAAAATACTGAAGACTGAATCACATACAGAATTCTTTGTCTTCATATTTGGAATCGAATTTTGATGCCATTTTTCCAATATATCCCTCCATAAATCGTATTCAAATATCAATGATATTAAATCCAAAATTCGATGCGCACATTGCCAGTATTGATGGATGATTAAGTGCTTTTTCCCGCTGTGTAGTGGCTTGTCTTCGATGAGAGCAAATAGTTGGGCTGATAAGCCAGACCGACCAGACCGACCGGACACGACCGGACCCAGACCTATGCGAATCTATTGTATTGTATTGGATGTGTCTGGCCGATCGATCGATCAGTCGTGCCCAGCACGTTAACACGAACGAACGTGTGCGCAGATCGGTAGAGCGATAGAGCTATAGAGAGTGTATGAGCTATAGAGAGAAATCAGAGCCGAGTGTACGCGTACATATAAAGTGCAGTAGAGCTATACTAAGTATAGCTTCTATTTCGATCTGTCTTGTGTCTTTAGTCAGCATCAATATCAACCGAAAATGGAAAGGTACACTATACACTGTGGCCACATATATTTGTAGCTAATGATAATGATTGCAAGTATTTTGTTCTTCTACTTCTACTTCTACTTCCACCCATGAAGCTTCTGGCAAGAGTTGAAATCATTACTAAAGACCTTACTCTGCTTTGTGGTGGCTGTGATGCTAATGCCTTTGCTGCTCTTATCGTTCCTATGTAAGTGATCATCGACATCATCATCGGACATTATCATCATCTCCCCAGCAACGATCCAGTGTACCAGATGATGATCGATTGATTCAGTTCGACACGCGCTACCTACGCTGATAAGACGAACGATCCCTCTGACCGACCCCCATAAAAATCATGGAACATCAAACACGACGACCGACTATATAAATAAACGAGGCATGGGTTGATTAACCGATTCCACTCAGCCAAAGGATAGCCAAGCTCTACCATATAATTAGCTCCTCTCTTCGAACGATGCCAGCGTAAAGGAGAGCGAGAGTGCTACAAAATAGAACGTTCCACAGATAAGAGCTTATTCGTTTTTGTTTTGTTTATAAATAATAAATAATAGAGATTACCTGTTGCACCTTTGACGGCACCCAGACGAGCGGCCTAGCGAACCTTGACCAACTGAATTACTCATACAAATTTTTGCAGGAGATAAGCTTTCGGGTGTGCGATAATGCTCGCGGCTCGAGGTTTGCCCATCTATTCATACTCCAAGCAGCTACATATATTTTTGTTCATCTTCTTTGCTTGGCAGGCGCACACTTTGGCAACGAGCTGGCCAACTACATACTGAGCATCAAGTATCCCAATCTGACCATCTCCAAGTCGAAGAAGATTCGCACATTGATCGACACTCAGAAGAATGCCGGCATCTTTCACTTTCTGCTGCAGGTGGAGGGCGCCTGCGACTTTGAGCTGATCAAGCGATCGTATGCCCAGCACCTGACGGATCTGCGCGACAAGACGGGCATGCTAAGGTTTCCCAAGCTGCGACAGAAGCTGGTCAACTGTTGGGGTCACTATGCCTGGGTGAATGATAGCAGGTAAGGGGATCGTCCCATCCAATCATCGGTCAATACGCACTGATCTAATGATATTTTATGGGCAATTGCAGTGGCTTCAACATCAGCAACCACGTGCTACTCAGCAACCACAAGTACCGCGGTCGAACTGTCAACGAGTCGAATATCCAGGACTATGTGAGCGAGCTGGCCACCAAGTACATACCCTCGGACCTGCCCCAATGGCAGGTGATTGTGATACCCAGCTCGGACAGCGCCCAGCCCTACTACATTCTGATCAAGCTGCACCACCTAATCATCGCCGAGGAGGAGGATCTGCATGTGGGCGAGATGCTGCTGCTGCACGACACCGAAAAGAGCACCGTGATGACCCTCACCGATGGCGGTCTCGGCCAGAGTCCAACCCAGCAGCTGTCCCACTTTGTGCGCCAGCCGGAGCACATCAGTCGACTGGTGCATCATGTCATGCACTTGGTCATCTGTCGCTGGCAGCAGTTTATCTACGAGTTCGAGTCCCTGGAGACGCCCGATGGCGCCTCATCCAGCATCCAGGTGCGGTCGCTCAGTCAGCTGTTGTCTCTGATCCTTATTGTGCTGGTGAATGTGGTGCTGGGGTACTGGCGCAGTCGCTCCAAGCTGCTCAAGCTGAAACGTCGTTCCAGTGGCCATAGGAATGATGTGGGGCGCCTAATGACGATTCGATTGCTGCTCAAACGCGAGCTGGAGCAGCGCAATCTCAGCTGGATGGTGGCCAGAATGGCCCTGTACAATAGTCTGCAGCCGACGAATCTGGCCAAGGTCTGGACCCGCTTCATGTGGCGGCTCAATCTCAATCATGTGCTGCTGCTGCCGTACCACTGCTACTGCGAGGCCCTGGCCCTCAGGGATGTCCTGCTGAGGGGTCAGACCCGCTACACCTCCACCTACTGTGCCCGGCTGCATCTGTATGTGCCGCTGCTGCTGTACGCCCAACTGGAGCTGTTCAAGATATGCTGGGAGCTGTTCAAGGCGCCACGCAACATCTACGAGGTGCTGTTCGAACAGCCCACCAGAGAGCTGAATATTCTGCACAAGAAATCCTATGCGGGCAGGAAAATAGTCTCCTTCAGTCGCTCCATCGATGGCACCCAGCTGAGGGACCGACATCGGGGCAGGTTCAACGATCAGCTGCGTGAGTCGGACTTCAGTCTGACGTGCCTGGCCGGCGCCGTGCACGATTACTTCAACACCTTCGCCGATCTGGCGCCAGTGCCCTCGCTGTTGAACACCACTTGTAGGACCATTTCGAAGGGATACTTCACCGATCGCCGGGGCGACAAGTCCAAGCATATTGGGGGTGTGGTCTTCCTGCAGCTGCCACTGCGACAGCCGGATGAGGAGCATGCCCGGCACTTGCACGGAATTGTGGAGCGCATCCGGCGGCAGCAGATCATGATCTATTTGGCCTCGATCGGCCAGACCAAGTACAGCATGCTAACGGCCCTCCTGCCGCATGTCCTCACCAAGATCTTCATCAACTTCTTCTCGTACAATTTTCCCATTACGATCACAGAGATCTATGGGTCCACGGCCGAGTTCCAGTCGGCTTGGGGCCAGAGGGTGCAGGATGTGCTGCTCTTCAGGCCACCGCAATCGAAGACTTGCCTCTCCCTGAATCTGCACCGCTTCGGGGATAAGTACAGGCTGGCCATAATGGCGGACACCCATCTGGCGCCTGATCACACGATCATAACCCGATCGTTCGAACGATATATGGAGACAGTCACACTCTGATTCCACAACGAAGATTCTCTGTTTCCTTACACAAAATACAATTATGGGGGAACTCAAATATCACAATATCAAGTATACGAAATAAAAACTATTAACTATTAAAATGCAAGTTTTTATGGAATTATTTATGGAATCTCATATGATTAAAAAAAAATACATATTACAAACAAATTAAAAAATATATTTAGAAAACAAAAAAAAAAAAATAATTAAATATTAATTTTAAAAAAAAATTAAATATTATTTAAAAAAAAAAAATTAAATATTATTTAAAAAAAAAAAATTAAATATTATTTATAAAAAAAAATGAAATATTAATTTTAAAAAAAATTTAATATTAAAATAAAAAATTTAAAAAAAATTAAAAATAAAAAATAAATTTTAAAATTAAAAAAATTAAAAATAAAAAAAATTAAGTATTAAAATAAAAAATAATTAATTTAAACTTAAAAATAAAATAAAAAAAAATAAAATTAAGTAGTCACAAATAAATCACGGAAATCAGACATCACCTGATGACCGTGTGGCTAGAACCAGTTGGGAATTGCAAGGGCATAGAACTGGGCAAAATGTTTTCCAATGTGTTCTTGGTGTACAGCTCCCCCACAAGCCACGGTATCCGAAAACAGAAAGTGCTGTTGCTTTGACTGTCTTTGATCAATTCGTTCAGTTTCATTTAGCAAAGTAGCCCTGCTATGAAAGTCATCAGTGTGTGAACTTTTATACTGTACAAACTCGAATCGATTGAAACATCAACAGTCTCCTCTCGATCTACATATGTCTAAAAAAGCCCACAATTTCTGCTCGGATTTTAATACGCAATTCTACAAGTCGAAGAGTGGAGAGAGAAAGCCGATTGGCTCGTTCCTACAACTTCCAGCAATGGAAAAACCGCCAAGCCACAGCAATGGGGCACCAGTAGGTGAGGGGATGACACAACGGGACCTGGCACGAGGGTTGGTACTTGAGAAGATGACTCCAACCGATCTGGAAAACCTAAAATGGCCAACGAAGAGATCTGAAATGCAGAAAGAGCGGAAAACTTCCATGCAGGATCAGATCCAGGCACAGGAGCGTGTGTGCTCGCATAAATCCGGTGTGCAGCGTAGCCAACAGCAAAACGAACAGCCTCCACAACAGCGACATGTGCAACAGTATCAGAAGACTTTTAATCAGAGTCCTGGCAATCAGCCGCAACAGCAGTATCTGGAGAGTAAATACCAGAGTCCTCACATGGTGAAGCAGCAGTATCATCAGACTTCGTATGCGAGTCCTCCCCAAGAACAGGCACAGCGTTATTACACCCCCATGAAAGCACCTCCCAACAAAGCCAGCTCCAATGGTAAGGATCTCACACATTTTGGCCTCCTGTTCAATACAGTTTTACCTTTCTAGGGCCAGAGCCAGAGCACTCCAACACATCCTCTGACGAATCTTCGTACGAGGAGAGTATTCAGAAGTGCCTGGAACTCATGCCTAAGCATCGTCAGTCCAACGCGCCCCTGGGGCCGAAAAAGCCAGAGTTGCGTTACCCAGCCGATTTGGATATTGATGAATATATCCGTGAACTCAGAAACAATTCACCATTCACAGCGTACATGGAGAATGGCCCCAAGCAGCAGAATCCTACCCAGCAGACCCATCAGCATGAGCCACGTCACGTATACCACACGGAGAACGGCCCCAAACAGCAGACATATCAGAATCCAACCCAGCAGACCTGTCCGCATGAGCCGCGTCACGTATGCCACACGGGGACTGGCCCCAAACAGCAGACGTATCAGGCTCCTACCCAGCAGAGCTGTCAGCATGAGGCACGTCACGTATGCCACACGGAGAATGGCCCCAAACAGCGGACGTATCAGGCTCCAACCCAGCAGATCTATCAGCATGAGCCCCGTCAGAGTCCTCCTCAGAATATGTCTGAACAGCAGAAACAACGTAATCAAAGCGAGATGAAGACCGATAAGAACGTTCAGCAGAGTGTTCCCCTGGTGCCGGATCTGTGGGACACAGAGAATGGGGGGAAGCTGCCAGCTGAGCATGCGGACCGTCTGCAAGATTCATGCGAGAAGCATGGCAAAGCTTCCATCGCACAGCCGGAGCAGAGTGGCTGCCAAAAGCTCAAACAAAATAAATATACCAAATGCGGACTGTCTAGTGGCGGGAGCAGCACCAGTGCAATGACTGTGATCAGTCGTAAGAGCGGGGAAGAGCTGCGTTTCATGGTCCGTGACGAGCTGCGTGGCCTGGTCCGCGACGAGGCTCAATTGCAGACGGTGTTCGGTCAACTGACCGAGAGTGTGGTGTGCCATGTAAAGGACTATTTGTGCGGCGTGTCACCAACTGAAAGCAGCCCGGTACAGTCCACAACTTCACGCCAGTATTCGCCCAAAGGTAATACCCTGGATATCCGGAAGCAGGAGACATATCAAATCCAGAACAATGCATCGCCAACCAAAGGCCAACCGACCAAAGTGGAAGAATACCCCCCAATGCCGTCTACTCTTCGGCCTAAGAAGCCAACGTACAAGTTCATGAAGAATTTGGCTGATCAGGATTTGACACAGAATGGTATACAACAGACGTATCAGGAGCAGCCACAGGAACAGACACAGAAGCAGCCACAGAAACAGCAACAGGAGCAGGCACAGCAGCAGCCACAGAAACAGCCACAGAAACAGCCACAGAAGCAGCCACAGAAGCAGCCACGGGAGTTGTCACAGGAGCCGCCACAGGAGCCGCCACAGGAGCCGCCACAGAAGCCGTTTGGGCACAACCAAAAGAAACATTCGCACTGTCACTTGCAGCTGGAGGCCCAGAAGAATCCTCAACAGAAACAGCAACCAAATGAGCAGAAAGCTCCTCGATTCTCCTGCTTGAGCCATATACTCGAGAATGATGATGAGGACTCTAATTTCGGAGTGGATAATAAGACAAACGCACCCCACAAGTGCACGGACTATCACGACAAAGACTGCCCAAAGGACAAGCAAAAGAATCCCAAACATAAGCCATTTTCCACGGCCAGTCACGCCAGTTGCAACAGTTACACTTCGATCAGTTCAAAGAGCGGCAACGAGCTGCGTTCCATGGTCCGAGATGAGATGGAACTGCATTCGGGGCGCGGCGACCAAGCCTCGAGGTGCAGTCAACACTCAAGGATCAAGCCTCATTGCAAGGGCCTGAAGGAGAATGTGTCCACACATTCACTCTCGCATCCGAACACAGATGACACCCGTCCAGGGTTCAAGAATTCGGCCAGAGTTGAGTCTGCACCTCGTAAGGGCAAAGGAGCCACCACTGAACCGACAAAAGAGGAAAGCCATCAGATCGAATGCAGTGTGAGTGTCGATGATTTAGTGAGCTGCAAGGTCATCACTCCCATCATCATGAAGATGCACAACAAGTATTTAGCCTCCTTGCACGAGGAGATACAGCTCCTGGAGTATCTGGAGAAGGTGCCGCGCCTTGTCAGTCAGATTTACAAGGACAACGCCCAGATGGACCAGAGGAAAGCCTAAAAAGGTTTTAAGTCACTTTTGATTCGATGTGACCATTGTTTATATTTTAATATTATTTCAATAAAAAAAAAAGCACCGATATCCGGTAGGAATCCGTTTCCGATAATCAAATATATACATGGGGTGGGTATACATATTTGATTGAAACAGCGCTGTCTCCCCTCGCTTCATGGATATACATTGTCACAAGTGTTGCTCGGATTCGTGCAACGATGCCAAGAGAGGGCAAACAAATCACGGAAATCGACCACTGATAGAGGATGAGATGCCACAACAGGGCAAGAACGTGGTACAGGTGAACATCCGTCGGACTGTTGCTCATACCGATCTACAGGCACTGAAGTTGCCTCCAGAATGGAAACAGCAGCCGATTCCCATCCAGGAGCAGGTTCCAAATATAAATCACAGATGTGTCCAGACGCATCATCAAGGCGAATTCCAGCCACAACAGCCGCAGCATCAGCAGGAGCAGAATTATACTCAACAGTCGCAGACGTATCTAAAGTATAATCAGCAGCATCTGCCAAAGCCGAAGGATCCAAGTCCACCTCCGATGCCCTATCAGAATGTGTCCCAGCATCAGGCGGGAAAACAGTCCAAAGATCAGTTCATCCAGCAGCCACCTCAGAAGAATCGCGAGACTGCTTATCCTCATCAGAATCCAGCAAAGAAACCTTCGTATGGGAATCCTCAGAATCTGCAGCAGCAGCAACATGATGATCAGACTCGTAAGAATACTTGCCAGTTGATGCAGCAATGTCAGCAAGCGGATTTCCAGAATCTACCCAAGAAGGTTCAGTTTGTCGATCCTCCCCAGAAGCCGCCTCAAGATCATTTGAAGCAGCAGCCACCGCAGGAGTATCGGAAGGAATGTTCTTGCACTTTACCTAAGCAGCTCTCGCGTTCGAGTCATTCACAGAAGCCGCTTTTCTCGAATGATCCTCAAGGGCAGGCACAGCGTAATCTAGCACCTTTTGGCCGAAGCAGCTCCATGGCTAAAGTCGTTCCAGTGCCACGTCCAGAGTGCAACAGCCGCCAGGTGCCGCAGGACTCTCGCCAACCCTCATTCATGGCCGATGAAGCCAAGCAGAAATTTTCACCCGAAGGCTGTGAAGAGGACAACCACAAGATGGCAGCCAACGACAAGCTGCCCAAATACGAGAATCAGCTGTTTGCCAATGAGAGCACATCCACGATAGCGTCTGTAGTCAGTGCGAAGAACGGGGACGAACTGCGTTCCATGGTCCGTGAGGAGATGGAATTGCAGTTGGTACTTATGGAACTTTCCAGCATAATTAAGAAGGAAGATTTATTGCACTCAAAACCGTCTACTCGTGACAAATCGGCCCCGAATCAGTCCAAGTCCTTGGAATCGGAGGAGAAAGCATCCACAAGTGCATGTGCAGGCCTGGAGAAGGAGCCACAGGTCGATTGCAGTAATAATGTAGATGACATAGTGAACTGCACGGTCATCACTCCCATGATACGTAAGATACAGAAAATGTATATTAAAAATCTTCGCGACGAGATTGATCTGGTGGAATATCTGGAGCGGGTGCCAGCTCTCGTCAGTGAGGTGTGCAAGAAGGCTGGTAGCAAGGACCAGAGTAAACTTAACAAATGACTCCAGTCCTCTTTTTATTTATTCGTTGAGTTTTAATATATTTTGTATACATTTCTTAAAAATAAAACGTTGGTGGCACCTAACAGCCAAAAATGAGTGTTGACCTTTTTTGCTGAAACCTCATTTTATAAGCAATGCAGGGGAGTCGTTAAAGTGAGCCGATCCTGTAGAAAATTGATGTATCTATCGGATAAAATTATTTGTTTAGGGCTGAGAGGGCCAACTAGCTAGTAATATTAAACTGAATATCAAAGTTATGGAACACGATTTCAATCAATAAAACTGAACGTTAACCCATTGTCGACCAGGGGTGTATTTAATATTTCCACGAAATCGATGTAACTTTAACATATTTAACGCATTACAGGTGAAAGATGTTGGTGGTCATTTTTGTTTTGTAAGTTAAGAGGAGCATGGAGCTACAAGCAGTGTTTACAAACACTATTATTTTCCTCGGTTTAACAAAGGGTGCTCAACATTTTAAAAAGAGGGGTGCCAAGTGGGTTAAGGCTCGTTTGATCGCCGGATGGTATTTTGTATCGTTATCGCTGGCCGTATTGTATACAAACAAAATTTAAAAGTAAATTTTTTGTTTTTCGATTTAACTATGCATCGTTCACATCCGAGTACCACGCGACGGAAGCATTTGATTAAGGAAATGATGGAGGATGACTATGAACTGCCCACAGAGCAGCAGCAGATCGTGCGCGTCGTCAGCAGTCGTGGCAACAATCTCCACGAGGTGGAACCAGCGACGACAGAGTCGGAAAACTTTCTGGGTGAGAGAACTGGGGTAATCCTCTCAAGACACCTGGTCTAACGTACACCTATATGTCCAATCTCTAGTGTCCATGCCTAACAAATATCGCAAAAACATGTGGGTCAAGCGCGGCGATTTCCTTCTGGTGGAACCTATCGAGGAGGGCGACAAAGTCAAAGCGGAAATATCCAAAATCCTCACCAGCGACCATGTCAAAGAATACACCAAGGCGGGAATATGGCCGGAACGATTTGCCAAGAATCCCCCGCAAGAGGCCAAAGCACAAAACGATGAGGATGATTCCGACTTTGAAGATGATTTGACGCCCAACACAAATCGTCCCGTCCAGGAGTCCGATGAAGAGGACGAGGACACTGAGAGCAGCGATGAGGAAGACTGACACGAGGGCTTGAGTGCATTGTGGAGGTGCATTACAAAATATTAGCTTTGTATATTTTTTTAATCTTTTTCTTATCATTTGCTTACTTTTTGCCCATCTTTTAAAATGTAACAAAATAATATAGATGGGTCACTACGAGTTAATTGTTGTTCTTGTGGCTGCTGCTAGTCTAAATGTGGTAACTAAATTGAAAATTGCTTGCAAAAGCTACATGAAGCCTAGACGATTAATTAATGCGCGTTGAGATCGATTCTTAAAGCGTTTTATTCACTGGGATTTCCTTTGATAGCTGGCACTCTCTCTCGCTGGTATTTATGCATCCGCCTCCACAGATTCATCATGCTCCTTTTGCTCGCCATCGTCCAGCTCCAGCTGCTTGAAAGGCAACGCCTCAATCTTTGACTCCAACGCCAGTGTGGATGGCCGCGGTTTGGTGAAGGGAAAGTTCGTTAGGTCCTCCATCTGTGGCGTGTGCACGGCAATCAGATCGGTTTGCGTGGAGCTGCAGTCGCGCTGCTCCGGCACGGACTCCTGCGTCACTTGCTCAGGCTTGCTAATGAGCGCATCCTGTGGCAGATTGCACACCATTGTCAGGCAGTTGACAATCGTTCCGATCGAGCTCTGCAGCTGCTGCACCTGGTCCGTCAGCAGGGTACATCGCTGGGCCAGATCGTTGACCACAGAGGCAGAGTTCTGATCAAGACTCACGGGAGCAGAACCGCCGCTGACATCCTCGCCCGAAACTGTGGAATGGAGTGCGGCGACTGGTGCTGCTGCTGCCTTTGGATCCACATGCATGCTGGACACCTTCTTCCACAGCGCATTGATGGCCTGCATCTGCAGCTGTTGGATCTTGCGCTCGTTCTCCAGCTGCGCCTTGGTCACCCGCATGTCTTTGCTGAGTTGTCTGTGGGTACAAAAACACCGATTAGCTCAAGCAAATATTCTGCCTTTCTATTGGACTCACTCAATGTACTCCTGCACGCGGCGTCTCTGTAGCTTCTCGGCAATATCGGGATTGTATTTCTTGCGCGTATAATAGCCACGCCACATTTTTTGTATGATTACCGCCGATGACTCCGTCATGTGCTCTACCAATCGATCCGCACAGTTCTGATTGCTGTTGTCCACCAGCTGCTGCTGCTGCTGCTGCTGTTGTTGGTGGTGTTGTTGCTGCTGCTGCTGCTGCTGTTGATTCCTCTGCGCAGCCATCTTCCTAATGGTCGTCAATTTGTCAATGTTGATCTGTTCGTCATCATCTGTGCTGAAACCGCCCGAATCCACCGTCGTTGTTGTCGATGTTGCTGTCATCTGTTGCTGCTGCTGCTGCTGCACTCGGTCTGTTGTTCTAGCGGCCACCTTGCGTGGACTGCTCGTGGGACTCTGTGTACGCTTCAGCAGGGGGCTGCGCACACGAGGCAAGTTCAATTTGTTGTCTGTACAGCGAATAAAATAAAATAAAATCTACCTAAAAATCTCGTGTAACTATAGAGATTAGTTATGCATGGGCTACCTTTGTTTTTGTTGATTTTCGTTTTGTGCAGCTGCGAGTTGAGAGCACTGACCGTCACCCGTTGGGCAACGGCGGCGGGACAGACATCGGGACTCATCAGAGTCTCCGGGACGGGCACCATTTTCGAAGCAGCAGCCAAGGGACCACCCGCAGGCGGTTGACTAAGGAATGTTTGATCTGTGAAGATTTTGGGCAAGTGTAAAGTCGATAATGGATGGACGAAATAAATGAAATGTGTAACGCACCATTGTAGGGATTTGGCGTTATATTGCGAGGCGTTGATTCCGTAGAGTTGTAGGTCTTGGTGGTCACGCTGCTGGACATACCGCTGCCGGCCAGCGAGAAGTCGCCATCGTTCTTGATGTTCTCGATCAGCGAAATGCTCATCTGCAGCGAATGATTGACGGAGCCATTATCGTTTATGCTGCTATTGCTGCTGCTGTTGCCATGATAGCTATTCGCCATGGACTCGGGCGAGCCCTGGCGGCCACTCAACCGCGAGACTGCAATAATTAAGCATGAAATTAGCATAAAATATCGAATACACAGAAGAGATACCTACATCTTGGTGACTGTATGCGACTGGTGGGCTTCCGGCGATGGGATGAGGGTGAAGTGCTGGCCGAGGTATTCGCATTGTCCATGATCTCCTCCTGCAGCTGGCGCTGATGATGCTGCGCCTTGCTTAGGATAAGGCGCAGCTTGCGATCGTCTTCGTTCTCCAAGGCCTTGCCCACCAGCGGACAAAAGGTGCTCAAATGCTTGGCCAGAGCGGGCTGCTCGCCCACACGGAACTGGCGGCCACGTCCCTGGCTGTACAGCCACTCGGCCTTGAGGCTCTCGATGGGATCCACCGCATAGCCATCGATGCACTTGAGGCTCATGCACCAGTTCAGAACAAAAGGTCGATAGTCAAAGCCGCTAGAACGTGGAGGAGGCAGAGACAGAGTTCAGTAAAGTTAGGCGAATGCAGAGGCTGCTTCTAGCTACTCACTCCACACTATTGGGACCCAGGGACATGTTCACACAGCCATTATCGGTAATGGAGAGGCTCAGCAGATTGCTCAGATGCGACAGCGTGCAGATCTCGTTCAAGTCATCGATGTTGTTCTTGGCCAGCGTCAGAGTCTCCAGGGAAGTGGGCAAGTACTTGTCGCACTGCCGCAGATGCATCAGACGATTGCCGTGCAGGTAGAGCTCCTTGAGGTTGCACAAATATGAGATATCCGATATGCTGGTGATGCTATTCTCCGCTAGATTAAGGCACTCCAGCGCCACATTCGTGTTGAGATGCTCGATGGTCTTGATGTTGTTGCCCTCCAAATTGAGCACTCGCAAATGCTGGCAATCCTTCAGGCCCTCGATGGAGAGGATGCCATTGAAGGAGAGGTTCAGCTCGCGCAGGCAGTGCAGCCGGCAGACGCCATACATGCGCAGCAATTGGTTCTTCGCCAGCGACAGCTGTAAAATAAACATAATCTATATAAGTGGAAATTCAAGTCTTAAAATGTATAATTTTAGGAACCGTTTCGATCTTGAGGTACGAGTCAATGTTGTCGATTTTCTGCAGCTCATTCTCGTCCAGTATCAGCTTGCGTATGCTGTGTGCATCCTCCTGTTTGGGCACCTTCTTCAGCTTTTGCCTGGACAGGTTCAGGGTCTGCTTTTCGCTGCAGCCGCCTTCGTCGCCTGCCGTAAGACAGGGGGGGGGGGGGGGGGAGATACACAAACACACATATAAGTATATACAATGTAAAGTAATGTGATGACTTCATCGGGGTTAGTCCTAGTGGTCTGGGGGCTGGGGAGCATCGCGCAGGTGCGACTCCAAGGCCCCCACTCCACTGCCCAAAAGCAGACTGCAAAATTTCGATGCATAGGAGCCAGCACCCGAAAGACAGCCCAGACCAGACAGCTGCTTGGCTCCCAGCTCCGAGTGGCAAAGAAAATCCTCTTTACTCTTTTCCGGCTTACCGCTCATGTTGGCTGACTGGTGGCACACTTAAAATTCCAGCAGTTGTTACCGAACGTCGTGCCAGCCAATTGGAGTGGCGTCCACCACGAAAAATCAATGTAGTGGAATGCGGCGTCGCTCCCTCCTCCAGCACCAAGTGTTCCGTTCCTGCACTTCCTGTGTCCTGTCCGTATGCTTTGGATGCTGATGTACAGTCTTTAGAGGTGGTTATGCTACCAGGCGTTTATGGTTCCCGTGCTGACATGTCTTCTAATTTATTTATCTTTTTTTTTCTTGCCGCTGCGCTTCAAAACCATCTGCACGTCATATACAGTGTGACCGCAGAAAGAATATACTGAACTTCAAAAATATACCCAAATATACCGGAAATATACCGGAGGAAAATATTCGAACGAAAATAGTACGGCAACGCTGCGTTTCAGTGTTTTGTTGTCGAGTACGGCAACGCTATTGAATGCACAACAATGTCAACAATGTCGTTGTAATTGAACTGTAAAATGTAAAATACTAAAATTTGATCAAACCGCCCTTTTTTGATTAGTAATATAATAATAAATTTAATTACACATTCGTGCTCCTAAAATAGACTTCCACCGGGTGTTTTATCCTAAAATTTCTTTCACTTTATGACATCGACTCGGAGTAGGCGGTGCTTTTTGAGCTAAACTCGTAAATCGCTGACAGAAAAAGTTTGACTCAAACGAGGACAGGATCGTAGGTTAAATAAAAATTACATTAGCACAAGGTTTGTCCCGTAAATTATCAATTACCCTTTTACATATTTTATTCATATTTTGGCGCATTTCGTTTAGAAAAGATGGACCGAACTCTTGACGGTTGGAGCACCATGATTTCGTGTGCGAACGAGAACAACATAAATACGGGTATTGCGGCCGAGGATGACAATCTTAACTTTCGGCAGTTCTCTAACCTGTGGCTGGACCTAAGTGATTCGACTAGACGCATGTTGGATTCTCCGAATTGTCCCAATAATATTCAATTTATGAATGCGGAGGATCCAGCTGTTCGCCCTATGGCCGACCAAGAGGAGCCACAAGTCTAGCCTCCACCACAACGAGAATCATAAAATTAAAATATAAAACAAATATTTCATTAAAAACAGTCATTGAACCGCATATTTAATGACTTCTTCTCCTGTATTGGACGTATTTTGAATACGAAGAATATCTGTTATTTATAAGACATTTTGTTACAAACATATCCCCACTTTTATAATATCCCTGTCCCCAAGGCAAACAGAGAATAAAAAAAGAGAATTTAAATATTGGAATTTTCATATATAAATTTTGTTTCCAATCGATCCATTTAGTCTCCCTATACTACTGGAGGCAATGTGTTGAAGGGTCTAACAAGAGGTGCAAGCAAAACCCATAAGAATACGAGTGCACAAAAAATTTCATATTCAGTTAACAGATCTCGCAAATGCATAAAATTCAGACTTAAATTTACTTCAATCCCAAGTCCTTTTCGATGGCGTGCGAGCAGACGGCCATCATCTGATCCTTGACTTTGACAAAGTTGCGAATGGCCGCAGGCTTGGCCTCGGGCCAGCCAGCCAGATCGCGGTAGATGGGGCGGCAGAACTTCATGCGGAAATTGGAGTTGGCAAATTCAATGATCTCGTCCAGACGGTTGAGCAGGCGGGCACGGATGATCAACCGATTCAGGCGGAAGCGCACTTCAGCATTCTTCGACTGCTTCAGATTGTAGGTGGACTCGAGCAGTTCAATCTTACTTTCGTTCAACTCAACAATGTCCTTCGATTCGATCAGTTTGCCCAGGAAGTCGAGCAGTTGATGGATGGAAATGGTCTGCTTGATGTCCTTGTTGTCTACCAATTTGGAGACTGTGTCGTTGCTCCACAATTTGGCCAGACCGGTGGTGACATTGGCCAGAGTTTCATCGAATCTAAAACAATAATTTCATTAAACATAGTAAAAGAATTCATTTAGATATATAATTGATTCCTACTTGGGTATAATGGGGGGCATGCCCTCACAGGATAGCCACAGATCCCAGTCCACCACACTCAGTTGATCCTTTTTGTCCGTATCCTTGAAGTAATCATACAAGGCACTCTTAAAGTCATTGGTCTCGATCGATTTGTAGGCATATTTCTTCAGGTAGTCCCGCAGGAATGGCTCAAAGACAGTTGGTCCGCCAAACAAATCCTCCAGATAGCGCAGGAATGTGGAACCCTTATAGTAAGGCACTGAGGAGAAGGCATCATCGGGTCCACAGTTTGACAGATCCACGACCAATTTGGTAAGCTCTGGTGTGCCAGAGAGTTGAGTGCGCAACTGACGGAAGGAAACGCAAATTAGCAGGAATTACAGTGCAAAAGCGAAGGATGCTGCACTCACACACTCCTGCAAATCGGTCAGATTGCTGAGCATCTTAAAGTCCAGCTCCTTGGCACCCTGCATGCGTCCCACAATCTTGGACTCCACGAACACGGTGAAGCCTTCGTTGAGCCAGAAGTGCTCAAAGTTCTTGTTGGTCACCAAATTGCCCGTCCAGCTGTGTGCAATCTCATGGGCCACGACATCGGCCAGCGATTTGTCGCCCGCCAGCAGAGTGGGTGTGACAAACGTGAGGCATGGATTCTCCATGCCACCGAAGGGGAATGACGGTGGCATTACCAGCAAATCGTACTGCTTCCACACATAGGGACCGCACAGATCCGAGGCGGTCTTCAGCATGGTGGCCGTTTCGGAAAACTCCTCGGCACAGGCATCCACAATGGCTTCTTCGGCCCACACATTGGAGTTATCGCCCAGCGGACGGGAGACCAGCTTGCCAATGGCAATGGCCACGAGATAGGCGGGTATGGGCACCTCCTGCTTGAAGTGTGTCTTGCCGGGCTGCTTCTTGTCAATTATGGCGCTCATCAGGGCAGTCAGCTCGGTGGGATGCTCGATCACAGCATCGTAGGTGAACTTCACCGCCGGCGTATCCTGGCAGGGCACCACAGAGCGGGCGTGTATGGCCTGGCACTGGGAGAACATATAGGGATGCTCCTTGCCCAGGGTCTGGGTGGGATTCAGCCACTGCAGGCCGCTGGCACTGCTTGAGGTCTCGTAATCGATGCGAACATTGAGGCTACACATACACGATGGGAGTGAGAGTGAAGTAGAGTGGATTATTTACAGGTGCCATAAAGATTAGCTTATCAATCCGAGTGCGACTGCTCACCTGCCCTTAGCCGTGCCGGCTGGCAACTCCAGTGTTAGCTTTTGTCCAATATTATCCACGGGATCGCTGATGAAGTAATTGATGGGCAGCTCAGTGCCTCCAGCCAGCAACGTGGCATTGGTCACATTGATGTCGCGCACATCCAGGAGCTACCGTAAATGCAATAAATGATTTAGATGTTTTCCATCTCGCGTCCCAGCTACTCACAATCTTCTCCAAATTGTTGGACAGCACATTGAAGCGATGCACCACACTGCCCTGCAGTTTGGTGGCATCGAAGTCCACCTTCCAGTTAAGGACACTGTGCTCCGTGGTAATCAAATCAGGCTGCGAGTAGGAGCTAGGATCCACAGTACCCAGGCGGCCCATATTGCGTTTTTGGAGTTGATAAATTGGACAAAGTTGTGACTGGTGGAGCGGGCGCTGCAGCTGCTGTAGGTGCTGTAGGTGTGTCGTGCAAAAGCCGCGTTTGGAGACTGCAAGAACACAGAAGAAAGCGTTTGAGTGGATTTCTTGGACGCCGATAAGCTAATCATAAAATAAATACCGATTCGATAGCGATTATAAAAAAGCGAAGGGAAAAACCTCTCCAGATGTGAGTGGTTTGTGTATAGTATATATATGATGATCAAACCTCTGATATATGCTGGGATAGTAGGCGTCGCCAATGACAAAATATTGTGCAAATTCATTGCCGGGCCGGCAGAACAAGCTTTTTTTTAAATATACGGCAACTCTAAAAGCAGAGCGTTGCCAGTTTGTCAAAGTTTGTAGTGCCAGCTGCACGGAGTCGACATGTTGATACCTCGTAAACAGTCTACCAATATGGAGATGGGGAAATATCTTATGTTCTCTTGGAATTTTTAACAAGAATAAATCATATATATGATTATGTCTATAAGTATGGATGTGGAATCAGAATCAATCATGAAATGCTTACATTCCTAGAAAGTTGTCTAATACTTAACGAATATACCCTATCAGCCCCTCTTTTACAGGTAACACACAACGTTTATTTTGTGTTTAAAATGTATTCTCGCTTAATTACAATTATTTTAACAACCATCAACGCAATATGTAGTCCTTTGGATAATCCATAATGGCGGGGAAATTTTCCAGCGTCTCCTTATCAATATGATCGAGTCTCTGGGGCACAGTGCGGGGTGTGCGTATCTGATTTGTGACGTTCTCGAGAATCTCATCGGGCACCGAGTCACCGGAGAACAGATGCAATCGCTGCATTGTGTGTCTGCGCTGCAGGTTTCCATGCATTGAGTTGTACACCGCCTTCTTCATGACCATGGTGGGATCCTTCTCGTGCAGCTGCCAGGCTAGGGTCCAGGAAGCACCACCCGGATAGCCCGTGTGATGGAAGTAGACACGCTTGATCCACTCGTCGCCGGGCAGCGCGATTTCCTTGGTGTTTATCAGCACCACATGGTCCCCGCAGTCATCTGCAAATACGGATTTAGGTTTAGACTTGATTGACAGCAGGCGTTGGTAGGATTTGCTTAACCTAGAAGAACAGAGCGCGCATCAGAAATGGAATCAATCGGGTTACGGCGACACTTTAATAATTACCATTTTGAATGGTGTAGGGAGCAGCAACAAAAACACAACACGCCGGCGGAGCTTGTGATGTAATGAGGCGGCACGTAAACACTGGCACCCCGATTTGAACGCATTTCTCGCTTAAATATAATACCGGTGGCTACAACTACGGGTTCTACTTACTCATGGGATGGTATATGGGCTTGTGCAGCCCCATCAGATGTGTTTTAACCAGTGCAGCGGACTCAAAAGGATTTTGCCAGGTGCAATCGTAAATGTGCCAGGTTCGTGCAAATGTTGCCCATTGCTAGAAGAGGAACAGAGAGGGTATTGTTAGCTGCTCCTCAGGAACTGAGTTGTTAGTACCCACCTGCACACGCTTGGCGATAGACATTTTACAGCTATTTTAATAGAAAAAATATAATTTTAAAGAAAATGGGACAAAAATATAGGTGTCAAACCATCAAAGGTACTATCGATATTTTTCTGCTATCCGCTACTATCGACAGTTTTGCGACTATCATGATAGTATCGAGCTACAGTTGTTGCGCTTTTGATATGTTTGGATTGGCTGCTCTAAAATGCAAAGTCAAATTTGTAATCAAATCGACAGGTGGACAAGTTCCTAAAAGGTTTCAATGGTTTTTTAATTATTATTTGAGCCCGATACTATTACGATTGTAATACTAGCATCGATTGTTTTTTTCAAAACATTCAACGTTGATATTCCTCGATTTTGATATTCCGTTTTATATTGCTAGCTAGTTGGCCCTCTCAGCCCTAAACAAAGAATTTAATCCGATAGATACATACATTTTCTACAGGATTGGCAAGTTTTCAGAAGTTCTTTTTATTGGAATATTTAGATAAATAGGTTCAACCAAAAGCGGCCAAAGCATAAAACGTAAATGTTGACTAAATGTGACGTCAGTGTTGCTGGTCAACCAAGGTTCTTCTTTGCGTACCTTATTTCGATTTTATTTGTTTTTTGGAGTTTATGGTGTGGAAGGAGGGGAAAGTCACCACGAAAGCGCTCTATTCACCTCTAAAAAGAAAGCAAATTTTGAAAAACCACCACGGATTGAGAGCGAAAACTGGCAGTATTTTTTGTGCGCTAAATGAGTTTGGCGGTCATTTTGAAAAGTATATTAATATATGGAAAAATAAATATTGCACTTGATTTGATTTGTCGAGTGTGAAGGGAACCTCGGAAACCTCAGAAAACGAGAAAAATATATATTTATAAAGAAAATGGGACACATTTTAGACTGGATGGAAATACCGCCTGACCCTCAGAAATATACCTTATCATTATCAAAATATACCGAGGAGGTAATCTTCAGTGTTGTAAAATGTCCCAATTTTGGCGGTAGATTTGAATTGAAATATACAAAACAGCGAGCGAATATTTTTGTATAATTTTGTCTTTAGTTTAATTTAATAATAAAATATAACTTAACAATAAGCGCAGTAATGCTGCCATTTAACGAGATGAACTTTGCTTAGCAATAGCATCAGAGCAGCGCAGCTGGAACTAGTTTTTGCTGCGTCGCATCACCATTCGCTCCTTGAGCGAGAGCCGCCCGTTCTTTTCCACCTTCGTGGAGACATTGCGACGCGATTCGATTTGCACCTGTTTTGATTTCTTTTTCCTGTAATTCAACAATAATGTTAATTAATTAATTATCGTAGGAGTGTGTGGGGGCCTGGGGCGTGCACTCACAATTCATTTATAAGATTCTCGATCTCCTTGCGCCAAATGTCCTTAAAGTCATTGGTGAAATGTGTCCAGCACTCGAAGAACTGATCGGGCGTGCAATCCTCCAGGGTCTGCGTCTCCGGCGAGTAATGATAGAAGCGCATTGTCTCCAGGAACAGTTCCCGGCCATCGGCCAGCATGCGATCCAGCTTGGCCATCGACATGTCAGCACTGTCTGTGAACTCCTCCATTTTGGACTTGAAGGGCTCCATAATGTCCTCACTGGAGGCAGCCAGTACCTTGGCCGTGGTTCGCTTGAAAACTACATCGAGGCATTAATGAGGAGAGACTCAAACCGGAAGCGCATTTCTTGATCTTACCCATAAATTTCTTTTTCAGCTCGTTGGTATGCGTCTCGACATCTTCAAACTTGATCTGTGCCGCTCGCTCCACATCCGCCGGCTCGGGTATGGGCAGACGAATGTCCAGCGGATGGACACCCTCCTTCCGCCGCTGGGCAATGTAGGTGCGCACTATGAAGTGCAGCAGTGTGGTCTGCCGCTCCTTGGACTTGACATCCTTCAGTTTGCCGAGTATGTCCAGATTGAAGCCATCCGCCTGGCCGCGCTGCCGATTGCCGCCGTTCATGTAGTTGCCCAGCGTCAGGATAATGGAGAAGACCAACTTGAGGTCCTCGCTCTCGATCAGCTGCTGCGACAGCTGCTGTATGGTCTCCAGCTTGCGCAGCTGCTGTGTCAGCGACTCCTCGAACTCGGCCTGGAACACAATGCACGAGATTCGTTCGCTGGCCATCGAGATGAGTGATATGTCCAGCAGGAACTGCTCGGGTGTGTCCAGCGGTATTTCACCGCCTGCCGCATCCTTGATCTTGTGCAGCTCCTCGTCGCTGGCCTTGATGTGCCCCAAGTGCTGCAACGCCTCCAGACTCACCACCGATGTGTCCAGATTGTAGATGGCATGCTCAATCTCGATGGAGGGCACGTGCAGGCTGCGCGAGATGATGCCCACCTTCCGGGAGCGCTCCTGATCGAGCACCTTGATGGACTTGGCTCGCTTCATTTTCACCTCCTTGGGCTTGTTCACCGGCACAATGGCCTGGCGTGAGAACAGCTCCGTGAACTCCTCAATGTTGTCCAGCGGCGTCTCCTCAATCTCCGTCCAAATCTCCTTTGTCGGCGGCGGCACAACTGGCACTGGCACTGGCGCTGGTGCTACTGGTGTTATTGCGCCTGGCGTGGATGCCCCACTGCCACTGCCGCTGGCGCTCGTCGTGGCCGGTTCGTCTGGGGAGCTGCCGCAGTTTTCCGCATTGTCTGTGCTGTCTGTGGAAGTGGCCACCGAGGAGGGACGCGGCACGGGCGGTGCCATTGTCACGATGCGCGTCCAATAAAGCGGACGCATGGGCTTTGGCGGGTTAACGGCACTTTTACGCAGCGCTGCCATGGAAAATAAACAGGGGAGGAGGGAAATGCATTAAAATTTAATGTGGGAAAAAGGCGAGCAAATTTCCTTACTATTTGTGCGATGAAACCAATTGCCCTCAGCGGGATCGGGCAGCGGTGCGGGTGAGATCATAGACGGAGGCGGCGGTGGCGGCGCACCGCCACTGCCAGGCGGCGGGCCTGGCATGGGCGGCGGCGGTGGTCCACCAAATCCTGGCGGAGGCGGTGGCGGCGGTGCGCCACTGCCCGGCGGCATGGGCGGAGGCGGGGGCGGCGGCGGTGCGCCACTTCCAGGCATGGGTGGCGGCGGCGGCGGCGGCGGAGGCGGTGCAGCAGCAGCGTTGCCTGCAAAAAGAGGCGGCGGCGGTGGTGGTGGCGGCGCAGGCGGCACAGCAAGCGCTGGTGCTGGCGGTGGTGCCGGTCCAGCTGTCCCTTCGGTTGCCGCCGCACCACAGCGGCAGGTGCCTTGGCAGTCGCCCTCCGTCTGCGTCTCGCCATCGGCAAAGCTTCGGCTCTGCTGCGGCTTATTGTACTCGTAGATGGTCGCCTCGCTGGCGTTGAGCAGCTCCGTGAGATTGACGCACCGCCTGGAGGGCCGACGTGGCGGCTCATCCACGCTGCTCAGCAGCTCATTGACCACCGCATGCACCTCGGCCAGCGTGGCGCAGTTGAGGAGTCGCTTCTTGAGGATCTGCTGCAGTGTCTTTTGGCTGTCGCTGGGCGTGGGTGTGGCCGCCGCCGCCGCCGCTGATGCAGCTGCAGCTGCAGCACCTGCCGTGGCAGCAGCTCCTACCGCTGCTGTGGCCGTTGTCGCTGTGGCCAGCGAAGATGCCTCCAAGGTACGGATGCCCGCCGGTGTGCTTGAGAAGGGCCAAGCGGCCACCTTATCCAGTTTGCCCGGTGTGAGGGGCAGCGATGTTGTCGGCTGCTCCGTGTGTGTCCACTGGTACATCTCATAGGGCTGCAGGGAGAGAGAGAGAGAGAGAGAGAGGGAGTGGAGTGGAGTGAGTGCATTGGGTTAGATAAACTTGTATTAACCCATTGACTTCTAATTGTCGAGTCGAGTGCTGCAGTGGAGCTGCTGCTAGGGCTGCCGCTGCTGCTGCTTCCCTTTCGAGTGGGTCTCGAGTGTGCCACAAGCGACAAAGCTTAAAAGCTCCCCCGATTGCCCAAGTCCCTTCCTACCTTCCTTCCTTCTGCTGCTCCCCTCTCCCACTAGAGTTTGCTACTCTGAATGCAAAACTCTCTGGATTGTGCATGTCGCCGTCGCCGTCGCCGACTCGACTTGGCTCTGGTCCCAGGTCCCTCAACGGGAATTGTCTTACTTTTGTTACTGTTGTCTTCTTTTGTCAGGCCATTAAGGGGAGTTTGGGGGGGGGGCGGGACAGGGTGTGCAGCTGTGATGCATGAAAAGTTGCGTTGTGCTAGAGAGTTGCATGCAGATGAGGTGGTAACTGCATGCAGTTTATTTTTTGTTGTTTGCTTAAGGACAGTTCTGAAGTTCTGCCGCGTGAAATGTTGTTCTTTAGGGCTTATACGATTATAATACGATTGTCACAGCTTCGTGGAAACGAATAGAATATCGGATATACTCGCAAGATGTTGCTATACTCTTCAATGTCTCAGCTAAAATATTTTAATTCGTTTCCATGCCATAGCTATAAGTAGCTGAAGATATATAAAGGGAAAGCTAAAGTTTCACAACATTTCAACTTTGACTTTAAACTTAAACTTTCATAACTTTTCAAATTTAAATTTGCCAATTTTTTAAAAGCAATTTTATGTGATTTTATTTTATTTCCAGCGTTTAGTTGATTATCAAACTGTCAATGGAACAGCCTTTGCCACTAAAATATATATCATAAATTCCTATTCCTATCTGCTTATCCATTGTACTCCTTCTTTTCCTATTTCCTACCTAACCTACCCCCCTATGGCTGTTTATTGTGGCATTCTATTGTTAGGGTTTTTGTGTTCATTTATCTACAGTTGTTGCTCCCTTTTTTTTTTATAGATTTTTGATTGAATTGTCTGCTTGGTAGACTTGCAATTAGCAAACACTTGAGAAAATTTGTGTAAAGTGCGATAAACCCTGACACTGACGCCCACACACTCTAAAAGGAAATGCGCTGGAGTGAGCGCTGTAAGAGAACTCCTACCAAATGAGGCATATCAGGCATCAGGCCATCAGGCCATCAGGAATCAGGCATCAAAGCAAGCTGTTGCACTTGATTTGCGTTTGTCAGATGCTCAGATTTCTTTGACTGATTAGGGTCTATCCATGCATGTGTGTGTGTGTGAGACTTTATCTATGTGTGTGTGTGCTGCACATACAAATGCAGTGTGTGGGAGGGAGGGACGAACGCCACTTGTTGGAGGCATAATTAAATTTCAATTACAATTTTAATTGCATTTGTCACATTTGTAAGGAAAGTTTGGCGTTGGGTGGGGCGGAAACGGGCATAAAGTTGCTGCCAAACAAAAATGTCTCTTTATTTATATAGTTTTTAATTAACAGAAATGTTAATTAAAACAATTTGGAAAGCATAACTATATAATGGTTTAAATATGTTGTTGTTTAACAAATGCTCATGGGAAGGGAGGCTTTAAAACTGGCTAAAATAAATAATTTGAAGGCTGAACCGCTCCCTAGAGCAGAACCAAGAATAGGAAAATTTAAATTAGTTTTCAGTGTCATTCTGCATGAAAATAATGACTAGTTTATGGCATTTATTTATTTAAATTTATTAAATAAATGCATGAATTTTTACTAATATTTTTAAATATTTAAATATTAAATATTATAATATTTAAAACACAAACTAATGTTACTAATATTTTTAAATATTTAAATATTATAATATTTAAAATTTAAATATTTAAAAATATTAGTAAAAATTCATGCATTTATTTAATAAATTTAAACTAACTACCTAATAACTAACTAATTTAACTAACTACCAAACTTATTGCCAATTTTCAATTATTTTAAGCTTTAAATAATTCACCAAAAATCACATCCCAGGCACACATTAATTTGATTTCCAAATAGTTCTGCAAGGTAACCCACTCTCAGTAATTAAATTAAACATGTATTTAGGTCTTAACCGATCTATTAATAACACAATGCCATTGGAATGCCTTCAATCTAATCCCTGCCATCAAGCCATTGATCCTACTCCCCCCCTCCTGCCAGGAAACAGTCGCCGACACGCACACACAATTTTACCCGTAGTTGCATTTGCATTCAAATCCATGGAAATCATTCCAGCATTAAAGTTTTCTTACCCCAAAAGAATAATATGAAGAAACAGTAACAAAAAAAAAAAAAAACTTTCGACTGAAAGTAATAAAAACGCACAAAACTTTCAATGAGCCAAAGAACAGAACAGTCGTCGTCCCTTCTGTTGCAGAGAGCAAAAAATAAAGAAAAGAAATAAAGTCTAGGGGAACGGGAGAGTACCCAATAGAAAAGGGAACCCCCCACAGCCCCAAAGGAGAACAACAAATAAAGTCAAAGTCGAACACAGCGAACAGCGAACCTTTGGCACTGGATATCCACCAGGCAAGCCAGCCCGCCACGCCCCTCTTGCCATATGCTGGCCTGTTGCCCAAAATGTTGATGATGCGCACAGCGGAGGAGACATTTGGAGACATCGGTACAAGGGACACACTACCCTGCCTCCTCTCACTCTCTGTCTCTCTCTGTCCCTTGGAACTTGGCAGCCAGTTGAAGAAATTTGTGTGATATCATAATCTTGAGCTCAAGTATCATCACATAGAAAATCACTTAACGGTGTTGTCTGTGTGCCTTGGCTCCTGCTTTCGCCTGCTCGCCTGCTCTCGACTGGGTGGCTCGTGGGATTTGAGGTTAAGCTGCTGTGGCTAAAACTTTTGGCCTAAACTAATTTGAGGGCTATACTCGTATCTAGTGCTTCATTATTTGTGGTTGTTGCCTGTTCTTGTTGCTTGTTTCTGTTCGTCCCCCTACCCTCCCCCACACCATGCTGTCGCCTGTCTAATAACACTTAACTGGAGACGAACTGTGGGGTTTTACAGGCGCTACAAATGGCAAATGGAACCAGTTAACAGGCCCTGTCTATCCCTATCCCTCTCCCTCTGCCCATGAGTCTGTGTCTCTGAGCAATTAAAGCTTTTTCCCTTTTGGCCAACTGTTTGTTTATTTAGCTCTTTGGTCAAGAGGCTGAATGCTTTGGCTAAACTGTACCTAAATATGGTCAACTATTATGGAGTCCATTAGGCACAGCAGCAAAGCCTCTGAAGATGGCTAACCGGCCACCAAATGGTTACGAAACAGTTGCACCAAGACGGTGGCCAGGCTAACTGTTTGAGCAGAGCACTGCACAGCAAGAAAAAAAGTAATTAAATGCGCGCTTAATGGTTTCCTTTGTTCGCACTAGACGTTGAATTTGAATTAGAATTTTGAATTTTGAATTTTTTTGTTGCACATCAAACTTAGGGCGAATTTATTGAAATTATAGCCCAAAAATAATAACATTCACAACAGATTTCTATCTAAATCTAAATTTTATTTAGATTTTTTTAAATTTTTTTTTTTTTTAAATACAAAAAAAATAATAATTTTTAAATAATTCTGTAAAACCCTTTGGGGTTCCAGAAATTGTTTACAATTCTTTGTATATCTTTACATGTACCAGAAAATGGAACTACTTGCAACCTAAAGCATTCGAAACCCACAAAGCTAAGCTCTAAGCTCGATTTCGTCCAAATTTTATGGCAAATATTCTGCCCAGTGCAGGCCCCGAGTTGAGTTAGTATAGTGTCCAACTTTGGTTTCATAATTTTGCATGCAGCAAAACAAGAAGTGAAAAAAAAAAAAAAAAACAACTACAACTGCAGCGAGAAATTGTTAATGCAGAGAGCCAGAGTGAAGTTTGGCTTTTGATAGTTGACGTCTGCCGACTGTAAAGTTTTAACAAGTTCTGACACTTGCAGGCAAGCATAGGGGTTAACAGTGGGTGGGTGCGTGGGTGCACCCAGGGTAACCTAGAGAGAGGAGCCAGCAGTGGGGTCGGGTCAACCGGGTGGCAAAAGGGTTAGCTGGACAACCGCTGTAGCTGGGGTTAAATGAAAGTGCAACCAAAGCAAGGGTTCTCGGGTTTGTCTTTCATTTCGTTTGCGCTTGGTTTTTTTTTTTTTTTTGCAATGGAATTGCTAATTTCCGGGCACAACTTTGCGGTTCATTTTTGCACAACTTTTGCCAGTCCCCAACCCCTGCAAACTTTTCCCGCTCTATGGCGGGGCGGGGAATAAGGCGGCGGCGGCGTATGAGTAACATTACGGAGACGCATAAGTTGGGTGACAGTTCTCGTTCTCGAGGACAGTGGCCAGAGACAGCGTCAGAGACTGACAGACAGGGCAGAGCCATTATCAATGGGTTTTTGCCTTCAAACGCTAATGACTTGAAACTTAGTTTAGTTTTGTGGACCGGACCCCGCCTTCCTGTGGCTTTTAGTTCTACTTTTTTTTTTTTCCCCGCTGTCCAGCAAAACGCGGACTCTCATCATTTCCGCCCAGCGCCGTGGCAACATCCGACGCAGTGCCAGCACCACGCCCCCACCGTTGCAGATGACCAATTTCCTGGCCATAAAAGTTCATTGAACTTACACTGAATCCCGTCGCCGTGGAGGAGGTGCCAGTGCCGGCATCCTGCTGCTGCTGCTGCTGCTCGTTGGAGATTTGCTTAAGGACGCCAACATATTTGAGATTATTGCAAAATTGCAGGGCCATCACATTGAATTGTTCCTGCAGCTCCATGGATGCCGTCGTCTTGGGGTTGCCCTGCAGTGTGGATATCAGCCATTTCATCAGCATTTGACCTGCAACAAATTAGAGAGAGAAATTAATGAAATCGAAGACACAGCTGTATAAAAAAAAAAAACAGAGAGAAGGCAAAACTTCTACCCACTAAACCCAAAGATTTATGGGTACGAGACGTTTGGGGTTGAAGGAACTGCCAAGCAAAAAAGTTGGCATAAATAAATTTGTGGGCCCAAGCAGCTGAGTGTGGGGAATATTCTGCATAGATTTTTGGGGTCTAGGAAGATACTCTAATATATTTTTTTTATCTGTCTAGCTTTTCTTCTATTTCCTATACCAATAGTTTGAAATGTACAGTAAAGTTTTAGGGGTTTTAGTGAGATTATTTAGAGGTATATGTATCTAGTATAGTTTTGGTAATTTCCACAAGCCTCTTGATCACAGTTAATGTTCTGGACTATGGAGACTTTTAAATGCATGACTAATGCCCCTCCGATAAGATACAAAAAATGAAATTTATACTGATGAGTTCACAAATTAAGGAAAATCAATCAAATAAAATTATAAATAGATACGAGAACAAAGGCAAATAAAATTGTTTGCTATGGAGGAATATTTACCACCTGAAAGAGGCAATTAGAGCTCAGTCTGCACATCATCAATTAATTCCTGACAAACTGTTAGGAAAAATCAACTAAAATAATAATTTTTCACACACCAAAACCTTCTCCAACCTTATCGCATCACCAAGCGACTCGACTCTTAGCTAACTACAAGCCCAAACAAACTTTTTGTAGTGGCAAAACTTACGCTTGCTGTCAGCGTGTGAGTGGGAAATGGCTCCCAGCTGCGGGTCAGGCGTGGTCGGCAGATCCACGCTAATGCGGACAATGCGTAAGCTAATGCTGGTCGGAGACGGAGCCTCCTCCTCGTCCAGCAGGCCGGATTCCTCTGCCAATGTGGGGGCAACATCAGGTGGCAGCGACTTGGGTCGAGAGCTACGTGAACTTTGAGCCTGTTCGGCGGCCAATGACATTAGATGGAGATCATGTGCACCGAAGTGCTGATGATACGTATCCATGGGGTAATGCTCCTCTGGATGGTGCCATGGTGTATCGTCGTCCACTTCCACATCCCAGTTTGGTTGCTTTTGGGCCAGCAGAGAGCACCAGACGTTGCTCAATGCCCTGGACATGTGCCGTACAAAGTAGAACCGTCTCAAACTAAATCCAACACTTGACTGTTTTTGGGTGGGAAAAAAGCAAACGGCAGCAGGAAAAACGAATTGAAATGTGTCAAAACTTATCAGTATTATCAGTGCTAACATGACAACTGCGACACTGCTACGCTGTATATGTGCAGGTTCATTGATAACGAAAACACTGCATTCGGAGGAGGTGGCAAGAGAACTGGAACTATAAAGAGCGAAGTATTAGTATGGCCCTGACAAGGTCGTTTTTTATTTTTCTTTCTTTATCAGTCACGGCTGCCTATTGAATGGGTGTCTCTAGGGTTTTTTTGTTTCGCTTACTCGTTCGCCCATTGAATCACCTCTCTAAATTCGTGTATGCTTAATCAACTTTAAACTGAATTAAAATCAATGTTTCAAGTGCGTCAATGCGTACACGTCATGGATTAACCCTATTCAATCGATATTCCTCTTTTATTATTCCAACAACTTTGTTTTGGCTTTCATTTGGGATAAGGGCAAAGACTTTTAATAGCTATCTCTCTCCACTTCACAAGATAACACGATCGATCATGTCTGAGTGTTAATAATAACTTAAGTCGATTGATACTCGTAGCATCTGTAGCTTTTGCTGTAACTGATTGCCGTCAATCGGTGTAGGAAATCTTTATGGCTGCTTTTGTAAGTAGGTTACAGGGTGAGCGTTTTTATTTTATTTTTTTTTTTAATCTCGAGAAAATATTGATTTGATTTATTATTTTTGTTTTATAATTTATCACAGAAGGTATTCAGATTCACACATTTATTCGTGAATATAATTTTCTTAAAGATTCTTGACGCTTTTTCAAAACGACCAAGATGTTTCAGAAATTCATATTTGAAATTCAAAATTTATACATATTTGTTATGTTTGTTTTTCTTAACTGTAATAATTTGTATTGGATGTACATATGTTAACCAGAGGTGGTCACGCCCACAAACGGTAGTCGCTCGCGTTCAGCGATCCGTAAAGCTTTCAAAAACAATGCCACTGAAATTTGGCGTCAAAGAGGCGGCAAAAATGTTTCGAAGCCGCGAACTCAAGATTGCAACAACACATCATGTGTTTTGGGCTACGCCCTAGCCCTTGCTACGAACATAAAAAATGGTGAAGAGGGAGATGAAGAAAACTGCCAAAACAATGCGGAGAGTGCAAGTTAATTATTTAAGTCGATTGCCATGGCATCAAAGTGTCTTCCTCAGTTTTAGAGGACTTTGCTGTAAAAGCTCCTTAGCTACGATTTAAATTGTATACAAATCAAAATAAAATAATATGAGTGAGGGGTATTAAAATAACGAATAACTTTGTACCAGTCGAAGCATAGAGCTAAGAAGAAAATGGCGGCTGTTGCCAAGTGCTGCTGCTGTCTACTTCGATTCTGACTAAGTCGCAGGCATGGTTGCCACACTTGGCAAATTTTTTCCACGCAAGAGCGCAGAAGTGGTGAAAAAACTTGTCTTAAAATTTCGACGGCAGCCCCACCATTCTTCTGTGTAATTTTCTGCGCTTTGCTGATTGGAAAAGCGCACTGGTAGAGGAGGAAATGGTAATTTGATTAGAATGCGCTTTCACCCACCGCTTGGCATTGCGCGAACTTGCTGCATAAGGAAATCAATGAGGATTTCAAATAGAAACCAACTCAAATGCAATTGCCTTTCAGAAGTTCCAGTTCCATACATAATAAATACCCGTTTGCCCCCAAACTCAAGCTCAAGCTCTGTTCTGTGCTATCTTCGCATTGTACTCTCATCAGCAGAGCAAACAGCGTTTGAGCCCACAAGATCATTAGCCCCGAAAGTTGATGCTAAGGATTGTAGCCAATTTTCCAACCTATCGTTGCTACTCGTATTGAGGATGATTCTGATGATGGTTAAGCGTCGGGCAGGGCAGGGCAACAAAGGATATGCCTTGGCTTAGATGATGGCCAGCCAGCCAGTCTCATCATCACCCATCGTCATTGTAGTTTTTTGTTGAGTGTTGTTGTTGTTTCTGTAGTTCTTGGTTCTTGGCATTGTTGTAGGTGTTCATCCTGTTGTTGGTTTCGTGTTATTGCTGGCGCGCCGGTCGCGGTCGCATTGTGGCACAAACGGGTTTTGATGAAAACTGCGCCACGGACGCACAACAAATTTGCATAACTGCTTGCCTGGCACTGCACCACATCATACCACACCATGCCGCCACACAGGCTAGGCTAGGAAAGATGGGTGTTGGGTGGTGCAGCGGTTTTTGGCGCCTCACGCATGCATGCGTTGCATTCATCAACGGCAGAGACTCCGCACCGCCACGCCCCCCAACTCTGCGTTGCACTTTCTGGACGATTCTGACAAACAAAACGGATGAAAATGAAACGATGCCGGGCGAAAACCACAAAGCAGAACGCAGAAATGAAGCAATGTGGAGGAGAGAGAGAGAGAGAGAGACATCAGTGGGAGGAGCGAGGCGGAGAAATAGAGGAAGCTACTTCGCTGGCACTGAGAGAAAAACCCTCTCGCAGGAATATTTTGTATCGGGTAATTAGAAATTCTACAAAAAGTATAAGGAATAATATCCTTACTTAAAGGCAAACAGAATCAATCGAGAGAGAGAGAGAGAGCCCGAGCTAAGAGTGGCTCTCTTTCATCTGGCTAAGAGTGGCTCTCTTTCATCTGGCTTTTCTTTCAGTGTACTTATCCCTTACCACCAAAAATATTGTTTCATTACGCTTTGGCCAAAACATTGTTGCCCGCCAGTCTCTATGCTTGGCGGCAGGCAGAGCCAGAGCAGAGGCAGAGACCTCCTTGAAGTTGACTGTGGCACCCGGGCTGGCATCAGGCTGCTGCTGCTGCTGCTGCTCATCCTCTTATCCCGAGAAACAAGCTGCTGGTTTGGGGTTGGGGGTACGTGATGTTGTCGAGCATATAAATCAGATTTTTGGATCCCAAAAACGGTCCGCTTCATGCCGGACGTTGGCTGTGTCCTGTCCTGTCCTGTTCGGTCCTGTCTGATGAAAAGTCGCGACAAAAAGCTTCTGTTGCTGCTGCCCCTACTCCTACTCTACTCCACCAGTGAACGCTGGCTGCACGGGTAAGCCACGAAGAATTGATGGCCACTTCAGAGACACAATGACGATGGCGACGACAAACGCGACAGGCGACAGGGATATACAAGAGGAGCGAGGAGCGAGCAGCGACTGCTGCGGATGGACCCTGTCCAGAGCCAGCAAATTGCGTGTCCAGCTATATCTAGAGGCGACTGCAGCTCCACTTCACCCTCTTCTCCCCTGATGTTTGTCCAGCGAGGCGTTAAAATGTTTGTTTGCATTAATTTGCAGCAGACGGCGACAATGATGACGGGGATCAGCAGCCAGGCAGGGCACGGGCAGGGGCAGGCGCCGCCGCCAGTGGAGGAGCGCCCTAGAGCCCCACAGCGATGAGCTTACCAATTAGCGCCACCATTTTGCCCACCCTCCTGCGCTCCAGCGCTCCAGCGCTTGCTTGCTGGAGGCGTGGCATGTGTCAAAAACTGCGCCTCCCAAAAAACTTGAAAGCCAACCAAAATTTTCGCGCTGCGTTTTAAGCGAAAGTTTTCAACTTGCTAACGGCGAAGATTTTAATACCCTCTCGAACTAATAGAGTAGAGTCGGGTATATGCGTACGTACATTTATCTCTCATATATATACAAAATATTTGATACATTTATCTACCAATCTATCAAAAATTTTTTTTAATTGGAAAAAGTTACCCGATTGACTTGGACAAAAATGTTGTGGCAGTAACAATTGTGGAGATATTTCGATCAAATTTGGTAAACTCATCTATAATGACATTATCTGTTTATGTACCAAAAATCGTCTTAATCGAAATTTGCTAGCACCTGATTTTTGGAACTTTTATAAAGCTTAGCGGATCCTTTGTTCCTTAATAAATTCTGCTTCATTTTTGTGATGTTTTAGTATAATTAAATTTTTATGAATAGTTCTTAGACTTGGGATCGCCTCCGCACATTGAAATCGAATCATAAAAAGTGAAATTTTGGTTGAAGTTCCATATTATTATTATTATCTAACGTTCTATAAACAATCAACCCAATTGTCTTATTATTTCCAGTATTTTTTCCGCTGCTTAAATATGTCTTCCTAAATTATTTCCTGGCTTTAGCAGCTCCTTGTGAAAGTACTGCTTAAAGACTAGACGGTATCTCCTAGTCGATACTATACTATATGCATGCTATAGTTTTCCCCCATTGTGGAAAATAGTTTGCCGTTCGACGGAAAATTTGTGTCTGGAATTTCGAGCACACGCAATAATGCGAGCATCGCAGCCCACACATCTGTATAGAGATATACATATGTATATAGGGGTAGGGCGTGGCATGTGCTATGGAAATTCTTGAGAGACTTGCGAGACGATTTTAAAGTGTGCAAGCCTGAAAGTATGCCACTAATTTCGGGCGTATGGTAATGTATGGAGGCTGAGCTTCTTTCTAGTTTAGTTGGGCGTAGTGTAGTGTGGCGGCAGCATGGGCGAGAGGGTTTTCTTTTACCCGACTTCAAACACTTGCAAAATGTTAACCCAACAAAAGTTTTCCCCTTGCCCCCGCTCCCCCTTCCTCACTCCATGTACATATATTTACATACACAAATTTCCCAATTATGCAATCATTCAACTTGATTTGGCTTCTGGGCCGGCTTCTGCCTTGACTGATTTTCTCGCTCCACTTCGAATGTTGAATCAGGGTGAAATTAATTGTTAACTTTAAGCAAACAACAAACGCAATCAAACGTGGGACGAACATAGCGAATGATTGTGGTGGGGTGGAGGGTAGGGGTTGGGGTTGGGGAAAATAAAATTAAATGTTTCCCAAGAAACGACACAAAAGGCAAACAGTTAGTGCGCAAAAATCGCTGTGTTACCTTTATATTTCTCCTTGAATGGGTCTCCGCTCTGTGGGTCTCCCCCCTTTTTGACGTACTTGGGCTCCCGTCTTTGCTGCTGATTTTGGCATCGCTTCACTGGAGTCGCAGATTGAAACATAAAGCGGAAACCCAACCCTACAAAGGGAACCACAATGGACGAATACTCTTGCAGAAGGTAGTTGAGAGTATTAGAAGAGAGAGTGAGACAGAGAGTGCCCTTGCTGAGTGTTTTATTGGGAAGAGAGGAGAGTGCGGCGAATACTTCCATTTTACCTTTTCGAAAGAACTTATGACAGATTTTCTTTTATAATATTTCCTAAAGTACTTTCATAATAATTTCCCCTTTATCAGCAAAATATTCCAACTATTCGTTGCCATGTACTTTCTGTTCAACAAAGGATCAAATTATATTCTAATAAACATTTTTCCCTACAATAGGACACCATAAACTATACTTCCAAAGAACTGAATTAGATATTCAATTGCTTTTGGCGGGTGGGCATTATGCCATATACATAAGGCATGATATAATAAACAAGATCACTAGAAATTTGCGTTTACATTTCCCTAGCAATCATTTATTTATTTGTTTTGATTTTAGATTTATTGAATCTAAACACATAAAGAGATTCCGCAATTTGAATGCACGAATAAATTCCTGCACATTGTGAGCTTATGAATCATTCAAAGGAAGAAAATAAAATATATAATATTTTGTACCATAAATCAGTTCTGTGCTTAACCATTTTATGTGCTAAATATTTCAGAAATTTCCTTCCGAAAACTAGTAAGAAAACATGGCTGAAATTATGCACCTGAGAGAACCCTTAAAGTAAGGTAAGTGAAGCATATACTTTATAAACTCATCCATTGCCTAATTCTCATTCATATTCTATGAGAAATGCCATCTTAAAGTTCAAAATATTTTCTTTCACAAGAGAAATTTTAGAAATTTCAATTAAAATAAATAAAAATAAAATAAATAATAAATAAAATAAAATTAAAATAAATAAAATAATAAATAAATAACGCGCTTTAGAAATTTCAATTAAAATTCCAATGCTACATAGATGAATGATATTCCCATCTGAATACTCTCTTCATTGGGTATTTACCCATATGTACTTTATCTACATAAACTAGCCCACATTCCATCTATGCATATGCATCTGCCCAAACTGCATCTCCATTCGTTAATGACCCACAGTCTGCCTCCTTTTAAATTTTAGAGCAAGCAATGCAAACGAATATTTGGACAAACTTACCTTCGAACTTTTCATATGCAGCGAAGCTTAACTTTTCCGGTACATAAGATGAGCCGCGACGCGAACCAGTGCCGCCACCGCCAGCCCCTGTGACGGCGGCACCTGCCAACTCTGGCAGGGTTGCCAACAGCGACGATGTCGGCGTGGCCAGGAGCGTTGTCTCCTCCATCAATGGCAGCGTATTGGCGGAGCTATTGCCCGCCGCGGACTTCTCGACCGTAAAGCTGGCGACCTTCTTAAGCACATTGCTCGTGAGCATCGGCGTTGTGGGCGTACCAAAACCAGGGGGCGGCGGTAGCGGTGGCAATGCCAGCTCTGCCATCTCATCCTCCACATTGTCAGACGGTATTGAAGTAGCAGTCGTCGTTGTTGTTGGTGTTGGAGTTGGGGTCTGAATCGTAGACGTCGTCGTCGTTTGAGACTGCACAGGTGTTTGAGATGATTTAAACGAAATTATAACAGTTGATTGCGTTTCCAGTGAGGATAACGACAACGACGATGGTGTTGCTGCTGCTGCTGCTGGTGTAACGCAGGAGGAGCCAGAGCCAGTGCCAGAGCCGGAGCCTGCTGTTTGAGCTGCTGATGCCACTGCTGATGCTCCTGTGAATGAATGAATGACGAGGCAAATGGCATTAGCTGGATAAATTTGTATAGAAATTCACGCACACACCCCCCCCCCATCATTCCCCCATACTCGCTTGGAAAATGCTCTCAAAGCTTGTGTAGAGTCCTGTTTAAATGGGTGAAAAATTGAAGATAAATGTTACACGTAGTGCCGCAGTGCGTTTAGAAGTCACTTCACATAATTACTGGTTAAATTGTTGTTTGAAATTCTCTTTTGGTGTAGCAACATTTTCCATTTATTTATCATTTTTGCACTTAAATTTGTTTTTTGGGTTTTGGGTTTTAAATGGAGTTTTGCACAGCTTTATATCGAGCTCTAACGGGTACTTAAATATTACATGAATTCGTAGAAAAATGTTGCTGATTGGTTGGGAAAATGAATGCTTATCAAATATAAAAGAAAATATAAATATTTTCTTGGAAAAATGTTCTGTGCGCCCCTGGAAAATTCTGAAATATTTCAACAATTCAATGAATAAATCAAACACTTTTCTGTATCTAAATTTTAATTATGATAAGTATCGCTTAACTAATCTGTTAACAGATTTAATGGGACGTCATCTCAATATCTATCTATCTATCTATCTATCCATCAATCTTTCTATTTGTCTGTATATAAATTCATCTACATATTTATGTATCCATCTACATATCTTTTTATTTGTCTATTTGTTTATTTATCTATTTATCTACACATACATATATCTATCTATCTACCTGTCTAATAATAATACTTTCCGTAATCTTTAATGAAAGCCTTTTAAAGCCAAGAACTTCTTTAAGCAACTGTTTTCTCACTCTATCTCTCTGTCTCATGTTTTATCCATTTTTTATAGTCTCATCCGCCCCGCACAATCTGTTTTGTATGCCTTCAGTCAATATTTAAATGATTTATACATTCATTAAATCGAAATTCATGTTAAAAAAAAAACAGAACAGAACAGAAGCCATAAAAAATTGCCTCGCGCAAACATATAATTTTTCTAGTGCATTAAATCTTCCATTATCCAACACCTAGCCCCCTACCACCCTACCACCCACCCACCAGCAATCAGATTGTGTATTTTAAGGCAGACTCCTGATTTTAGGAAGCAAATTTTTATGGCCCTCCTGTCGCCTGCCTCCAATCCAATCCCCCGGTTTCTGATGCTCCGATTGAGTAGACCCCGCGGAGCGCTTATCGTGCGGCCCTCATCATCATTGACTGTGTACCCAAGTGGTTATGCCTCCTCCTACCTCCTGCCCCCCTACTTCCACCCTTCGATTTGCGCGGAATACTCCCGCGTGTATCATTCTATATAACATGATTTAATTAAAATTTAAACTTTACTTTTCTGTTTTCTGTTTTTTTTTGTTTTTTGCTCGCGTTTTTTTTATTTTTGTTGTTTTGTTCCCCCGTCGAGGAACAATGGGGAATACGGACACAGGAACAACAGGAAAAACGGGGAAAAAACGATGGAAGTCCGAAGCCTGAAGCGCCTGTTTACCCCCTACCTCCCTCCCGCCCAACCATGCCAGCGTTTTCCTGCCTTTCCGGCCAACATTTTGTAAACAATGAAGACGTGTTTGCAATTTTTAAGTTTTCACAAATGTTTTGTTTATTTTTTGGGAAAGTATTTTGATACCGCGCTTTTGGGTGGCACGAATAAAAGTATCCTGTGGCGATGCATGTAACAGGAAGGATGTTAACAAGGGGATTAAAAAAGCATTTGCTGAAGCATTTCAAGGCAGTAAAACATGAGAGGAAAATCCTAAACACATGGGTGCCAGAAAATGCCGAAGAACTAGGCTAGGAAAGCAGAAAGGAAACTTCCAATAAATCGACATACCAAGTAACACTTAGTCGTCGCAATATCTGCTTAAAATATCCCACCTAACTTGTATATTTTTTTTTTTGCTAAGGATCATTTTATTTTACTCCTTAGGGTATAGCCCAAGCCAAAGGCAAAGTTAAAGCGCGGGTCCTGGCGGACGGACCCAAGGCCCGAAAAAAGCAGCGAACCGTGTTCGCATTTCGCTTTTGTTTATCGAGTCGCAAGAGATGGTCCGCCATCAACGCAATTAGGTAACTGTTTGGGGAGTCTGCATGGAGGATGGAGGATGGGGAGCTGTACTGATAGAGCGGGGGGAAGGTATTGGATGATGGCGAGATTGGGGGCCAATTATATATTTAAAATATCATGTGAAAGGAGACCCTGGGAACGAGTCCTTGCATAAATGTGCCAATAATTACTTTCGGGTTCGTCCTGCTCTTGTTTTCCTTCTACTTTTTTTTTTTTGCCATCATTCAACATATTTCAGCATCCGCTGTTGATCGGATCAGTTCGGGAAAACAAAGAAAAGAGTTCGATGGTTGGGGTTTCTTTTTTGGGGTGGCTGGGCTTTAAGGTGTAAGCGGAGGCGACTGTTGCTGCATAAGTTAATTAAAAAACTTTGCATTAAGGGTTCGCTGCCATGCCCCTTTTTCCTGTCTTTTGTGTGTGTGTGTGTTGGTTAAGGTTTTTTTTCAGAGTTTGTACAGAAATTTCTCAAGTTCATAAAGTTTTTATGGCACAGAAAGAATGCGAATCATTAGAGAAGTGCAAATATTTATGGATATATTTTAGCTGCCTTTGAAAAAAAAAAGGTTTCAAGAAGTCAAAAAAAGAACACAAGAAATCTTCGATTTTTTGCCAGAAATAATTAGCTCTTAAATCAGAATAAGGGAATGGAAAGTATGTATGGGAAGTAGTATGTGAATTTCCCTTTTTTAAATTATTTTCAAGTGTAATCTTAGCACTTCTGTCTTGCTTGAACAAATAAACTCTATTTAAATCTAGCAAACAGTCAAGAGGCAATGAAAAATCAATAATCATTGATGACACTTGGCACTGTCAAATAATAAATATTATCATTAATAGCAGAACTAATTTCTATAATTTTAATGGTTTTATGTTCTGCGAAATTAGCATAATAGATTCTTGAATATTTTTTATTTATTTATATTTCTCTATTGACATTATTTATACTGCAAATATGCTAATAAATAAATAAAAACATCTGACAATCAATCGATATTTATGCTTTCATTCCAATTCCCATTACTTTATTTCTATTTTCAAATCATAAATGTCTAAAGCCTCAGCTTTTCTTTAAAGTTTTTTTGCCCTCTTGCAACTTGTTGGTGTGTTTTCCCAGGCACTTCAATTATGTGCCAACAGAAAAGAGGGACAGCAGACAGACAGACAGACAGATAGTAGAGCAATAGCTAGAGGGAGAGGGAGAGGGAGAGAGGGTGGCCCCACTCCAAACAACAGTTTGACAAGCACTCCAGGCCCAAGCCGTATTTACCTTTGAAATTGGCGCAGAGAGCAACAAGCGGCACGACAGCAACAACAACAACAATAAAAAAAGGGACAGGACAAGCTTTTAGGACACGGTTATTTTTTTTCGGACTGAAGGACCACTCAGTAGAGCACACACAGAGGCACACAGACAGAGACATATGGCATATGGCTGCAAGTGGGGGGCACAACAAACAAGCAGCGTCGTGGGGCCACAAAATTGGGAACAAAAAAAAAAGCAAAAATTCTTTCTTTAAAGTTTCGATTCTTACCTGCATCCTGTGTGGCAGGAGGCGGCGGTGTTGGACAAACGGCGGCCGTGAAGCGCGACGATAGATTCTGTAGTTCCACCTTCTTCGACTTGGACACATTGAAGAGCTCTCCGTTGCCCAGTGGGGAATCCACTCTGGTGATGCCTGGCGTGCCGCTCTCCACAGTGCTGCCACCTGTCGTTGTCGGCGGCGTCGGTGAGGCGGTGCTGCCCAGCACCTGGGCCAGCTTCTTGCCCAGCTGCAGGGCCATCAGCTCGTCTGGGGAACCCTCTGACGCTACCAGCTGTTCGGATCCCGACGGATGCCGCTCCTCCGCGTCGTCCGACACTCGCCGATCATTGGCTATATGCAGGTACGATATGGGCGTAAGGCTCAGGCAGGCCAATTTGTCCGCGCGACACCGTCGCTGCAGCTCAAGCACAGCCTTGGCGGTGCTCGGCGAGAGGGTGTCCACCGAGGTAACGCTGATCTCGCTCAACGGACGATCCCGTTTCGGTGGTGCTGCTGCCTCCGCTCGATTCGCCTGCAGATAGTCCTTGGGTGCCAGCAGGGCATCGACTGGATCTGTGAATAGGGAATCATTGCTTGAGCATGAGGTGCACAACGATCTCTGATCATGGTCAAAGCTATGGCTATGATGATTCTGATATTGGTAGTAGCGATGCTGATGCAGGTAGCATCGTGGATGATGACGCTGCTGCTGTTGTTGCTGTTGTTGCTCTTGATGCGTCAGAGTGTCGCTCGAGGCATAGCAGCAGGAATTGTCGCTCACACAATTGTAGTACTCTAGCGAATCGGTATAGTCCAAACTGACCACGTCGTCTACACACATACATATGTAAATGTTGGTGTTGTCCGTCGGTAGAGTATAGAGATAGACATACAAGATGGAGAGAGATGCAGTTGAATAGACAGAGAAAGTTATAGGGCAAAAAGTATATGTCAGAATTCTGGCCAACAGGTTGGAAAATATGAGAAGGGAAATAAGGAAAATATTTGGAAAGTTGGATGAAACAAAAGAAGCAACTTTAAGAAAAGATAAGTTAAAACAAAAAGAGTAATCAAAAGTCTTACATGATGTGTACATATTAATTGCAATAAGAATTACACTCAAGCTTAAAAGTCTACCAAATTATAGTTAACGATAGCTGTACGATTTTAGAGGTTTGTATACAAAATTTATGTTTTTACTACTAAAGAATCCTGAATTGAATGGATATAGAACTTTTTAGAAGAGAATTACAGAGGCTTCTACTCGAAAAATCATAAATTTTATCAAGGCTCAATCCTCAAATATCTAACAAAAACAAAATTTCAAGGAAATGAATGGCTAATTTTTTTATATTCAGTCTTATTTAAAGGTAAATATTAATTCAATATATATCTTAAGTTCACTTAAAGCCATCAAAAAGCTAACGAAATATCCCTGATAGTTCGGATGATCTAACTGCCCAAATATTTTAAAATTAATAAAAATAAAGTCTGCCAACTGCTCCTCCTTCCTCGCTTGATTTATGTTTATGTCCCATTGGAGGAGGATTGATGGCTCATTCACAAAAAAATAAAACAAAATAAAGCGACATGTGTGGAAAATAATAATTAAAAAAAAGTAAATACTCGTAAAAGAAGGCGCCACTGGAACACCAAAAGAGAGTGAAGTGAGCGTGAGAGAGTAGCTGAGCGTAACAGAGAGCAACAGCGCTCTCAGAGAGAGAGAGACTGGACTGGAAATCAGAAACCGAAACCGAAACAGTGGCAAAATTATGAAAATCCATATGGAAAATGGTCAATAAAAGAAAAACCGCAAGCAAAGCACACAAAATAAACAACAACAACACAAAAAAGAGGTGTGCAAGGCAAAGAAAAATGAAAAGTTAGGGTTCGAATGAGGGGCGATAGCGAGGTGAGGTCAAAGAAAATCCGCCCCAACACACAAAAAAAATAAACAAAGAAAATAGAACTGAAAACTGGTTTCGGTTATGGGTCTGTCCCTCCCTACAAGAAAGGTTCGTCGGGGGAAGAGAGGGGTGACACCAAAGCGTTGGCGTCAGTTTATACTCCCTCTCTTTCTGTCGCTCTCCCTATATCTCCTCTCGTTCCACACGCACACCATTTGTAATACACTTTAAAGAGGGGTTTTCGGTTTTATGAAGGTTATGAAGCAATTGCGATCAAAGAAGGTTTATATACTCTTCATCAGCTTCCAGAATATGAGTCTAATAATTATTGGGTCATTACAGATCCTTAATATACATATATTGTATAGCCCACACAGTACCGATCGGTAAAGAAACTACTTTAAAAATCGTTATTGCTAATGAAAATAATTTCACTTAATGTTCAAATTTCTCTTAACACATCACTCACGAAAAATCGTTCAAAATCGTTTCGCACTCAAGGGTATTACACCCTTCGGTCTGCCAACTTTCAGCCTTCGCTCTCGTGTTTCATGTTTAATTTGTTGTCCATGAGCAATTAAAGCAAATTGAGAGCAAAACAAAAGGCCAAAAAGAAAAGAAAAAAAACCGAAAAGATGGACACAGAGATAACAAAGGAAAAGGCTCTGCCTCAAAGAAGAAGCAGAACAAAGTTCAGTCCGAAAAGAGGAGGAAAGGGAGAAAGAAATAAAAATTCGTATAACCCTGCTTGGACACCTGTAGATGTGGTTGTTGTTTGTGTTATGTAGTTGTTGGCAGCAAATTAGCTAATGGCATTTGTCAAGCACACAGCGCACTCTTCCCGGCGAACACAATTTGTCACTTTTCACAGATTTTTCCACCGTATTTGTGTTTTAATATTTTTCACTCCGTTTCGTTGGCCCGTCGCTGTCGTTGGGCTCGAACCGATCTGCGCGGAAGCGGGCTCAAAAAGTTAATAACAACCAACTGGTTTCCAGAATGGAGGGCTCGCTCGCTCACCAGACTGGAAAGAGGCACAAAAACAACGCTGGAAAGTCGAAAAGCCGCACACAGCAGACAAGACAGACACAGAGAGAGAGAGAGCAAATAAAAGAGCGTGTCGGCAAGAGAGAGAGCAAGTGAACAGCGAGAGAGCGAGAGCGCGTTGGCGGTCTTAAGCTCGAATTACATGAAACGAAAGCAGAGCAGAGCAGAAAGGCAGACAAAAAAAAAGTGGAACGCTGATCGACTAGCGAATGTTCTATAAGCGGAAGAGTTGGAGGGTACTCGAATATGAGTGAGGGTAATGTGGAATATATTTCAACTTTAGACTTTCTTCAGACTTTCTTCAATCAATGATCAATATAAGAAGTATTTTATATATAGAAATTGGATTAATAAAACTATAAAAAACAAAACTCCCAAGCACAGTTTCACTCCCAAACACTTTTCCACAAACCACATATACCCTTCTTTGTGCCGCATACCCAGCATAGAGGCAGAGCAACAGCGCACTATGGTCCCAATGACCACTTTTGTTGGCCAAAACCCATTTTTCAAAAGTTAAAAAATAACCCTGGTTTTGATCACTCTGTATTAGAAAAAGAGTGAGCTCATAAGTTGCGTACCAGAAATTTCCATAGATGACGGCACATTCGCAAAATCAGCTGTGCAGTGAAAAAGTGGCAATTTAATTACAGTTTTAAATCTCTCATAAATTGAAAAATACGATTAACCGATCAAATTTTTTGATTGAATCTTAATTTGTTGGGTTTTTACTACGTGTTTTGTATTGTTAACTGTATCTCGTAGTTGTGATGTCTTAGTACTTTTAGGTTAAAATGAGTCCTTTTTTTTAGCCAATTTTGATTGAAAACTGATGTTTGAAAACGTATATTTAGTGAGTCCCACCTAGTCCCACCTTGAAATCTATTGTGTGATGTAGATTAATAAATTCTTGTTGAAATGTATATAGTAAGAAATACCATATTTGACCACAAATCTTAAAATTTTCATTAGTAGAATATAACCTCAAAATCAACAATACAGAGTTGTTTGGCGTTCTTTTTTGTGCTAAAACAATAAGTTGAATGCCCAGAGAAGGCTTAATTGATTCGCAAGACTGTACAGAACCCAGTAAGAAAACCGCAAACTTTCTGACCCAACGAGCACCCTGGAAAACGCGTTTTCCACCCTACACAAGGGTTTTTCTCTAGGTGGCAACAATTACAACAATTTTTTTGTTTTCAAATCAAAATTTGTGTTGTTTTTATGCGTGCCACGCCTTTATAATTCTAATAAAAATTATTTAAACTAATTTCTTAATAAAACTGTTATAATTACTTCCTATTCCCTATCATTAACTATTTTTTAATATGCATTATCAAAAAAAAGGCGGTGCCACACCAATTTTTTTTTTAAATCTTCTTCTATTGATTATATATATACGATACAAGAAACTAATTTGAAAAATCTTGTTTCGTTTTCGAGTTATTAATTTTGGCCAACAAAAGTGGTTGTTGGGACCATAGTGCAGCGTCTGAGTGTGCATGTGTGTGTGTGTGTGTGCTTACCTACAACTGCAGCTTCGCTAGCTTCGTTTGTTGTTGTTTTCGTCGATTCTAGTGCTACCTCTATAGCTGTTTCTATGGCTCCCGTTGCTTCTAGTGCTGCTGCCGTAGTTTTTGTTGCCATTGCTGTCTCAATTGTGTCGACCAAAAGATCTTCAATGAAAGCATCATCGGACTGATCATCCATATCGTATGTTTGCCTTCTCTTCGGTTTGGTCGGTGGCTGTGGAGCCGTGCGACGCTTGCGCGGCTGTTGGGTGGTGGGCAGCAGCCGCTGTTTGGGCAGAATCGCTTCGACGCCTTCTCCCGCTGCTTGATCATTCCCCGCATCTTCCACAACTGTATTTTTGCCCAGCTTTGTGGACAGCTGGCAGAGCTGTGCCAGGCTGCAGAGTTGTTGATGCTCCTGCTCCTGATGTTGTCCTCTTTGTTGTCTTTTGAGACGCGGCGGCTTGACGGGAACTTTATGGGGAACAAGATGCATACTTTTGGGCTTACGCATTTTAAAAAAAATTTTCCACACCACCACGGCAGTGGCCACCGCAGTGGATACGTTGCAAAGGCACCGAATTTTCATTACATATTTTTGGGAATTTACTTTTGCAATGGATTTTTACTAGGCTTACGGGCACTTGTTAACACAAAAGCTATATATTTTAATTGCAAAATATTGCCATCTGATCCGGGGATTATAGCTACTGATAGATGGAATAATTTTTGGACCCCAGGCACAGTCCAAACTCCATAAGGAGCTGCTTTAATTTTGAATTTTTGTAGCCAAAAAAAAAAAATATGCGTCAAAAACTGAACATGACAATTCGACTACATGTTGCTGGGGTTAGATCCAGCGATCCAAAGAATATATATTCTTTGCTGGCAAGCCAGCCAGGATTGGGACAAAATTTCTGCAAAGTTTCACGGATTTTTCCAGAGTTTAAAATTAAAACCGGCAGCCAGGCCAGCGGTCCTGCAATGCTGAATATCAGCCACTAAAAACCGAATGTCTGTGTGTAATCCTCTTAAACGGATTACAATCGCCCACAGATACGATACCGTCCATTAAAATTCATTCAAAAATGCTCCCAAAAGTATGCGAAACGAATTTTTGGGTTGAATATCATTTGCCGCTCAATTATTGCATTATAATAACAAATTGTAAACAGCATTAAACAGTTGTTAAAACTAGACACACAAACAACAGACAGAGGCGCAGGCAACAAGGGGTTAAAGTGAGCGAGAGGGTTATGCATAGAGTGAGAGAGAGAGAGAGAGAGAGGGAAATAGAGTTGCAGATGAGTGAGATGGCGATAAAAGTTTACAACTTTTACATGGAAATTGTACAAGCAAAACTATTAAAACTAATTGCCATAAATATTAGCGGCCAGCCACGTGCCATGCCCCCCAAAAACTTTTCCACTGTAATGTGTTCCCACTGTACGGGTGTGGGAGTTTAATTGTGTGTGTCTGTGTGTGTCTGTGTGTGTGTGTGGAGAGAGCGAGAAAGGCAGCTTAATTGAGCACGTGTTGCCGTTGCCTCTCACTACCGCAGGCGCTGCAATTGTCGAAAAAAAAAAAAAACAACAAAAACGAGGAACCAAAAACTAAGCCAAAACTCAACCAGCAGCGACCCTCCAGCCCCGTGCACCTCACACGCTGTTCCAACATCTACCCCCCACACATGCTTCTCCACCATCTCCACCACACATGTTGCCCCATGCCCCACCACCGCTCATACACTGCCCCACCATCTTCCACAAAAAGCCTTTCATTTGGGGGGCGTTCCATTGGTTGGTAGTGTTTCGGGATATGTGGCTTTCGCGTAGAAGTGTTTCGGTAATGGGATAAGGAGAGGAAACAGGGGAAGCAGGGCAATGATTGCGCGTAGCTGTGGATCAACGAGTTTATATGGTAAATAATAATTGGCTGTAAAAAGATCTGGCTGCTAATCAGGAAAACATTTGGAAACTTATGCACAACATTTCATAGAGCAATTTCATACTAGCTTCAAAATACTCAATAAAATAGCCATGAAAGCACTCAGCACTGAATCGTATAAAATTATGTAGATTATGTCATGTAAGACAGCTACAGCAGCTCTATAAAAGTGACAGTAACCAATGAAATTTCTATGAAGGTTTCCTTCATCTGCAGCTTTAAAGCAGAAGAACTCAACACCGATAGAGCGCTACCCGCTAAAGATTGTTATAAGCGATACATGTATATAGTTATAGTAATAATTATATAGTTATATAATTATTTAGTTATATAATTATTTAGTTATATAATTAAACAGTTACAGTTATAGTAGGTACATTAGTCTGTTGTATTAATTAGCAGAATTAATTCTATCCCCAACCATAAGGGTTCTATAGCTATACATATGCGCGTCTTTTTTGCCACTGTTAAATGCCAGCAATTGCCTTCATTATTCTCTTTCCTAAGATTTTTATCAAATTCTGCCCAAGGATCGTGGGTTTTCCTGCCTTCCTACCCCTCTAACCCATATATGCCACGTCTTTAACCGAATCCCCACGAATCTTGGCCCACATGAATTATGAATTTATGCATTGAAAGAGGCCCGAAAACAGCTGTGTGTGTGTGTGGGTGGGTGGGTGTTTGTGTGTGAGTGAATGAATGAATTGAGTGGTGGGAGTGTGGGATTGGCAGGTCCAAGCAGCAGTCGGCAGGAGGTCGGGGAGGTATCATCTCTCATCGCCTAAAAGGGAATTTTTGATAGGGAGCTCGAGCCCGAGCCCACTCGCCCACATGCCCCCCCTTCCCTTCTCCTTTGCAGCAGGTCCTGGGCACGTTTAGGATTTTTCGTTGATTTGATTTTAGACTTTGGCCCCGCACGCTGCAATGGCAAAAGCTCCATGCAGTCGGGGGCGGCGCGGGAGGCATGATGGAGCATCTCTTTTTCGGCTCTGAATTGCTTTTTGATATCACTCAGCCTTGAACGCGTTTTTCGCGTCTTTGTAAAGCGCGCAAAATACCGAGGCACAATACAGGAAAAAAAAACCCCAGCTACGAAACAAAAACAAACCCGGGGAAAAACGTTTGCCAGAGTTCCGTTCTTTTGGTTGCAAATTTGAATGTATTTGATGCACTCTCAGGGGTACAAAGGGTATAACGGCTATGCGGGAAGGTTTGCCAGTGGGAATGGAAATTTTCTGCATGTTTTTCTATTTTGAATTTGTTTGCAAAATAATGTTAAGCATCTCAGGAAACATCGTTGCCAAATTCATATTCATATTCATATTCCCATTTTTACTACTCAAAATCCCAGGCATAAACGGCTGGCCAGCCAACCGAGGGGCACTGCTGTATAACCCAACCGGGGGCTGGGGCGTACTTGTGTGTTCCTTAAAACTATTTTCCCCAACTAATAAGAGCATTTCATCGTTCACTTTCGGCAAGGGCCAACCCAACCCTTGCCTTTCTTGTTGCTCACGAATTTTCCAGCTTTGAGTGATTTTCTGTTCTTTTTTTTTTTTGGCGTAAATATGTGTCTGTGTTGTTTTTTTTTAAGTATTGAGGAAAAGTCAGTCGCCTGCAGCTTTTTGAACTCGACGCGTTTTTCTTATGGCTGTTAATAGACAGTCGTGAGTTTTTGAAGTGGGTCGCTGCCTCGGCCACGTTATGCTTCTGTTCATGCTCCTCCGCCCAGCAAGCAGGCTACTCCTCGCTCCTACCAGCTCCACATCTCTGCCAGTTCTGGCCTTCAGTTTTGGGTTCTGTTTTGTGTGTGTTTCGGTTCCTAAGTTTCTGTCTTGTGTTGAGTTATGACTGGGTACGTGCTCGCTTTGAGTGTTGCTTCCAGGCTTCAGGATGCTGTGGGGGGTTCTGTTCTGTTTGTGCTGTTTGTGCTCTTCTTTTAATATTTTTAAAGGAAACATCTTAAAGATTTCACATGAATAACTAAAATCTATAAATTTTTGATTCGTATACGAAACAACCGAAAGGAAACTTTCGAGTTAAAAAATATTATACATATATATTTTTGCCCAGGCCAAAATGCCAATAAGTTACAAGCAGCCTCGCAAAACTCTCACAAGTTTTTTTTTTTTTTTTTGTCGAGGCTTCGATGAGGGATGGTTGCACGGCTACGGAACCGAATGAAGGTGCCACAAAAACAACAACCAGTGTGGCAGGGGGCATGGCACACAAAAACTGAAGCTCTAAAATTCAGAAAGTCAAGCGGTAGGTCTGGCCGTAAGGTTAGAGCTAGGGTTGAGGTGGGCAGCGTGGGTGGGTTCGGGGTCGGGTTGGTGGTGGGGGTGCTGTATGTGGAGTGTAGAAAATTTCATAAAAAACTTCAATGAAAAGTTTATATTTTTCTCGTATCGTATCGTTCTGGTTCATTTTTGTTGTGTTACGGGGGAACTTGCCAGAAAAAATTCTTATTTAAACTACGCTTAAATTGCAATAAAGTTGAGTTTCAGACAGAAAGAGAGTGGGAGAGAGAGTTGCAAGGGCAGTGCGTTACATTGTTGTCAGAAGGTTTGGAGGGCTAACATTTGGTTTTGGGTTTTTGACGAATAATTTTCTTCATTTTTTCGCTTGCTTAAATCATATTTATGAATGATATTTCTATTATATTATGTCGATAACTACAGCTAGAGCTTTCTTGGGGCTAAGTTATGCCGCTACAAGTCCCTTGTAAACGCCCTAAACTACCGTTCCGCACTGTCTTCCAAAGTGAAGCGTTGCCGGAGTTGTATATTAAAACAAAAGTCCGACAGAAAAAAAAAAACTGCAAATAATAAAATGAGAGCAAAACCCCCAAACGAACAATAGAAGGTACAACAACAGCAAAAAAAAAAGTTGCCATATTGGAAAATGCAAGAGGACAATTTGGTGAAGGGTCACGTTGAAGGGCAGCAGAACGGGGAGTAAGGGAAAGTAGAAATGGAAGAAGAAATTTTCCAAAAATAGAAAACAGGTAGGAAAAGCTGACAGACTGAAATTTGATGCAAAACAACAACAACAACAACAGCATTTACAACAACCATAGGAATCTCAACAACAACAAAATAGAGTTGGGAGAACTTAAAGAACGAAAAGTCGAAAATAAGTAAGAAAAACTTTTAAAGCCTTGCAAATCAGCTTAGAAAACTGTATTTTTATTGATTACTCTGATCATATAGAAGAGCTTGAAAAATGCTTTAAAATTTATAAAAATATATTTCTATTAAATAAATATAAAATATAAATATTAAATATATTTATATTAAATTTATAAATCAGTGACAAGTTTTCATTGAAACATACCATAGGACATGGCTATAACGACTCTAAGAATCATCCATATCATATATATGTATCCATAATATGTATGTATGTATTTAAAAATTCTCTACAGAATTAAATACTCTACCAAAAAAAAATATGCCAACAAATCAGAACACGCCCTGCAAAAAGGGTATAAAATGGGACCACCAAAAATAAAGTAAATAAAGTCAAAAATCACCAACGAAAACTCAACAACAACAACAACAATAATAGCCAAAAACAACAACAGTACGAGCTACAACAACAATCACACAATAAGAGAATGGAGACGGGGGAAAAACTTTGAAAATTGACTTACGAAAATCTATTTGTTCTGCGCTGGCATCCAATTGTCCATGCTCGACTGCTGCTGCCGCTGCCGCTGCTGCTGTGGTCCAATCCCCAACCACCGAGACGACTCCCTCGCCATTGGCGCTGCTGGCAACAGCTTCTCCTGCAGCTGCTCCGCCCGTTGTGGAACTCGTTTTTGGGTGCAGGAATGCCTCCCGAATGCGTTTCTGTCCCACCAGGCGACCGAGCACCCGCACTCGACTGCGATGCTCCACCAAGCTGCCACCCAGGACCAGGGGCGATGTAGCGCCGCCGCCGCCGCCGATTCCCAGGCGCACTAGACTGCCACCTGGCGGCGGTGACTTTTCATCGCCAGTTGTGGCACGGTTCTGGGAGTTTCCCATGTTTCCCGATTTTCCAGTATCTGCTGTCGGCTTTGGATGCTGTTGCTGCGGCTGCTGATGCTGCTGCTGCTGCGAAAGAAGTTTACAAAAATCAATTAAAAAACTTTTCAATCAGTCGCATTGTTTGGGTTTGGATTTTAAACTTTTGGTTATTTTTTTGTGCATCTTTTAGGGATGCTCTAACAGGGGGTAGATATATTTGTGGAAATATAAGTACTTATGTGATAAAATCTATGTTGAATATATCTTAGATTGAGCTATAAAGAGGATAAGGTACAGGCGTTTGCCAGAGATTATAGAAGCCAAACAGAAATGAGGCCTGTGAGGCAGAGCACAAGGTAGAAGGCAATAAAATCGAACGAAGAGTAACGGACAGAGTAAGCTGAAGTGAAAGATAATAGATATAGCATTCTATAATCTTGTGTTCTATAATCTTGGATTTTACTTATTATTTATTCACTAGAGCATTCAATCTTCGTACGTTTCTCCGTTTATTTTTGTCTACTTTTTGGGGCAGGCAACAAAAGTTTGCTGCTTTTTTTTGTTGTTGTTGTTGTTGTTGTTGTGGCGAAAATGTTGCAGAAATATGAAATGAATTAGTTGCAGAACAGAACAGAAAAGGTAACAGAACAGAACAGAAAGGTGGGTGGACTGGTGGATTGGCGGATTGTTTGGTTGGATTGTCGCTGGTTTGGTGGCCTAGGAGAAAGTTGACAGAAAGTTGCTACTTTAGTTGTTTGATTTCTAAAGGCAAGTACCCATAGTATTTGCGGAATGGTTCGAGCGGGTCGACTGCGACTGCTGTGGTTGATTCTGAGTCTACTGCTGACTGCTGCTGCTGCCTGCTGCTGCTGCTGCTGCTGTGTCAATAGCCAAATGCTCGAGGCCAACGCAGTTGCAGGTTGAATGGGAAATCGTTGTACTCCCTCTCCCTCTCCATCTCTCCCTCTCCCTCTGGCTCTGAACTTTTACTTTTTGCACAAGTTTTGTCGAGAAATTTCCACCGATAATGATCATTAAAGAGAGATTTTTACTATAAAAAAAAATATAAAGTTAAGGATAACCTTTGTTAGACATCTGTCAGGTGGTCGACTGACGTCTATAGTACTCGTTGGGGGGTGGTGGGGGGTTTTGTGCCAAAGTATTGAAATTTCATTTGCATTCGGTTCGGTAAAGTTTTGGCCCATGCTCAAGGTTTTAGGCGAGGCAAGTAATTTCTGACTTTTTTCCCAACAATTAAAATTTTAATTCAAACATGAAATTTCTATTTGTGACAAGACCACGCCCCGCGGCGGTTCTTTTCTTTTTTTTTTTTTTAGTGTAATTGTCATGCAGCGGCAGGACAGTCCAATGGTGGTTGGTACTATGTAATGGGATTGTTCCTTAATTAAGGGTTTCAAGGTTCCACAAGGAAGGGCTTTTGGCTTTAATTGGTGCAATGTTTGAACGAGTAATTAAAGGGTATGTGTGGGTACTGAGAGGCATTAAAGTTGGGTGCCTAGAGCGCTATTATACCCATTCAAGTCAAGTTGATTTGTTAGATTTGATTTACAAAGACTCCTAATGCGTTTTTAAATAAGTAAAACATTTTTCTAATTCTTTTTTATATGGAAGCAGCAATAAGATATGCAAAAATATAGTAAATCTTTTTGATGATAATAGTTCTGGCTTGAAACAGAGTCTTGGGACAAATATTGGAGAACAATAATACTATTTTAATATTTTTAATTAATAATAAAAGAATAATATTTTTTGTTCGCAATTTGTCAGCGGGGTTAGGGTTTACTCACAAAAACTTCGTTTCAATAATGCAAATGAAATAATATATAATACAAAATGTATATTTGCGTATGTTTTTTCTATCACTTGACATGTTCAAAGTGATAAGTTTATTAACAACTACTTTGTTGCTCTTTATTTTGATGTATAACAATAATTAAGAGCTATTTTTTGCTCTACTTAAGAAACTTTGAGCAACTTTTACTTTGAACTTCCTTATCTTAATCCCTCATAAGCGTATCCCCCCCTCTCCAAAGAGTTCTTATCTTTCAGTGAACCACAAAATTCCATTGACCCAACGTTCAAAAAAAAGCCCCTCAATCGAGTGGACGCTGATATCATTCAAGTTCAATGACAGCATTTTGCATTCAACTTTTTATAATTAAAATTTTGGATAATTTTCATAAAGCCTACAAAGATAGAGAGAGAGAGAGGGAAGGAAAGAGCGTCCAAGAGTGCGAAAGCGAGTCAGACACACAAAACATTAGAGAGCCTCACGGCACTCTCATAAATCACAATAAAAACAAATTAGGGAATTTTTTATCGGCTTGGGGCCAGGGGTTGCCCCCCTGTTTTTATTAGGCGAATGGAGAGAGCCTACAAAAAAAAATTTTGTACTAATTGAAATACTCCACGAAGGGCGGGGCGGAGAGTGGTTGGGTGCTGGGACGCGAATCAAGCGTGAGAGGTGTTAAAAATTGTTCACCAAAATTAATTGGCAGCAATAAATTGTGCGTCGTTTGCCTGCCGCCCACGTGACGCATTTAACGTTTTTATGTAGATACAATTTGGAGGGTGTTTCTAAGGTGCGCATAGAATATTAAAAGCAAAAGCTATATAGACAAAATTATAGTCTTCTGATCGAGCGCTATCAAGCTATATTTTACCCTCTGTTTTATAATTTGTTTGTCACAGAATTTTGCCAAATTTAATAAAAAACGAAGACCTACTTTTAATATTATTTCAGTAAGCTAAAAACAATTATTAAATTATTAATTTTTATTAATTATTATTAAAATTATTATTATTATTAAAGCATGCTTCAAGGTCATTTAATGCTTCGATCCTGCATATCTAGCCGCCTTAATTTCCCCTGCTGTTCGCATCTCTCTCTCTCTCTCTAAATAGCAGGCTGCTCCTTAGCCCACCTAAACCCCTCTCTTACTTTTGGCATAACGACCATGTGGCGGCGTCGGCAGTCACAAGCGCATTCCTTTTAAATGTTTTTTGTATCCTTCACACAAATCAGTATTTCAATTATGAGAGGAAAAGTGAGGTGGAGAAATGTAGGGGGGTAAATGTAGGTATGAGAAAATGTAGGTATGGAAATATGTAGGTATGGAAAAATGTAGTAGGTTTAATGGAACCACGTGGAAACACATTTTCTTAATTGTGTCAAAAGCGCAATTTTCTGCAATTTTCTATGAAAATGTGAAATGAAAGTGAAAGCAAAGCGCGCACACACAAACACACAAACACACACACACACACATCATACAAGAAATAACTGTAATCCAAAAAGCTTACGCATCTAAAACGTACACAGAGAGAGAGAGAGGGACACACACAAATACACCTACCAGTCAGAGCGAGCGAGCGAGCGATAGAGAGAGGGTAGCAGCGAGCTTGTGGGTCTCCTTTTCCGGTTGCAATTTGCTATACAAATCCGCGCTTTTGTTGTCGCTATTTTCCACTACAGTCCTTTGGCTTTCGCTCGTCTGCTTCAATTTTATGCTGCCGTTCCTTAGCCCGTTCCACTTTTGCAAGGGGCGCGGCGGCGTAACTTAAATTTCTCGCTCTCTCTCCTTTATTATTTGATTGTTGAATGCTTTCCTTTTTGGTTTTGGTTTTGGTTTTGGGTTTGCTTTTTGCTAATGCCTCAAGTTCGTGAGGGTTTCTATTTCCGCTGCAACACCACGCAGCACACACACACAGCACACACACACAGCACACAGAGCACACTCTACTCAGCCGCCGTTTAATGGCCCGAAATACAGCCGATTAGTCGTTAGATTTGGCAATTTCCTATCACGTTTAGCATTTCTTTTTCGTCGTTTTCTTTTGCTCATGGCAAGCACAGCCACACACTTTAATCTTGGACTGTATTTTTATTCGTTATTTAATTGCAACATGCAGGGCCAGGCCGAACGCTAAATGCAACCTACTGCAGCTGCAGCTGTCAAAAACGAGCACTTCGGCAGCGGCCAGCAAGTGTCACAACAAAGCGAAGTGCCCGCCCGAAGCTCAAACGAAGACAGAGAGAGAGAGAGAGCGAGAGAGCGAGAGAGCGGATGAATCAGATGTTTCCACGAGAGCGAGCGCGAACGGAAGGATGAATCAGCTGACTGAATGGCAAGGCCTTCAAGCCTAGGACAACATAACGGCACGAGTGCCACAGCGTCGTAGCTATAGCGGGAAAAATCGATGGCACACTGACTGCAGTACAAAATGAACCAAACAATATGAGAGACTGACATCAAGTTTTAGGAGAGACAGAAAGAGAGCGAGCGCGCGAGCGAGATTACGTTTTTGGGAGAGCCATAACTGGACTACGTACGGTGTGATAACAGCTGAGCGCATTTGTTGTGGCCCCTCACTTTTTGTGGATTTTTTGCTCGTTTTTGGCAAGGGTTTCGTGTTGTTCAGGTATGCAAATACCCTGCTAACAAATTGGGAAGTTATTGAATATGATACTGATAATATAATACACTGCCAAATGATTGAATACTCAGGGTATTCATTAGCTATCATTGAATATTCAGGGTATTCATTAGCTATCATTGAATATTCAGGGTATTCATTAGCTACCATCAAACCATCAAGTATTTATTCTGTAGAATTTTATTGAAAGTTTTATTTATGATCTTTTAGATATGATATGAAGATAATTTTAGATACGAAGCCTTATGGGAATATACGTAGGAATAGAAGATTATGATATACTGATCTTTTGTACTGAAGAATGGAACACAATTTACTTTGCCTGCAATCTCCTTTCATCGTTATTTGTTGAAATTATTTAACTTATTGGTTTAGAATAGACTAAAAATAGATTTTATGAGTGCCGCTTATTTTTCCCTGCCACATGCCAAACTATTCTATAACCTTCGCCTAGTTTATTGCCACATGTGGCATGTGGCAGCATTCTCATTGCTGTCCTCTAATTGTAGCTCACATCTCGGGTCGTCGAAATCGAGCAATGGAATCGAGCTGCTGCTCATTAGCATTTGTGCCATGGGGCACACGGGGGACTTAATTCTAGGGTTACGATATCGTGCACTCTGCAATGACTCACACAATCAACAAACACACAAATCTGTCAAATACATATGTATGCACGTAAATGTATGCTCACACACACACACACACACATGCAAATGCAATCAGGTCCCAAGGCAATTGCAATTGTGATTTTATGAGCTTTTCCGTGGGGCTGGTAGCTTTTGTGTGTGTGTGTGTGTGTGTGTGTGGGGGGGGTGACTTAAAACATCGATCCATGAACTTAGAAATGATTATCAGCTTAGCCATCTCTCCCTCTCGCTCTCTCTCGCACTTTCATTCATTATATTTCGCCTCTCTTTAGCCCCTAAGTGGTGCAAATTACACTCTATCGCCCGCTGTCTCTCTCTCTCTCTCTCTCGTTAACCTTTGAGTGGCGCAAATAAAAGAGACTTTTGCATATATAATCGCATCATAAAATTCCATTTACGCGACAATAAAATGTTTAGCTCTGTTTGAATGAATGATTAAATGTTTAGCTCTCAGGGAGTGAATTGATGAAATGCTGCCGAAATGTAAAAACCCAAAGGGGGAGGTACATAGGGATTGCGTATGGGTTGTTCGAGTGTTCCCCCCCCCCACCACCACCCTACCCCATTCATCTGATGATTTAAGTTTTTACAATGATGACGGGACCTTTTGTGTGTGTGTGTGTGTGTGTGTGTGTGTGTTCTTCTGTTGTGGCTGCTGTTTGTTGGGACTCACAGCGTTCATTGTGATTTCCTTATGTGTGCACAATTGATAAAAATAAATATGACATGGCAGAATTATTTCATACCGAAAGGGAATACCCTATGGAAGTATTCAGCAAAATGATAAAGCAGAAAAAATTAGGAATGAATAATAGGAATTCGAATAAGAAAAGGGAATAATCGCATAAAATAAATGTCGTAGAAACCAAATTAACCAAATGAATATTATCGTTTCCCGGATCGGTTATCGCTCTTATTACTATTGATAAATGTATCAAAAATAAGTTATCTGTTATCCATTATATATTATATATTAAAATCGAAAAATATGGGGAGCATCTGTTATCAATTATTATCAATCCATTATATTAAAATCGAAAAATATGGGCAATATTCATTACATAAAAATCACATACAACTTTAATCGATTCTATCGGTTATCGGTGTGAATATAAGTCGATTAATCAAGAAAATTATCAAATTCCATTATGTTATCGATTCACTTGACTTTGATCAGTTCTTATTTCAATTTTATTGTTATCGATCAATAATGAATGTGATTGATAAGTCAATTTTTCGATTAGCACAAGCCAGCTATCGACTCTGATATTGATCAATTTTGATAACTCCGATTACTGATCATTCATTTGCTTGCAGTAATATTTTCATTTAAACCAATTCTATTGATATTTTAGTTTTGCTTCTTCCACTCGCTTTCATAAGCCATGGTTAGCGTATGTGCATAAATCGTGCAACTCTTTATCTTTTCTTTTGTTTTTATATTATGTTTATTTTTTCTGTCTTTGTGGTGTTAATTTTGTTCGGACTTTTCGCACATTTTGTGGCGTTGTTTGCCGGTCTGTTTGCTTTTGTGGGTCTCACAAACATACATATGTACATATGTATGTACGTATGATTGTTGCTCTGTTGCTCAGCTGATAAGCCGTTTATTGCTGCCTGCTATGCCACTCAGATAAGACCCCTGCGGACACATGAACGGACAGAGAGAACATACAGTTGAACTTATGTACGTACAAGCCCCGGACGGACATCAGTCGCCATGGGTCACGTACTTAGTTGTAGCCCCGGAATCGGATTAGATTTATGCATTTCGTAACTCATTAGAGGGACTCAAATGCGATTTGTGCGATGCCAACGAAGCACGGATACACAGGGAAAGAGACAGAGAGAGAGAGAGAGAGAGAGAGACAGAGAGAGAGAGGGAGAGAGATGTAGAACGGAACTAAGGAAAAGCGTTTTTAATTAGCTCATGAAAGATTTCCCATTTTAATTGGACTTAATGCATTCAAGGGAAATCCCACGAAAACTTTTACTCCTGCAAAATGTTGCCGCTTGGATTTTAATTAATTTTACACGACACATGTGTCGGTGTGTCCTAGCCTGGATATGGTGGGGGAGTGGATATGGTGGGATTGGGGAGGCCTTGGGAATGCATTTTGACACATTGTTTGACAAATTGCCAGACACTGGGGACACACATGCACACGAACAAAAGACGCACACATAAAGATGCATATGGGGGAGTGGGGAGCAGGCGTAGATACATATATATGGGTTAAGAGTGTTGCAGGCAGAACGAACAGAATCATCAAAGCTAAAACTTGACGGCAACTTGTGCAGTTGACGCACAAAGTTTAATGCCAAAAGGCATTGCCCACCCCCCACCAAATGCGGGCTTGCCAAACAGTGGAGAGAACAGCGAACCATTCCCAGGGGCTGTGTGCTAAAAGGGCCAAGCAAGTGGGAACCATAAATCAAACATAAATAAATCTCCACATAGAAATACGCTTGAAAGATCTCTGCAGTCTGCAGTGCAAAGATCCCTTTTGGGCAACCCGCCCCTGGCTTTTGTAGGTGTGCAGGTGCAGGCAACAATGTTGCACTAACGGCTCTTACTGACAACGCGCAAAATGTCGCCCGCAACATGGCGTATGAGCCAAGTCTGAGAATGGCCCCCCAAAAGCAACAACAAAAACAAAAACAACAGCAGCAGTCAGCCAGCAGCCAGCAGCCAGCAATCATCATCTGGCCCGAGTATCCAATACGCTCACGGGATTGGCTAAAACGGAGACAATATAGGACAGCAGCCGCTCGCCCCCCCCCAGAACACACAACCCAGTGCCCCCGTTCAGTGACAAAGTCAGTTATGGTCAATAAAAAGCAATGTGCAAGCGTTGGGCAGGGGGGCAGAGCAGACCGGAGCAGGGCAGGGCAGAGTGGAGCCGACAATGAGAAAGCGTTGCAATGCGACGATTCTGGCGATGCCAGAGCCCCAGCATCGGCCACCAGACAACAGATGGCGCCCTCATGCGACAGGGACAGAGTCAGAGCCAGAGCCAGAGATGATAGCCGTGAAATCGGATGAAATTGATGCGGTGCGGAAGGGGGATAGTGGGGATAGTGGGGATAGTGGAATATGGGTGGAAGTGGGAGAGTGGTAGAGTGCAGCGGAGCTAATGAAAAGCGTGTGGTTTATGTTCTGTGGGAATTGCAGCGAGTAGCAGCAGCCTTGTGGAACGTATTGGCAACGATTTGCAATGGCAGCTGAGTGAGTGATTGAACAGATCTCGCATAAAGCTAAAGGAATTGTTTGGAGCGAAACAATGAGGCTGAAACTGGACGAGCTGTGAGCGCAAACGGTACAGTTGCGTAGGCGGACTAAGCCGCTCGCTCATTGCAAGCTCTCATTGCCAATTGCTCTCTCCCACACGCTCGCCTTGCGACGGCTCTCTCTCTCTCTCTCTCTCTCTCTCTTGGACTGCAGCAGAGGGAGAGCAAACTTTTGTTCCTGTCCACTTGCCGGTACAGCAGTGGAGAGCGGGAAGGGGGTTAAAGTGCGACTGTTATGGCTGCTATGTTACAAGATCAGGTAGAATTTCATGTTGAATTTAACTAAATATATCATCCAAATTAGCATTATTTAAGTTTAATATTTCGTGCAAAAATTATCAAAAATCAAAATAAAAATCGTACCAAGCATCTTCTCTTTGATGTTACTCTAATTATGCCATATAGAGACTGCCTCTCCCACTCTCTATTTAACATCCTTTAAGCAAACTTCTGTCTGACCCGCAATAACATGATCCCTTGGGCGCAACCATAGATTTTTCGTACAAAAATTGACTTGCAAAATGCAATAATTACGTGTGTGTGTGTGTGTGTATGGTGTGTGTGGTGTTGTGTGTGTGTGTGTGGTGGCAGTGTGTGTGTTGCGCCCTGAAACATCCACTGCAAAATGTAACCACAATTTTTGCAGCGAGTCTACTGTTAGTTGCCGCATTTTGGGGGCACACGCAAAAAGTGACCAAACGAAATTTCGTGACGCGACGAAATGAAAATTATTTTAAATTATAGTTTTCCAATGGCAGGCAGTTCCCTTTCAGTTCCCTATCCCCCCCCGTCTAACCCTTCACCACAACCACATGTTAGCCCAAATATGCCAGCGACAGGTTACCAAAATTTATCTGGTTGAATGGCAACACATTTTGCACAATTTGTAGATAAAAATGCATCTGGTTTTAGGTGTTTTTTTTCTACTCTCCTCTTTGTCGTTTGTATTGGTGTTGGTGTTGGGTTAATTTTAGCAGCGAAAATTATTTGAAAATTGAAAAGGTTGCAGGGCACAGGTCGTGGGAGAACGTGGGGTATAGTGCAATATTGTAGAGCTATTTACTATAGTGGGGCGGTGCATTGAGTGTGTGGTTGAGGTGAGCATATGTAAATACGAGTGTAATAGACAGAGGGTAGAGTAGAGTACTTCGCTGTGTCCCCTATCGGTGTCTATTTGGGTGACAAAGTGGTTGAGTTTAATTTAATTGCGAATTTCTATTACAAAATATTCCACTTTTCACATTAATTCTTTGAATGACATCCTTAGATAATTTAGCTTTTGTTTTAACATCTGTTTTAAATCTCTGTGTCTCTTTCGCATCAACGTTGTAACTGGAAATCCAGAGAACACACAAACAAAAAACAAAACAACAAAGAAAGTATGATTTTTATAGTTTCTTAATTTATAAATTTTATATTTCTTAAATCATATTCCGATTTAGATCAAGCGAAATAAAACTTAACAGAGCTCCCTGCGCTCTCTGACTCATTTGGATTCCAGCAGACGGATGCCCTTTTAAAGAAAGAGCATCCTCGACAGTTCGGCTTGGCTGGCTATTTCACTTATTGAATAAACTCTTTCCAAAATATTCAAAATCCTGGCGGACATTATATTCGTCGCAAGGAGAGGGAGAAGAAGAAGAAGAGAAGTAGAAACGAATGACAATTTGCACAGCAAAATAGAAAATTTATTGTCATTACAGAGGCATGTTAATTAAGCAGCGACCTGACAGCGTGAACAGCGAAAAAAATATATAACTCAAAACTAAATTTTAAAATTCTTCTTTATCATTGATTTATGATAATATTCTATGACAATATTCTATGTATTCTACATGCAATTCTACATTAATAATGATATTCAACGTTAATAGGTTACATGGCTGCTCTGCACCTAGACTTTGACCCTTCTCATTTCTCTTCCACCAAAGCCTGTACAATAGCAAGTTGCGGACGCTTCAGGTACGGTCGCGCGAGGCTATTTCTTCATTTCTCTTTTAGGCTCTGAAATGCTACTGGCTTCGTCAATGCTAAAGTCTTTGGCGCGGCACAGTGGGGACTCAGCGGAAAAGGAGTTTCACAGGTCAAAAAATTGTATGAGCGCTTTGGATAAAATTTAGCAAGCTGAAATGGCCGAAAGCCCCACTGTGCTGCGCTGTTTCAAGCTCTCTCTGCTCGTCGCTGACGAACAGAGCATAGCCGCGCGCCATTAAAACGGTTTTTTGGTCGCTCATGCAGCCATCTTGTTATTGCTCAGTCTTTGCTTCCACTCAACACCCTTTCCATCACACACCCACGTTCGCTGAGGAACATCGTAAAGGAAGAGGAGAAGAAGGAGAGCATGGAATGTGCTAGAACTAAGTCGGCTGCGCTGCGCCATGATGAAATTAACAATTCATGCTTATAACTGTAAACCCCTTCACCAACAACTCATTCTCTCACACACCTGGACTTTGATCCTGCTTACATATATATATGTATATATGCACATATTTACCACTCAACACCCTGCCCATCACACCCACGTTTGCTATTCATTTTTGCAGTTGTAGTAGATCAGCCGAAATATTCGATCTCATTTTGGAATTGGGACATGGTGAAGGAAGAGAAGAAGAAGAGCATCGAATGTTCTAGAACAAAGTCTGCGCTGCGCCATGCTCAAATTATGCCATGCATACTTGTAACTGTAACTCTCTTACCAACCACTCCATCTCGCTCGCACACACAGCTACACTCATTTGATCTCCTATTGCAAAAGGAGAGAGGAGCACAATTTCCAATGGACAAAGAGAGCAATTGGGAAGCTGAGCAGGAGAGCATGGAATGTTCGAGAACAAAGTCTAAGCTGCCCACGCATCTGCGCCGCGCGCTCATTCCACTTTTTTCAATCGGTCAATGCGGGTGCGTCGTAAGTCGGCTCCGCGTTTAAATTCGCAAAATAGTGAAAGTGAATAGTGAAGTGAAGTGAAGTGTAGTGAAGTGAAGTGAAGTGAAGTGCAGTGTAGTGAAGTGTAGTGCAGTGAAGTGTAGTGCAGTGATTAAAAGTGAGGCGGCGGCGGCGACGAAGAAAGCAGCAAAATGGCGAAAAATGGCAACTCGGCGGCGGCGAAGAAAGCAGAAAAATGGCGAAAAATGGCAATTCGGCGAGGGAGAATGCGGCAATGCTTGGAAGTTTATTAAATGGCAGCTCGGCGAGGAAGAATGCGGCAATGCTTGGAAGTTTATTCAAAATCTGATATCTACATAGATAGTGCATTAAATCATTTTTTTTCATGTGTAAAAATCATCATTCCAGCAGTGTGTGTGTGTGCAAAAAAGTCGCTTTATTTGGTCCCTTGTCCACTACATCCTAAAATAGCGCAGTGAAACAGAGAGTGAAAAAGGAACATGCGTTCCAAGTGAAGTGAAGTGATGGGGTGAGGCATTCAAAATCAAGTGATCTGACTCTCTCTCATCTTGTGTGCTCACACGAACTTACGCCCCCGAATGCCTCACCTTAAATAAATATGCCCAAAATTTCGTGCGTTTCGTTTTCGGTTTCTGTGCGGTTTCGGTACGGTTTCCGTCGTCGTAGCGTCGTGCGGTGTCTCTCTTCGAATCGTCAGAAACTCATGTGCAGAGCAAAGCAAGGAAAAAGTAACGGGACAATCGGTAAGAAGGAGAATTGTGCATATCTTTTTTTTCTTTACTGTTGCAGTTTTTAAGTTAGATCAAGGGTTTTTCGTTTGGTCACGTGATGTGTCTGGCAATGTGAAGAGGGGACGAAAAGGGAATGAGAGAAAAATCGCGAAGCGTGGGCGCTCTCCTAACAAGCTGTCAGATTTTAGGGTGAGACACATTACATATCTTGGTGATCTGGCTCTCTCTCTCTCACATTTAGTGTGTAACAAAAAACGTGTTTGGTCTGCGGAATCTCTTCTGCTAGGAAGTAGGAAGAGGCGAAACGAAACTTAATTTTCTTTATGGCGTGGCAGTGAGAGAGAGAGAGAGGGAGAGCACTTACAGCGACACTTCACCTACATACATAAATACCCGCAACCACTCTCTCAATCATACACCAACACCTACACTCTCATTCACTCCCACACTCTCACACACACACACTCACGCAAATACAGCTAGCCATCGAGAATTCGCATTTGGAAACCGTACCGTGTACCGTACCTTTTGCAGTGCTGCAACTTTAATTGCTTTGGTGGTTTGTGCCAAATTAGATTCTGCGGTTTTGTCGCGTCGCCATTCCGGTAATCGAGGGCGGGAATCAGGTTTGGGATTGGGTTTGCGATGGGGTGCGGGTATTGGCTGTTGGAGTCTTGGACCTTGCCTTTTGCCCCAAAACTCAATTGAACGCTGGACGCCAAGGCATGAACATGGCATCTGACGCTGACGCCCATCAATTAAACTTGTCAATGGGAATGCAAAACAGCAGCGCCGCGACCAAGAAACAGGATAACAAGGAGCTCAGCTCAGCGCCTTAATAAAGGGGCAAAAGTGGGAGGGTGGGAGGAGAACAGTGGTTAAAGTTTTCGCAGCTTTTCACTCGAATAAAAGCAAAGCAAAAAGTTTGCATTAACTTCAGAGTCACGACATTAAAATTAGGTTTCCATCTTGGATATAATCATAAATATATGGATCCTTTAGGCGATTCTTTCCCTTAGAGAACTTCGGCTAGTGCTTTATTTTTATAGATCTTTAAACATGAATTTTCTACTTTCTCTTAGGTAACCCCATTTATCAGAATAAAATACGTTCCTCAAATAAATTTTTTACCATTAAAAAAATTCTTAAATAGCTTACAAAATTCCCATATTTTCCAGTTTTTATTTTAAAGAAATTTCTGTCCGCTGCTTTAATCCAATTCCTTTACTATTTTTTTTTGGCTGCTTACACATTAAGAATATCCCCAAGACATAGGATATTCGGTCTGTTGTTCGCAATGCAATCAAAAAGGTCACAAAAAATACGAATAAGTCACTCACATATTCGTATTCGTATGCCCAGTAAACATGAATATCTTAAAAAATATAAGCAAATGCTTGCTTGCTGATCCCAAATTCTGATTCGTTTCGAGGTGCCGCAGGCCATTGACATGGCTCTCGAATGTACTCATGGACGCTGTCCTAAAGATGCCTCCCCTCTATGGACTGTGTGTGTATGTCCTCTGTCTTATCCTGTGAAATGAAATTGATTTATTTTTGTTTACGCCGAGAAACAGCAAAAAGTTTACCACAATAACCGAAACTCTGTTCCAGGACTACGGACTTCTACAATGCCGTTGGCTAGTTTTTTTTTTTCCTCTGTTGGCTTATTTCTAGGGACCTCGTTATCCTGGTCTTATTGTCGAGCAGCAGTAGGGCTAATCCAAATGCTCTCTAATTACATTGGCCAGAACGAGAGAAGAGAGAAGAGTCCACAAAGTCAAGGCCAAGTTTCTGTCGTGTCTGTTGTCTACTTTTCAGGGGCTACTTATCATTTTTTAGCCGCCTTATGCCTCCTCTATACACTTGGCTTATAGACACTTATCCTAATTATTGGCCCTCTGGCCATCAGGAGAGGGCAGGCGTCCATTGAACTGTTTGTTGCCTAAGTCTGGGCCTTCAAGGTGACTGAAATGGGGTGCTTGGGTTCCAGAAATGTGACCGAAACGAGGCTAAGCAGTCGCCTGCCCTGCCCTGCCTGACCGACAAATGTCAAGATGCTTGCAGTTTTTTCTCTGCGTTTGGGGGACGCGAGAAATACTCTTCAGTTTGTTGCGGCATGGTAATTTTGTGAGTGTCTCCTCCTTACAGAGATTGTAAAGTGTATAAATCTTCTTGCATTTCTTATTATTATAAACATTACACAAACACAGAGCTGCACATGCTTGGGGCAACCATTTTTTGTTTTCCTTCCTTCGGGCGTCGTGCAAATTTATGAAGGGCACTTCAAATGGCCTACGAGTCGGGCCGGGCCGGGCGGGGCCTTACCACATCACATGGCTAAAGTCTCGCACACAGTAAACAGCAAAAAGAATGGCAATGGCATGGTGAAAATGGAAAGTGGGAGAGGAGGAAAAATGGCAAGCAATAAAAATAATTGCAAAATTCGAAATTTAAGTGTACACTCCTCAGTGTGTGTGTGTGTGTGAGGCACGTTTAAAACCCCGCTGTGTCTCCACTTAGTCACTCGCCGCAGCCCCCTCACAGCGCAGAATTCCACCTCCCTGGCTTGGCTCACACCTACCCAGCAGATCCTCTCTTCCCTATACTACTTCTGCCCCTCTCATGCTGCACAAACAATGGCCCAAAACGAGGCGAATGCTCAACGCAGTGTAAAATCAGCGAATCGCGGTTTCTTTTTTATGTACCCTGTACTTTGTGGCGCACAGAAGTATATTGGGTTTGTGGGAGTGTATGTACAGGTGATGCACTGATAGAAAAAGGATGTGAGGAGACCACAACAGTGACTGGAGGAGTCGGAAGCGACCATCGCTGCATAAGCAATCGTGAACGGCAGCCAGAAGAACTTGGAGTTTATTTGAAGGTCAAATAAAATTCAGCCGAGAGTCGAAATTTGCCGAACTTTGCCTCTTCCATTTTCTGCTCTCCCTTTTTCATATGCGAGCTTTGATCCTCTCCCACGCCATGCACGCGCTCACTCTCTCTCTCTCGCTCGCATTTCTTTCATGCCATTGCTCTCTCAGCAACAACAACAATAACGGTACCTTTTGTATTGCTGCTGCTTAGTTTTCCCGTGTCTTTCTTTGCGACTTCTTTTTGGTACAAATTTGCATGAGCAATTCAAGAAATATTAATATAGAGCATATAGAGATTGCTTACTAGAAACCCCAATGAACCACAATATACTCGGTATTTGCACAGTCGTAATATCGAGTCTTTGTTCCCCCTGTTCTCTTCTCTCCGTGAATCTGTGTCTTTGTGTGTGTGTGTGTGAGTGTTTTACAATCTGTTTCGCAACTCACGTAAAATATAAGGTAATTTGTGGAAATTTGATGTTTATCGTAAATTGTTTTTTATTTGCACAATGTCACCATTTTGCGGTTTGCCAGCAGCGGCACACTCACACACACACGCGCGCAGCCACAGACAAACACACGCACACCTCAGCTGGTCAGAGTTGTCAGAAAGCCAACAAATAATATAAAAAAAAACACTCTTAAATAAAAATGAACGATGAATCGAATGGTAAAATACTCTCATAAATTTGATAAATTTATCAGAAGTGCGTTATCACATGTTTGGGGTGTCTAATGGGGTGCTCTGAGGGCTCTAAGGGACAGGACTTACATTTCACTTTTAATGGAAGCAAAATAAGTTGCCGCAGTAATCAATGCAGCGAATAAAAAACACTCATTTGATCGCCTGATGAGACACAATGCCCAAGTGATCGAAGGACCTGCGAACCGAGTGCATATCGGAAGAGCATTTCACGTTAAGCCCTTTGACAATTTCTCATGCATTTCGTATATGCAAAATATAAATACCCCAGTCGCAAAGAGTACACATTTTTTTTTGGTATCCCCCCACCTTAATTGTGCGCCAGAAAAGAGCCACTGCCACAGCCGCAGCCAACAAAAAAAGTTTTGGTAAAAACAATTGCAAACATTTTTCAATTTACCTGCGTGACGGCGGTGGTGGTGGCTGCAATGGCCTCCCGCTTCTTTTTGATTCCTGACGATTTTGTTGATCCTTTCGTTGGTTTTGCCTTTGCGGCTTTTTTCGATGGCATTTTATGCTTGCCACAATCCCATATATAATGTAACCATACTAAAGTCATAGCTGACAGTGCAACGCATACAAATGCGAACCACGCTAAGAATGTGGTGTTTCTTATTTCAGTTAGGAAGAACATTTCGAGAATTTTGCCCGACTAGATTTGACAAAAATAAATGTAAATGAATGTTTGACAAGTTTTTCCTTGTTTTTAATTTTACTTTATTTATCGTATTTTTCGCTTGTTGTTGCTGTTGTTACACATTGTATAATATATCGTATCGTATATCGTTTACTTTCTATGTTTTTTTAGAGCTAAAAATAAGTTGTATTTTCTTTGGTTTTTTTTTTTTGCCAGTAAAATGTTACCAAACGCCTGACGTTCTGTGTACATACCCCCATCCATTCTATGCCAAAGAACATTTTACAATATTCGTACAATCGTTTCGAATTAGTTTACAATCGTATTTCAGAGTGAAGACTATCAATTCGGACATAGTACATATCATTGGAAAAAATGGACATCTAAACATAGCTTAAGGTTAAATTTAGTTTAAAGACTAGTTTTGATCTTTATTTGGTTTTGGAATACAAATACTTTTGTGGGTTTTACTGCTAGCGTGTGTGTTGGTCTGGTCTTTGAAAACTGCGGAGTGGCTGGAAAATGTAAGGAATTCTTTGATATTTTTGGTATCATGCAAAGTGAAAAATTCTTCTTAAGTAATGTTTTTTTTTTTTTTTTTGTATAATACAAAACCTTGTCAGTGGTTTGTCCTCTGGGAACTTGGGATTGGTGGGAGTTTGGAATACAAGTTTTGGGTTTTTAAAGATTTTTTTTCGAGCTATTCTTCGCTTTATATGAGAACCAGACCAACATACACACACTCTCTCTTCATGAAATGCAACCCTTAATTCTATTACTTTTCCATATCCTTTTATGACATTTCCAATATATATATATATTTTAAATATATTTGATTTTGGAATTAAATTACGAATTAAATAATTTTTTCTTTGGTTTTGTTTTGTCGGTTGAATTGTATGTACAATGCCCTTAGAATTAAATTATGCATTTAAAATTGTTTCTATTTCTATGGGGATATTCGGAAACTGTTAAATATGCGCAACATTCATTTATAATTTAATTGAATTTATTTAACTAAATTTCTATGCATAATTTGTTGCGCCAAACATACCAAAGGAATATTACTCTTTTTGTTTTTGGTAGCTTGCAAAATAGATGCCTTAATTATGGGGATTTATTATATTGAATATTTCATAACAGAGTTTGGAACAATTTTTACAGATTAAAGATACAATATATTTCCTGTTTGTTCGGTGCAGTATATTTGTATATCACTGAGTGCTAAAAGGAGGAAAAACAACAACAAAAGGTGTTCTTACAACCCATTTTGATGGCCCAAGAGTTGATTGATTTTCGTTTAGAAATCAGCGGTGTGTAGGTATGCCCAATTTATATTGATTAAATTTTCAACCTGAGCTGAAAAGTTTCGCAAAAGTTTCGGCTAGATGATTTCTCGGTAATCACTTTTCATCTAAAAATACAAAAATCATTAAAAGCTTGGAAAATTCAGACATTTTAAGAGAGTTTTACAAAATAATTCGTTCACTTTTAGGCAGCTTAACATTTAAATTGAATTCCATTTTGTGTGTGTTTCTGTTGATTATTCCATCTATTATTTTTTTTTGTTTTGTTTTAGGTTTAGTTTTATGTTACGTTTTTGCTATTAAAATTTGAATTTTTTTTTGTGGTTTTTGCCTGTTCTGTTGTGTTCTGTCTGTCTGTCTGTCTGTGTATTTATACTGTATTTTATTTGGTAATACTAGAATTTAAATGCAACTCTCATTTGGACTCCATTTTGACTGGCAGCTTAATGTTTCAACTTTTAGTTGCAACAATTGAATAACCTGCAACCAACCAGTGACCAAGGTCGTTATATACTATTTACAGATTTTTGCAGAGCAAAGCTGCTGCTACTTAATGATGCCACTATTTTTATTCCAATAAGTTATTCTATTCTATGGAAAAAATAAAATATCGCCAGTAGAAAACTCTTTGGATTTATGTGGGATCTACCGCCTGTAAAAAAAAACTCATCATGCAAGCAGAAATCGCTTCAAAATGAATGGAAATTTATGTACTCTGATTTTGTCATTGAACTGAGATTCGATCCGTGATAGCACTGCTGATTTTGTGAGTGGCGCTGAGGGCTTTGTCCATTGGCAAATTAATTTGCAAATTTACACAATCTAATTTTGCACCCGAGTAGGAGGTCAGGTCAGGTCGCCGAGGGGACATGCGACCAGCAACACGCAACACTGGACCAATTGTTAATTTGTAATTACAATTTTTGCATTATTGTAAACGCTGACAATGGAGAACAATTGAAATTAGCAGCGCAATTAGTCGATCCGTGCAAACAAATATTCGTTTTGCAATTTAATGCCCCAATAGAGACAAAAGCTAATGAGGAGCGCGCAGTGCTGCAGCGCAACAGCGCAGAAAACTCTACACTTTTTCATCCTATACGAAAATTTTCCCTTTGGATACAGTTTGATTTTCCATATTTCTCTCTCCTCTATTTTTGGGTGTTGCAAAAGCAATTAAATGCACATTTTGTCTCTTTTATTTGATTTAAACCAAACCAAACAAAAATTTCCATATATTCCACAAAACGAAAAAAAAAAAAAAATAAACCAAATGTTAGAGGAAAACCTCAAAAGGTGGCTTTTTTGTTTGGCTATGTTTTTCGTTTAAACAATGGACCAGAATAACAATTTCACCAGAATATTATGGTGGTGTTATTGCGCTTTTGTATATCCTCGCCCTCCGCGATAGACCTCAATAGTTTGGCCACAGGCTCGAAATAAAATGCTCTGTCAATAAAATAACCAACAAAAAAAAATATTATTATTATAAATGCCGAAAATCTGAGTGGAAATAAAGTGTCAGTGGCACTCCCAACAAAATAATATATATGTATTCGCTTTGTGGCTTAATTTTACTGCAGTTTTATTGCAGTGTTTTCTTTGGTATATTATATGGTATTTGGTTTGTACAAGTTTGTGTTGGATTGCAGTGTTTATAGCATATTTTGTTGTAGTATATTTACTATATTTTCTGGTGTTTTTGTGTTACTTCTTTTGGAAATCTTTTCTGAAATGCAGCATAGATAGTAGCAGGACAATGTAGCATACTTTGATGGCGATAAAAACTTCACTAAAATTAAAATCAATCAAAAAACACTTAAAAACTAATAATGGAATATAATGTCTGTACCACTAATTCAAGTTAAATACTAGTTTTTGGTATATTTATAGTATTTTTCTTAGCATACTTTTAGTATTTTGTGTGGTATTTTCTTGGTATTTCTGTGTATTTTTCTATATTATACATTTACAATACTTTTTTTTCTTCTTATGTTTTTTTTTTTGGTCGAAATAGGCTCATTTTCTTACTGTTCATTTTCCATTTGTGAAGAGTTTTTCTCTTGGTTTTTAGTTTTGCTTTTTTGTTGGCAAATTTCACGCCACTTAAACAACTTAAAATTCAAATTGTTTTAATCTTTTTTTGTGTGGTATACTTACTTAAATGCTAATTTCAAAATGTTGCTCTGTTGCTGTTGTTGCTGTTGTTGCTGCTGTGGTTGTTGTCTCTCCTTAACTGGCAATTAGTTTAATTTGCCAAATCCTGTATTATATCCGCTGCAACGAAACGAGCATCGATTTGTGTGTGTTATGTTTAGTGCGAGATTTAAGCTCATTAATAAATAATGTTTTTTTTTTTTTATTTGAATATGCAATTTAAATTAATTAATGGAGTTTGATGAGAGGCCTGGCGCAACGCGCCCACCTGTCTGCCTCCCCCAGTTAAGCCATTAATTTGTATGCTAAAAAATACAAGAGTATTTTGCATTATAATATCCCCTAACACCCTCACCACCACTCGTTATTATTTGGATTGGGGTCAGTCGCTTGTTTGAATTTGAATGGAGAGAAGCGGAACAAATATAAAAAAATATATACAATTGTGTTCAATGAAATAGTAGTGCCGCACCTCACTACTTTCAAAACTCTTTTTGAGATAGTTCTAGTCTTTCAAATTGAACAAGTGATACCTTTACGGAAAGCCTGGAATGTAGGCATTAGAAACTTGAAGAAACCCCATTACATTTGCATTCTATCTTCTTGTTATTTATGACTTTAGACAACTACCCATGATATCTGCTGTTCAATGAAATAGTAGTGCTGGGTTAAATTTATTTTTAAAAATGAAAAAACAAAGCAAATTAATTTAAAAAAGTCACCATCCGTAAGCTCAATTTGGTGATTGAATAATTTGATGAAAGAAAGTTTTGGACATAGCGGTAATTTTGATTTTGAGCCGTTGGAGAAATCATTGCTCGGTCAAGAAGAGGAGACCTAAGAGTTAAACTAAAAACTTAAGGCAGGAGGTATAATGGGATTGAAAACTAAGTTGTATGCACTCTCACTATTGTGTTTAATTAATTAACTATAAGAAGTAGACTGAAAATCGATTTTGTATTCGAAAAACATATTTTTTAGAGGATGGTCGGCGATGGTCGAAGGCAACACCAGGCCTTCAATATCCTCAAAAATTATGAAAACAATTTTTAATCGCTCTGTCAGTTATGTGACAGTTTGTAGACGGTTGATTACACATTATTTGAATGCAAGAAGTCCCAGAAAGCTCCGCGTTTGGGTCTAAGAGTACATGGGTGCACGACTTCAGTTTGGAAAAACGCATGTGGAATGGCCTGTGTCACAGTGACAAAAATACTTTTGACTGATGATAGTAAAGTTGTATTATATGGTAAGATAGACTCAAAAGAATATGTTTGGCATTCACAGAAATTCAATTACTACTTAAAATCATGAAAAAAATAGCATTGGGCATGGAAGGCTGAGCCTTATGGGGCCCAGCTCATATAAGCTAGTACTTTCTAGCCTGGCGTTTGAGTATATTATGGTTTTGAGCGAAACTGTGTATGTAGGCATACTTTAGAATACATTAAATTCAAATTACAGTTGAAAAATTCATGTTAAAAGGATCTTTTAACAGGATAATGACTTAAAATACCCAGAAAAGCTCGCTAGGAATTGATTTTTATCGGAAAAGATCGACGTTTTTCCATGGCCAACTGTCCAACTGGATATAAATCTCATCGAAATCTTATGCTGGAATACCAAATACATTGTTGCAACTGGAAATCCGTGAACCAGAGCCAAGTTTTAGCAAGTGGTTCATGGATTATTGGCTCAAATCTTATTGAAGCGTTGGCAAGAGATTAATGACCCATATCCGGCCGGTGCAAGTTCGCAATGAAAACCAAATTGATAAAAAACTACAAATTAAAGCTCAAGAAACATAAAGAACATGAGATATATGTTTTTATTTGAGTTTCGTTGTTTTTTTTAATTTTCTAAAAAAACACTACTATTTCATTGAACAGCATATTTTATGGGTATTCGGCTTATGTCATGTAAAACAAGAAGATGGAATGCAAATGTAACGGGGTTTCTTCGGTTATCCAATGCCTACATTCCGGGCTTTCCGTAAAGGTATCACTTGTTCAATTTGAAAGACTAGAACTATCTCAAAAAGAGTTTTGAAAGTAGTGAGGTGCGGCACTACTATTTCATTGAACACAACTGTATATTGATATTCTATATTTATAAAATAAATTCGTTTTTGTTTGTGCCGCTCCAAATGCATTTGCATTCAATCAGCATAATGCTAAAAGCACTCGGAGGGGATTTTTGATATCCCATCTATCTGCATTTAGAGCCCATCCATAACCCATACGAGTATTTTCATTTTGTATTTGGCGTGATTTGAAGCGTGTGTGGATCTGCTGCTGCTGCTGACTTTTATATCTACGGGAAAACTGAATTCAAATGCCAAAACACTTCACACACAAGCCACCACCACTTGTCACCCTATATATGTATGTATATAACACCTGAATCATCTGCCTGCCACCATATCCTGTCCTGTCCTTCTATTCTATACAATACCTCTCTGACACTTCTTCTTCCATGCACACACACTTTCGCGCTGATTTGGAGGCAACACTTTATGCACTTTGACTTGTGCCTCGCCTCGCCACGCCACGCCTCTCTGACAATTGCAACTTTTGCATAAATACATTTTCCTGCATTTTCCACAAATCCAGTCACCTCTAGCCTCACCCTCATCCCACCACCCCTTTCAAGTCAAGTGGAAGTGGAAAGTCTGGCACAATAAAATACTTTTCAGATTCGTTTTCCTGATGCACACAGCACAGAATTTATCTCCGTTGCCGCAGAGTTTTGTTTGGTTTTTAGCCAAATGCATTTGCAGCTAAGCTTTTCCCACTGATTTCTGTCTCTGTGCCGGTGCTGTTTTCCCCAACACCCTTTTACCCCTCCTAACCGCAACCAACTCAAACAGTTTTCGCTTGGAAAACTCAATTAACGCTTATTTTTTTTTTGCTGCTGCTGCTTTTATACCCCGGTAATTGTGGAGTGTTTTTGGGGTGGATTGGTCGATATCGGGGATGAACATATGTACGCCTATGAGGAATTCTTTAATGTAGATAATACATAGATCTCGTAGGTGAATTTTTATTTTAAAGTATATTCAGATTTTTTTTTTATTCTGTATTTTATTATTCAATATTTTCTGAAAAAGCCGGTAGACTGAACTATTTTAAAGTATTTTTTGCATGCTTTTTTCTCAAGATTAAATATTTTCAGTACAGACTTTTCATAAATCACTAAAAAAATCTAAGAATAGAAAAAATAAAGGGTAGAGTTTCTCTCGTAGCACTTAGGGGGGGACACTCCTCCCAATATTTTGATTTTCTTTTCAAGCGAGTGTTTCGTAGCGTGGGGCAGGGTGGGGGGGACTTTTGGACTAAAACATCAAGAACCGGAGCACAGCAGCAGCACAAAATAGGACACGGTCGTTTGAGCTTTATACCAACGTTCGTTCGTTCGTTCGTTCGTTCGGTGGTCAGTGGTCGGTCGCTTGTTGTTATGTTTCATTGCCTAATAAACATTTAATGGGTTGAAAGCGGTTGGGTGGGATAGTAGGGGGGGCTCCTGGCCAAAACAGAAAAGACAGACAACCTACAGCCAAATTGGTAAATTGTTTGAAAAGATGCATTACACTGGCCTCCTCCTCCTCCTCCTACCAGCCTCTCCCTTTTAACCATCCACCACTCGACCAACAGGACACCCTTCCACTTTCCACAGCACACAAACCCATTTTCCCTTTGCCATGTAATTAACAAGCTGCAAAACGGCTCCAATGGGCTGGCAATGAGTTTTTCCAACAAGCTTTTTTATTTTCCCTTTTTATTTTATTTTCGGGGTGGGAAAAGAGTTGATTAACTATTGAATGGAGGATGAATCGGGTCGGTATTCATAAATTACATGCAAACCTCGGCTGAGAGCCAAACACAAAGTAAAGTTTTCGAGTGTAAAACTTTTTTTTGTGGGTCAATGTTCAATTAATATTAAATAATTTAAATGCTTAATGTAAGAAATGTGTTCACATTAAAACAGTTTTAAACCAATTAAGCTCACTGTAATGCAGTGCATTAAATGCACTTGTAATTCCCATTTAATGCGCTGCTACATCTAATACACATTTTTTGTTTTATAATTTTACAGGCAAAATCCTGAAAAGCCATTTTGATGATTGGGTAAGTCGAATTGAAATTAGCTTTTAGCAGCATATATTTTATAGATTTTCCTACTCTTTGATTAGTTTTCTTAAGGCCCTTTAATTTGTTTGTAGTTTTTGAAACAAATTTGAAATATATTCTGATGATACAATGTGAATTTTTAGCTGTAGAGTATCTGACTTTCATTGTGTAGAGTACACACTGTAGAGTACAGCGTATCGCTATACAAGTCGCTTAATGTTGACTCCTGGCCGCAGTCTCTTTTTACCATTACACACCCGCATGTACCCTTTGTCCAACTCTACCTTTACCTTGGCTCTTCGTACAGTGCTGGTTTTACCTTTCCTCTTCATTGTCAGCTTCCTTTTAACCCTTACACTTCGCGTTACCACCTTCTGTTCACCTCATCGTCAGCTGATAGTCGGGATGGCTTTTGTTGGCTCATAAAACATGCCGCAGCAAGGTGTCTGCCTGTGTCTGCGATGCCTGTCTTTTGCCCTGATCCTCTCTGTACACCGTACACCGTACTCCTCCTCATCTCTTGCACTCTGCTTGCCTCTCCTAACTCTGGTCTTTCTCTCTCTCTCTCTCTCTCTCTCTCTCTCTGTCTTTCTGTCTCACTTGCTCTTGCTGCCTTTTACGTGGGTCCGCTCTTGTATTTATGCCTATGAATATTTCATTTAATTGAAGCGCATTCATTACCAACCACACAACAGCCTCCACCACGCTGCCATGCCATGCCATGCCCCCCCCCCCATCCTTTGGAGGAAGAATCTCCGGCATGGATCCCCCTTCCCTGCCCCCGAAACAGCCGCACTTTTGGCGTTGTAATTAAAATAAATTTATTACGTAAAATGTTTTGCCAAAAAATTTGTCGAAAGCTGTGGCCAGGGCGCCCCATGGCGGCGTAATAAATAATGCTGTGAAGGTGTGTACTACGTGAGTATCTGTGTGTCTGCGTGTGTGTTTCAGTGTCTGTGTTTTTCCTCTGCCTCCCCTGAATGTATGTTTAATGATCTGTGTACATTGTAGTCCTGTGTGTGCGTGTGTGTGTGTGTGTGTGTGTGTTTTCCCTACTTCCCTACGGAAATTGATGCGGTTAATATGCTTCCAATTGTTAATTTTTGCATTTCGTTTGCCCAAAAAAAAAATCAGTGGAGGGGAGCAACAAAACAAACACAAAAACCGAGTGGAAAAACGCTGGGAAATCTAATCAACGGGAATAACACGACCAACAAATTTAATGGATAACCAAACAATATTTATGATTACTCGCATTTGTGGATTTTCAATTCTGTTGGAGAAAAAAAAACGAACTAAAATTAAATTAAAAAGATTTATGACTGTGGAAGTGTTTGATTTATTTTTCGGGATTAATTTTGGTGGAAATTTATAGTTGAAAATTTTTAAATTCGATTATTTGGGCTTAAGTATTTTTGTTATTCAGTTTATTCTGAAATAATCGGCACCCTAAATTGGTGTACAGTATTTTTTATTTTTCAGCATATTTAAAAAGTTACTCTGAATTAATCGTTAGAAATTTCTTATCACAAATTCCGTTAACGTTGCGTTAGAAAATTTCCAGAAATTCGTCAAATTTTCACAAGAAGTGCCCAGAAAATGATTTCAAGAACTGCAATGCAATGCAATGCCAATGCCAATGGCACTCGGGACTCTGTTGCAATTCAGTCCAGCGAATAGAGTGAAAGAACGCGCTTCCTGATTTGTATTGGTCCTCCATTTGTCCGTTGGATTTGGGGTTTTTGTCTGTGGGCAAACACACACCTCCACCCCACCAACCACCCGCAAATCGGCAATTGAATTGCGAAAATCGTAGAAAAGTCAAAAGCATTGCATACTGTACTTTTGGCGAGTAGCAATTTTTGGGGCATGGCATGGAACACACAACAGCGGAAAATACTTTCGTGCAGCTTGCTTTTCCATTTCTATCTACGTTTGCTTCCTATGGTCATCAAAGTCAAATAGAGTCAGAGAGATGCACAGAGATAGATAGATAGAGAGAGAGAGAGGGTTAACAAGATTCGTCGGTTGTTGTTGCTGTTCCTTGTTTTTATTGCTTTAAACTGGCCCTCGAATGGGGGCCACTCCTCCACTGCACTCCACTCCACTTACTGTAGAAGTGGGAAGGTACTGGCTGAAGAGGTTCAAGCAGGAGAGGCCATCGTCAGAGAGGCAGGCGAAAAAGCAAAGATGGTAACAGCATAAAAGCAAACTGAAGCCAGGCATCTCCTCTCCGTAGTCGTCTTCATCTAAAGGCATCAACTGACACTCTCTGTCTGTCCTTCGCATCCTTTCCTCTTTCCTTTTTTTTTCTATCGGTGTTTTTTTGCTTGCATTTTTTCTGCACTTTCAATCGAAGGGGTATTCAAATTTTGGAATTTTGTTTGTTTTGGAGAGTGGAAGGAATTTTCTAACGTGAGAATAGGGCTGTATCTTGACAGGGTAGATTATGTGGGCCTGTATTTGGGTCTTCAATTCGATTATTTATCGATAAATGCGTTTCAAAGTGGATCAAAAAGTGAAACTTTCGATATATTATCGATTACTCAGATTTCCCATCGATTAACATTAATTGTCTTTTACTGCTGTTTTTATTTATCGAATATTTATCGATACATAATTTTTAACATAGTTTTTTTTAATGTTTTTATCGCTTGCTGTATTTCTCTTTCAGGGTATTTACAACATTCACTCAACTCTATGCCTCTTCCCCCTTTTGCTTTGTTTTTCCTTGTCTTGAGTTGGCATATTTTCATAGTCCCGCAGTCCGGCCTGGCCTGGCCTACTGTCTTTTTGGTCTTCCTTTTGGTTCGTTGCTTTGTGGCCAAAAATGCGGCACACGACTGCTGCAGCAGAGGCTACAGAGACAAAGAGTCCTCCGGTTGCGAATCTTTGGCCATGGCTTTTGTTTTAATTGAAATGTTTTTTGCTGCTCCATGCAGTTCTTGCAGCTGGTCCTGCAGCAGCAGCGGCAGCTTCTCCTTTAAGCCGATTAGAAGCAGTTCATAATGTAAACGGCTAAATATGAAAGAGCTGTCGTCCACCCCGCTGTCGTCCGCTCAATGGTTGGGAAAACAATTGTTTTGGGGTCCATCCTGTGGAGAGACGAGACCACCGCAGTGGTTAGTTCCCCCTTTCTCTTTCTCTCTCCTTGGCTGACTGTCTAATTGAAGGAGCATTTAGAAGATACCACGGATACAGAACCAGATACGAATGTGAAAGGAAGCAAATCTTATGCATAACTAGAAAAAATCACGCAGACGGCCCCTTGCCACTTGCCCCATGACCCATGACCCGTGCAGTATGTGGCGCATACTGAAACAAACCGCAAACTAGATGGAGCAAAATGCAGTGGCAGTGGCAGTAAAAGCAGTAAGCATTCGCATTTGGTATCCTTTTTATGCATTCCATGTGGCATTTGGCCCCCACACAGGACAATGGGGAGAACCAATCAATTGCTGAGGTAAAACCAGGAGGGCTTTGATGTTCGTTCTCTGTGGTTTGCAGCATCGCAATGAATAGTTGATGGAAATTACAGAGCCGTCGAACAGAAATGAATCTCATGACATAGATTCGATATTTTAATGATATTAATGGAAGATTTAAGAGAGTAGATTTTACAGAAGAACAAGAATTACCGATTTAAATTATATTTATATTAAAGTTTATTTTTATATTTAATATTTTTTATATTTAATATTTTTTATATTTAATATTTTTTATATTTAATATTTTTTATATTTAATATTTTTTATATTTTATATTTTTTATATTTTATATTTTTTATATATTTTATTTTTATATTTTTTCTATTATATATTTTACTATCGATAGATGGAATTGTAATCATCCGAAAATACACCCACAAAGAACGTTACATTTTTCTTCACTTATAAGTTTTTTACACTTTATTTACAAACTCCCCACCACAGCAGCAGTGCACTGTCTGCCTCTCCACTGTCTCCACTTCAATCTCCCATGGTACTAGAGTACTGCCTTTCTCTCAGTCTCTATGCATATGTATGTGTGTTTATATTTGTATCTCTGTATTGTGTGCGTGTGTGCATGTGTTCGGTTTCTCTTCAGTGATTCACTTCACTTACAGCTGCCAGCGTTGTTTGATTTTGTAAAATATTTTCTGGTCTTGCATTTTACATTTTTAATAGCGCTCGCACTCGCACTTGCACCAACTCTACCTATACTATATCCTGCTTTCTCCCTCCTTGCTCTATATTGCATATATTTCTCTCCCTCTCGCTTGGATTTTCGCCAGTTTGTTTTTGGAATTTTTCCAGTATTTTTACTCCTATTTCGTTGGTGTTTTTCGTTGAAGAGGAGAGAGAAGAAGAGGAGCCTGCGATAGTTGTCGCTGCAAGCGATTTGTTGTTTTTGATAGATGCGAAGAGAAGGCGCATACCCTGGAATAGGAGGTGGTGTGGTGGTGGTAACGGGTTGTGTCCTAGAGCTGACTATTTTATGTGCATTTATCCTGCTGGTGTTCCTGCTGGTGCTGCTGCTGTTGTACTGCTGCATAAAAGGATATACAGATGCAAATTCTATATGTGGATTGGGTCTGGAGTGGAGTGGAGGGTGGGGGTATGCTTGGCATGGCGTGTCCTTGCCTGCCATTGTCCTGACAGTGAGGAAATTCTATTTTATTTATCTGGCAAGGCATCAGCTTGGAGCAGCAGCAGCAGCAGGCAGCATCCAGCAGGCAGCACCAGCAAAACTCTTATCCAAACATTTCCCCAACACTTAAGTGCATAATCAATCAAACTGATTTCTTAGTCTGCTCAACCGATTTGGATAAGGATTGAGGATTGCAGCTTGGGATTCGGCCAAAAGAAGGATTATTGCTAAGAAAAACGGTCAGTAGTTGCAAGCGGATGACATATATATCGATTTCTTTGTGCTGTTTGAGCTCAAGTTTGATAAGAAATATAACATTTTGAGCTTTTCCATATTTTGGAAGTATTTGATTTTTTGAGATTAAATTAATTAAATAATTGAAATTTTTCCTTCGTTATATACAATATTTACGATTTAAATTTTCGGTTTTTCATCCTTATTATCGATTATTTTCGATATCGATAGATTCCCCTTTTTTTCGATATATGTAAGTCGATACTTTCCTTGCAAAATATCAAAGTTAGTGCATGTCTCGCGCTAAATATATATTTTCCATAAAAAAAAAATAATTATTTATTTGTGTCGATTTTTATCGATATAACGATAAGTTTTTAGTCTAAAAATACACAATAAGTCGAAATACATCGAAATGACTGAACACTCACCTAATTGCTGCTGTTGCGGCTTCTGTTGCTGCTGCTGCTGCTGGTGCTGTAGATCCTTGCGCAACGGTGGCAGAGGTGGCTGTTTTCCCGACTTCCTCAGTGTGCCATACCGCTGGGCCGCCTGCAGCATTTCGTGCGGTGCCAGGGGCTGCGTTCCCGATGCACCTGCTACACCAACCGACTGTCCGAAATTCTGTTGACTCAGCGAACTGGTGACGGTCTGAATGTGCGGCGGATAGCCGCTGTAATCCACCAAACCGCTGAACGCCGATGGCGGTCGTTCCACATAGATTTGCTGGGATTGGGCCGCAGCCAATTGGAGCCGCCACAGAGCCTCCTGCGACAGATCCCTGGCATTACTGTAGTTATTCTCATTCGAATTGTTGCTCGACCCTGGAACAATTAGCAACATTTTTGGGTCTTAATTAGGGCTGTCGCTGGCCAGGAGGAATTTACGTATATGTATATTTATGTAGTTGTGCATCGACAAAAAGGTGCCAGAACGAGGTGCTTGCTGCTGGGTGCGTGTTAAAGTGCTTCGGCAGTGGAGAGGAAACTTGAAAGTCACATGGGTTAATTGGAAAACACACACACACTAAAACACGGAACCCCTCCTCCATAGATGTATTAAGCCAAGTCATTCTCATCAGAAACATACACTCTGATGGGTTTTTTTTTGCTACCATTTTGCTTGCATAATTAAGGACAGGCTTAAAGATTTAATCCAAGAAAGGAAAGGGAACTAGGAACTAGCGCAGGAATGGAAGAAAAACCGAGGGCAGCCCCCTCGAAAAATCATGCTTAAACATTTAACACGCTCTCTACGTACTCTCTACGCCCCTTTCTTCCATCGTTTTAAATTTTTATTTTTATTTATTTTTTTTTATTTCAATTCACGCAGAACGCAACCGAAAAGCAGCCAGTATGAACGAGAGAGCAATAAACAAAAATAGATAATTGCCGACAGATCAGCCGAGTGCAGCAACCAAAGCAAAATACTAAAATCATTTTGCAGTCTTCGTCTCTTCGCCTTGAACAAAAAGCGACAACCAACACTTTTCGCGCTTCCACATCTGTAAGGATGCTATTTAACAGTTGCTCAATTCTTGTACCTGCATGTACCTACATGTGCACGCACACACACACAAGTACAAAATCTACCTGAGTACTAGCAAACAAATTTTAACAAATTTTCTGCTCTTGTAAATGTATTTTTTTATTATTTTAAAATTTTGTCTTATGGTCTCTCAAGTCTCTCAAAATCGACTAGCGATTTTTGTGTTTGGATTTGATCACAAAAACAAATCAATTTAGCCAGGGAGCAGTACGTGAAATTGATGTTTATAGATGAAATTTGGAAACAGCTGAATAATATCGAATGGGATAATGTGTAGTGTCGGAACTAGTTGTGCTTCCGCGATTCCGATCTTGGCGAGCGCCGAAGATCCCACTATAGAACAAGATTAATGAATTTAGCGCAATGGATTTGCTCACAATCCTCCTGTGTCTGTGTTGTGACTCCTGTTTACGCTTCGACGCGGCATGCTCTGGGTCCCATTTATGTTCCTAAATCTTTGAGGATTTATGCACCATAATTTGGTTTGAAATTATCTGCAGGCGGCAATACTTAGAGTATCCTGTAGGAGGAGTAGCACCGTTACCACTCCCAGTCTTTTGCATATCAAATATTGGATTGGTCGGTGCTTTACGGTGCACACGGCCTGCAGTGACTTCTCTTTTTGGGCATCTTTGATTTTTAATTAGGCTTTTTGAAATTATATACATATGTCTAAAAAGGTTTTCCGAAATTTCGTTGTACTAAATTTTAATTTTGATAATTTTGAATTTTTCTTCTTCGAATTTTTACAGACTGAAAGGACAGAAAATACTCAATCAATGAAATGAAAAGAAAGTGAAGCCAATAAATAAATAATAGACAGTCTGCAATAAAAGATAACGGAAAATGATAAAAATAAATAAATAAAATAATAAATAAAAATTCATGAATATTCAAGAGAAGAGTGGATATTTGATAGCCAAAAGACTTTCATTGAGCGTCAAGTACTCCCTAGCCTAGTCTGGTTGTGCAGCATTTTCAAATTTGTCGCTGCCCATAGAATTTTCATCAACATTCACCACAAATTCCACCATAAATTCGTTTACAACTTTAGTATCTTCCCCCACCCTCCCGCCCCACACCATTTAAAAAACATTTGTGTGCAACAATTAGTGACAAAAAACATCAACAAGAGAGTAGAGTGGTGGTGCATGGTGCAGATGCAGATATAAAAAAAAAAAAAAAACGAAAAAAAAAATGAAACATTTTGGCTTGGGTGCTCGTAATTTTGTGAAGAGGTGCAACAGCAACAATTTTTGGGTGGGTGGTGTGTACACTGTACACTGTATACAGTCGGCTGGCATAGTATGCTGTGGTGCAAAAGTTTAAGTGTCTCTTTCACCGCCTCCTGCTCCGCCGCACTGTGGGGGGAGACTCCAACGTTGATGGCGTTGGGTGAGGGTGGGGGGTGGGTTACCTGTGATGGCCAGCGTTGTAGTTGTTGTTGCGGTTTTGGCATTACGTGATGTTGTTGTAATGGTGGTTGCCAGAGCTGTGGTTGTTGCCGCCGTGGCTGCGGTCAGCATAGCCGCCGCCCTCTCCCTCTCTATTCCCAGATGGTTCTTCCGCTTTAAGGTTGAGTTTGAGGTGTTGGCATTGGAGTTGTGGGGGGCTGTGAGTGGGGGGCTGTGAGTGTGAGTGTGAGGAGGGTTCTTGGTGGTGAGAGGGTTCTTGGTGGTGTTGTTGGAGATGGTGTTGGTGATGTTGCTGATGGTGGTGGGTTGCTTCGTTAGATTGGCGCGTGCTGAATTTTGTTGTAGTTTCTGCTGCTGTTGCTTTTGGTTGCTGTTGTTGTTGCCGCTGGCTACTGGTGTCGCCTCAAGTGGTCCTGCTTTGGTTGCAACCACACACACACACACACACACCGACACCGAACCACCAACGATGTGGAAGTGTTTTGTGACCCAAATGTGTGAGTGTGTGGGTTTAAGAGTGTATGTGTGGGTGTGTGTGTGTGTGTGGTGGGATTGTGTGTTAGGACAAGTGTGAGAGGTGGGGGGGGGATAGAGAAATAGTAATTAAGTTGACGCTTGGCAGAGACGAAAAAGAGCAAAAGGAGTTGCAGCAACAAAGGCGAGCACCGGCGACCAGCACAATTAAAATTCGCTCTTTTAGTCGCTTACGAAACGGAGAGGAGAAAAGAGTAAGGGATAAGGGGCTGCCTGCCCCACCATTTAACTTTCAACATGTTGCAGAAATGAGAATGCTCGTTCGGTCACCCTTCCAATTTCTATTTCGGTTTTCAGGTGTTTCAAAGACCAACATCAAAATTTTCTACACTCTGAAAGGTAGGGCATGGTCACACCTCTTGCATTTGTTGGTATTTTTGTTTTAGCGCCTTAATTATTATTATTTAATTTGATTTAGATTTTTTAAAATTTGTTTTAGTTTTTTTATATTTGATTTATTTTTTTTAATTTGATTTAGTTTTTTTTTTAATTTTTGTTTGTTTAAATGTGATGTAGTGTGGGCCCTCCTTCATCGTTTTTAACTTTTTTGTTGGATTTATTTTAGTTTTTGACATTTTCTGTAGTTTTTTTTAAATATTATTTAATATTATTTGTAGTATTTTCTGTAGTATTTTTTTATATTTGGTATTTTCTTAAATCAATTTCCAATGTTTTTTTTTAATACTGTTTTTATAATTTTTTTTGTAATGTTTTCGATTGCTTTTTATATATTTTTTTTCATGCAAAAGATATATGTATATTGCACCCGTTTATGAACTTTTCACAATTTTAGGAGTTTTTTTTTACCCAATAAGCGCCAGTGAAAACCCTATCGTGTAACAACAGCTTCTCAGTTCAGTTCAGTTTCAGTGAAGGGATGGCGTCACGTAAATTTTCCTCGTATTTGGTCACCCCTCGCATTTGGGTTGCTACCCGGGGTACATGTTGCTTTTCATTTAGGTGTGAAGTGCTCATTCTTTGTGTATTTTTCTGTGACAACTCTGATGAAAACTCAGGTGAAAGCGGCAGAGGGTGGTTGGGGTCGGTTGCTATTTGGGGTCGTGGTTTCCTTTTCATGGTCTCGTTTTTGGGTCTGGGGTTCAGTTCTCTCCTGCATAATCGGATTAAAGTATAAGTGCTCTCTGACTTCTTTAAGCTGTCGTGGGAGTTCCTGAACGAAGTTTATTTTGGGCAACAAAAAGTTAATATTTCAATTGCTTTCCAGCTTGTTTAATTGCTCAAATCATATTTAATGTGGAGTGTCCTTAAGTCAGAATTACGCAGAGAATTTTAATGCATTAAGAAAGATTTATATTTGCTTACAAAAATCCTCTCCCTTGATTAATCAACCATAATAAAATAAAATCTAAACCGAAAGGCACAAAAAAAAGGACAAATTCCACACTTCAAAAAAACCAATCAAAAACGATTCTGTGCGCAATTTGATTTGTTGGCTATGATACAGACATATATATATATATATATATATGTATATAAAACAGCTCTCTGGCATGTCATGGGCACTTGAGTCGACTTAAAACCAATTAAGAGCGCAAAAAATAATAAAAGAAATCCCCTCTCTCACCCCCGCCCCCGGCCCCGACCGGAACAAAGCCAGGCAAAGGATAACGGTTTAATTCTCACTTAATTGGAATTACGACTCGACGTCTACTTTTCGGTCCGTGTCCCCGTGTCCCCTCCAGCATGAAGCATGATTGGTGGTGTGGTGTGGTGTGGTGGTGGTGTCATTCCATGGGTTGCCAAGGCGAGCGAGCTGCTTATGCCGGACACTCGGACACCAAACACTCGAGAGGGGAACAGAACAGAACCGAACAGAACAGATTTCCAGCGAGTGCCAGCGAGAGCGTTGCATTTGCATGAGTAGCCGGGTAAGTGTGGAGTAGCATGAGGATGAGGAGCAGGAGCTGCGCTGCGCTGCCTGCGCTGCCTGCCTGTTTGCCGCCTCTAGATTGACATGAAATGCAATTACGGCCAAAAACTCTCTCTGGCACAAGAGACGTGAATCAGGAGGGGTAGGGGACAGTGCAGGGGGGGACAGCATCGAAATGGCGGCCATAAATCTGCACCGAAAAATGTGTCGCTTAATCAAGACACACACGCACACACACACATACACATACGCTACGCGCTGCCTCATGGCACTTGCCACAGCCCGATGCCCCAAGCCTCACTCCCCCCCACTGGAGCCATGGCTCTTCATAAGTTGTCGCCGGGGTTTGCCCCAAAAATGAACGAAATACTCAATACACCCAAGGAAAAATGCTGGTATGGAAATGCATGCCATGGAAAATGGAAAATGCTGCTTTTAATGAGCAGAGAAAATTCGTAGATTTTTCTACTTAATTTAGGAAATTATTTGGGAATAACTAACATTTTTCATTGGCTGTATTGATATTATCTTGTGCCAAATTCCCAAAAAAAAAATATTGGGTTTGAGGAAATGTTTTAAGGGACATATAAAAGCCGTATTATCCACGCAAATAATTCCAGATAGGACTGAAATTTCTCTTTGGCTGTAAGCCAGCCTTACGAGCTACGCCCTAAGGTAAATGTTGGCAAGGGAAAATATATGCCCCAGATAATGCAAGATGCATCTCCTTCCCAATTTATCTTCTTAATTTATGTGCTAACATTTTGGCTTGGCTGTACTTACACTCGCCTGCACCATGTCCTCCTGCTGCCGCTGCTGCTGCTGCTGCTGCGGACGGCATCACTTGATAGCTGTCGCCATCCACACCAATGGCACTTGTCACATGATAGCCATAGCCATTCGAGTGCTGGCTGCCACCGCCGCCGCCACCGCCGCCACCGTAGAGCCCCAAAATGGCTTTGGCCGATGCTGCCGCCTGTGGCTGATGGTACATTCCTCCGCTGTGTAGAGCTTCGTTCTGCTGCTGCTGCTGCTGCTGTTGCATATTCAGCTGCTCGTCAGGATCGTGCAGGGCCGTAAGGGTCAGCTCCATGCCACCGCTGCCGTCTTGCTTGCTGTCCAAAGTGCCACTGGGATAATACGGCGGTGGTGGCGGCAGATTCGGTGGCTGTTGCTGCTGTTGGGATTGCTGCGGGTCAGAAGCGGATGTTGGGGTATCGTCCAGGTCATACTCCTTGGCCCCGGGCCCCGTTGTCGTCGTCGTCGTTGTTGTTGTGGTTGTCGTTGTGGCAGTGCCACCGGCTGCTTGCTTTTTGGCGGCATGCGTACGCCGACAGCGACAAAAGGCATAAAGCAAAGCCAAAAACACCAGAAAGGATAACGAAGCAATAACGATGGCCACCAGCGCCGAGGTGGTGATGGACGAATTGTTGGGTATGTAGGATTTTCCAACTGTTGAGGTGTGGGAGAAATCAGCCAAAAATAAGTGGAAAATTTGCCAAAAATTAGCCAAAAATTAGTCCAAAATTAGTCCAAAATTAGACGAAAATTAGTCCAAAATTAGTCGAAAATTAGTCGAAAATAAGTCGAAAATTAGTACAAAATTAGTCAAAAATTAGTCCAAAATTAATCGAAAATTATTCAAAAATTAGTCCAAAATTATCCGAAAATTAGTCGAAAATTAGACGAAAATTAGTCGAAAATTAGTACAAAATTATCCGAAAATTAGCCGAAAATTACTGAATTAAAAGGGAGATTTTGCAACTTACTTTCTGCATTCGCATAGGCCCCGCAATGTTCGTGATTGGAGCGCAGGCAGAGCTTTACGCGCACCACGGGTCCGGGTCCTGCTGTCTCTGCCAGTGCCATGGTGCGATCCTCGCCCAAATGTGCCCCATTCCTGCCCGATGACGATGACGAAGACGATGCCGTGGCCGTTGTGTAGTGTGCGGTGCGTGCCATGTGATTGATGACCGCCTCCTTGAATGTCGTCTCACTGCCCGAGGGCAGCAGCGTCAGCGTCTCGACAATCTCCCACATGGGCACCGTGGCGTCGCGCGTCACCAGCGACTCGACGACAGCAATGAGGGACAGACATGTGGCAGCCACATTGATGCCCAGGACATGCGAATTGGGATCATAGCTGACATGCAGCGGCGGCGGGATCTTGCTGACCTTTGTGGTGGCCAGCACTTCATTGGAGTAGCCCGAGGTGCCCTTGGCATTGAGGGCGTACACCTTGAACATGTAGCTCTGATGCTGATCGAGGGGCGCCAGCTTGCAGGGATTCTCGCGGAAGCAATTGAACTCAATCCACTCGTGGGCGGCCACATTCGCGGCACTGGACGACACCTGATAGCTGGGTATATAGCCATGGCCCGAACAGTCCGCCAGCAGCTGTTCCCTGGGCGTGGCCACGCGGCGATAGCTAACCAAATATTTGGTGCTCATAAAGCCGCCATTGAAGCCGGGCAGCCAGGCGAGTACCGCAAAATTGTGAGCCACTTCCAGCACCTTGAGATTGGTGGGCTTTTCCGGCTGTCCCTTCGGCTGCAGTTTGATGGGCGCTCGAATGCTATCCAACGGATTGACCGCCCTGCAGATGTACTCCCCATAGTCGGAGTGCTGCAGATGTGCAATGCGCAAAATGGAGGTGTAAATGTCATTGTTTTCCATCCGGGTGCTTATCTCGTAATGTCCATCCGAGGACATGGTCAGGGGCGAGGGATTGTTGCCGAATTGCCATTGAAATTCGGGCTTGGGATAGGCCTGGACGCGACACACCACCTCGGCGGACTCGCGCATATCGTAGGCCACCTTATTATACTGATGGATGACGATCGGTTCGTGCTCGATCCGCAGATGCATCGACGAGTTGGCCGAGTTCACATCGTTCTCGTACAGGCACGTGTACAGGCCCCGATCGCTGGGCAACAGTTGATTCCCATTGGGTCGGGCCTTGCCCCGGAAACGCAGGATGGTCTGGACGGCCACCACGCCGCCGCCAGCGTCTGTGGGCGTCGTCCTGATGTCGAACATCTTGCGGGTGGGCAGAATTTCGGTGCCATCCTTGATCCAGCGGATCTGTGGCGTCGGTTTGCCCTTGGCACTGCACGTCACCGCATAGTCCACATCGCCGACGCGGCGCGTCATGTGCTGCTGCAGCTTGGCCAGGAACTGCGGCGGCTGATGCACCTCCAGTATGATGGTGGCAATCTTGCCAATGCCCAGCTCATTGACCGCATGGCAATGGTACTTGCCCTCGTTGCCCAGATGCGCTTTGGGTATGGAGAACTGTGGTCCCTGGGCGAGTATCTTCTGGGTGTTGCCCACATCGCCGTCCATGTCGCGGAACCAGCGATACTGCGGCACCGGCCAGCCGGGCGGACTGGCCGAACAGGTGAGCGTCACACCATTGCCCACATGCACCACCGGCTTGTTGGGCGTAATGTACGCCTGGCCGGGACGATGGCGGACCAGCAGCGCCACCGTAGAGTTGCCCACACCCTCGACACGCTTCGTGTTGAACGGCTGCATGATGTTCACCGAGCGGCAGATGTAGTTGCCCGCATGCTCCGCCCGCACCGCGACGAGGGTGAGCAGCTCGCCCGTATAACGGAAATCGGGTGCACCCTCCTTCAGCCATTCGATGGTAATCGGCGACGGATTGGCGGTCACATTGCAGCGCACCAGCACGGTCTCGCCCTCCTCGGCCTCGTGCGTCTTCGATTCGATGACAACAATTGGCGGATAGAGCACATCGAGAACGATGTCCTTCTCGCCGGTCTTGCCCAGGCCATTGTCCGCACTGCAGGTGTACTTGCCGGCATGATGGCGATTCACACGATAGATCGTATGCACGGGCGTGGCACTCACATACTGGCCGTTGCGTGACCAACGCACATTGCTGACCATCGGCTTGGCGTCCACACGGCACTCCAGCTTGGCAACATGATCGCGTTCAATGCGCATGGGGTTCTGTGGGCCCACCTCCACTCGAGGGTAATCTGTGGGAAAACAAAAAGAATGGTGGGGGTTTTAGCATACAAAATAGTCAATTATTGCTACGGCTACGGTCTATGGGCTACTGGCCACTGGCTACTGGCTAGTGGTTTCTGGTTCGTTTGAGCCATTAACTTGCCAATAACCGTTTTCAATTACACGACAAGCGTCCCAAACAACAACCCAAACAACCCAACAACAGCAGCAGTCAAAGGACCTACAAGTACAAGTACTTTAGCCATAAAGGACGCTTTCCTAGCTAACGCTTGACGCTTGACGTTGACGAGGAGGAGCGTTCGTTCAAACAGCGTGACCCATCGACATTTTTAAATAATGCCAATTTGTGGGCACAAAAAAAAAAAAAACAAGGAATATTGGCTGAAATGGGAAATGGGTTTTGGTTATTGCTAGAATAACAATTTTTTTTTTTTTCTGGGTTACAGTGGCCAAATTAAGTGGATTTTTAGACAGAAATTTCTAAATATTTTGTTAAAAGAAATGAAATTTAAATTAAATTTGAATTAAATTTAAATCGATAGAACGAAGAATTTTGTAAGTTTTAGTAGTATCGATAATTATCGATAACGTCTAGGGGAATTATTTGATTAAAATTTTATTTATTTTATTTTATTTTGTATGAAAAATACAACAACAGATTGAAGCATTTGTAGGAGTTATAATAATTATCAATAAAGCATAAAGTATATCGTGTATATCGACTCCTCTACCGATGACTCGCACACATTTGTCAACCCATTTTCCCCCCAAAATGTAACTAAACATAGTAGGACCTCCTCCCGCCCAATACGTGGCTGCTCCACTCCACTCCACTCAACTCGGACACATTTCCACACGACTTTTACGCGTTTAGCTGTCCATTGTGCCCAGCGCGCGTTGGTCATTTGGTTTAAGTGCCGTTAGTTTCGTTCCGTATCGCATCGTATCGAATCGTAAAGAGGATGGGGATATATATTTCAGTCCGCCTCCGCCACCGCCCACAACTGCTGCCCATTCAAGCGTGAGGCATAATAGTGGCTAAGTATAATTGTTGCTGTTGCTGTTGTTGTTGCGCCAATTAACTTTCGAACACTTTAGTTTAATCACCGTCTGCCTGCCTGCCCCCTGCTGCAGACTCCTAACATACACCCAAAAAACCCCATGACCCGTACTACCCCAACCATCAACATTCACCCAATTGTTTTTGTTGCTGCTGTGCCCTGGCACTAATTCGTGAAACGGAGTGTAATGTGCCTGCGTCATGGTCTTCTAAGCTCCTGGAGTAGGAAACAGTGCGAGAGAACATACCAAAAAAAAATATTTATAAAAAAAAGGAGAAGGAAAATCACTCTGGATTTTGTAGAGGGAAACTTTAGGATACCCTTAAAAGATGAATCCTTGCAAAAAGGAGTTTGTAATAATATTTTTAAAAATTTGGGAATATATCTGCATAATCTAAATAAAACAAAATATAGCAAAAGCAACACAATTTTGTGAGTCGGAAATCTGTTGTTTGTCTTCTGTGCTCCCGTGAAGAATGTAGAAAAAGCACCTGAGCTACCTGAGCAACAGAGCGAGAGTCAAAATTTGCTGTAGTTCACCCTCTCCCAGTCTCAGCTCTCCCGCTTTATGCACGAGCTTTGATCCTCTCCCACGCAATGCACTCGGCCCGCTGGCATTGCTTTCGACCCATTGCTCGCTCAAACAACAAACACAGAAACAAAGCCCTGGGGTCTATAGAAAAAAAATATATGTATAAATATAAAATATATAAAAATAGAAAATATAAATAGAAAATATATAAAAATAGAAAATATAAAAATAAAATATATAAAAATAAAATATATAAAAATAAAATATATAAATATAAAATATATAAATATAAAATATATAAATTTAAAATATATAAAAATAAAATATATAAGAAAAAAATATATAAAAATAAAATATATAGAAAAAAAATATAAAACATTTATATGAAATTAAATTGGCGACCGAAGAAAATTCCGAATAATTTTATAGACAATATCGTATAAGCTGCCATTAAAAATAACAATACCCTATACGCATAGGGTATACCAAAAAAAAAAAAATCTGCGTTATCCGGGACCCAATTACGCGTCGCCTCAAAACATTAAAGCCTAACTCCTAAATGAGAGGGAAATAAACACACAAACACACACACATACACACACATACGTATATATTTACATGTAAATTGTGTGTGTGTGTGTGTGTGTTTGCTGGTGTGTGTAATTATAAAATAAAATTTAATGAGCAACGCTTGTCAGCAGCGACCAGCAGCAGTGCCCCCAGAGGGGGCAAGAAGAAGAGGAGGCAGAAGGGAAAAAAAAAATCCAGCTTGCATTTCAACACATGCTCCTCCACCCTACCCTACCCTACCCCCTGGCACCCATGGCCATTTTTATGCCCAGCCAGCCATGTAGTTTCACGCTGATGTCGGGGTGTTACCGGCACGCCCATCTACGCCCCCTAACTGCCCCTACTCCCTCATAAAAAAGAAGAAAAAAAACTATAGAGGACCCCGCGCGCTATGGCTGACATTTTCCATGAAGCTATGGTATTTTTTTGCATACAAAAATATGAACAGAAAAATTCAAGAAAAATTGGCAAAAAAAAAAGAAAAATATTTTTATTTCTTGCAGACGGGGAATAAGGATTTAATGAAGGTAGTTGTAAGAAACTTTAAGAAAATAATTACGGTTTGAGAAATTTGGAAGATAAATTTATAGGAAGAAAGAACTTGAAAAATAATAAAAATATATGCAATATAACTTATAGTTTGCAAAAAAATGTGTTAGAATGTATTTTTCATTAAAAATAATTACCCTAAAAATTTATAAAAATTTCTGATCGAGAAGAGTAAATTCCTTCAAAGAAATCTTTCAAGATTCAACTCAATTTTGTCTCTATATTTCTCAAAATAAAATGTGCTTTAATCTGTCTTTTGGCTCTTTGAACAACTGCCCTTCGAGCCCTATTAATGCTAACTTTTCCCAATTTCTCAACTAGCAGTACTCGAACAATTTTATAAAAATCCTATAAAATCTTCAAAATACTTGAGGATATTTGCAATATTTTATTACCTTTTATTTCTTTCAGAGAAAGAGCATAAAAAATTCTTAACTCTTCTCCCTTAAATTCTGGAATTCCCATTTAAATAATTTTTTTTTTTAGCGTACAACTTTTTTAAATGAGTTGCTGCTGCTGCCTGCCTGCCTGCTGCCAGCCTGCCCCATGGGCTGGACCTTGTTCACATATATGCTGCCACGCCTACACTGCCTTCCTTCGCGCAGAGCCTTGCACATTGTGATTTTATGACCGGGGTCCCTACATTAGTGCCATGAAATATGCGTTGCAACCTGCACCTGGAACGGACCACCCCACGCCATACTGCCGCCTGCCCGCCACCAACGAGATTCTGGCTTCCGGCTAGGCATTCGCGTTAAATAAAAATGAAACGTTGCGCATACGCCCGGCTGTACGCCGTACGCCGTACGCCGTACGCGTGGCCGTAACTTATGCCCGTTGGCCATTTTGTGCAGTGAAATTTAATTATTTAACCCGGAACTGGGACGCCGAACTGTGTTGTTCTTGTTCCTGTTGCTGGTTTTCGGTGCCACAGCACAGCGCAGCGACCGGCGGGGGGGGCAGCAGCAGCAACTGCAGCAGCAGCAGCAGCAGCAGCAACTGCAGCAACAGCAGCAGCAGGAAGTATCACACACACCTTCGCCGGAGTTATTTTAATGAGTCGCGCGGAGTTTGTTGTGTTTGTGACTTTAAGGCTCGTCTCACTGGCGATGAATCTCTGGCAGTGACTGCTGCTGCGTTGGACTACAGTTGTTGCCTCCTCTCCCTGACTGTTCCCTGACTCCTGCTGCTACATCCTCTCTCCCTAGACTCCCCTAGACTCGCTGCCTCCCTGGACTCCCTGCCTCCTTGTCTTGTCTCCAAATTGAAAAGTTACAACAAACACTGGAGCGGCAGAGAGAGAGTGGGGGAGAGTTGCATCTGCCACTGCTGTCGCGTACGTGTCACACAGAACACATCACGTGACTTCCGTCGCGCGTGCTGGCAACACCTCGTCGTGTGCTGCTGCTACCGCGTCATACCTCTTGCTCCCACATGCTCCCGCCATGCACCTCATTCCCATGCCTCTCCCTCATTGCTCCACGTGCTCTCCTTGCTCTCCTTGCTGCTGCCTCTTGTGGCTCTACCAATTTGCAGCCACAACAAAAATAAATACCAAAATGCCAGTGGAAATGCGTTTTTTGGGTGGCAGAGTTTCAAATTAAGCAACCAAAATGAATAGAGGAATTTCTCCTGCCTCTGAAGCAAACAAAATGAACAGAGGAATGTTTCTTTTTTGGGTCAAAAAAAAAACGAGAAAAGAACGAAGATGAACTGAAGAATAAATCGTCTACGACGATGGCCTGTATTTAAAGGGGAGCAGAGGCTGCTCGTAAGAAACAAAAAGGGTAGCAGAATATTTATATCTATATTTAGATATTTATATATTTATGTATTTATATTTTTTTATTTATATATTTTTATTTATATATTTTTATTTACTTTATTGATTTTAAATCTTTTGATAAATAATAATTATGAAAAAAAGAACAGCGCAAAAGGGTTAGAAATCCTATTTAAATATAAAAGTACTTGTTACTATAATTTAAATCTAATTGAATTAAAATGCTTAAAAAAGTTATTAATTTTTTGCTTAAAAATCTTTTTCGCATCTTTCGCAGGAATTCCTTTGATGACCAACCCAAGCAAATCTATTAAACAACGCAGCAAAAAAAAAAAACTGTAAGTATATTTTCCAGCACCATTTACATTACGTATCTTTGTGTTTTATATATTTATGTGCTGTACTGTATTGTGTGCCGTAAATGGGGACATAAAATAAATCATCCGATGCCTCATATAACATTACATTACATGCTGCACCACCGCTACCCTGCCTGCCCTCATTCTGCTGCTGCTGCTGCTGCTATTGCTACTGCTGCTTTTTGCGTTGGTGCAAAAACTTTTGTGAAGCAATCAAAGGGGGTTATAAAAACTATAGCATACTTTTTTGGATAACAAAGAGGGTCGCTCTATAGTGGGGTAAGGGACTGGGACTGGGACTGGGAACGACAGTCACTTTATTGTGCACTTGATTGCGCTTTGTGCATTGGTCCATAGGTGTCATATGCTGCTGCTGGATGCTGCAGCTGGATGGTGGGAAATTAATTGAATTGGCTTTCGTATTCGTGCTACACGTCCGTGTCGTGCCGTTCGCTACAAAAACAAAATGGTGCTGAAGAGAATGCACCCTGTCCCGTGTTCCGTGTCCCCTGTCCCGTGTCCCGTGTCCCGTATGTAGGAGTGTCCTTTATAGCACTTGCGGTTGCACCGCACAATGCACTACGATGATGATGAAGTCCCCTACCCCCTATCCTACCCCACCCACCTCTCTCATTCCATTGCCGTGTTGGTTCAACCAAAAAGTGCAGTTAATTGAAATTCGGGGCCAAAGCAATTAATTTGCTTTTGTCACAAGAGCTGTTAAGCCGGCAGAAGGACCTGCACTCAACCGAAAGAATCTTGCACTCAACTGAAAGAATCCTTTTTGCGTGGGGGGTGGGTGGTGGCTGGTGGCTGGTGGCTGTTTTGGGGGCAGAAACATTTGTTTCTATAATTTCAGGCTTTAAGCGGCTTAAAGTTTCTCTTCTTCATTGCTCCTCTCGCGTTTCTCTCGTCTCTCTTTCTCTCTCTTGAAAAAGTCTCAAGTTGAGAGCACTCGCAGGCAGCAGGTAGCAGGACTACAACAATGCCCAGGACTCGACTGCATTCATTAAAATGAATGCCAAAGCGACGCTGCCGGGCTGCCGGGCTGCTGGCTGATGGCCGCTGGCTGGAAAAACTTGAAAATCAGCTTAAGAAAACTGATGCCACACACACAAAAAAAAAAATCTCCGCTGTCCCCCGAGCCGATGCCAAAATCTTCAAGCATAACAAGTAGGAAATTCGGTTTGTCTTCGTCTTCGTCTTCTCTTTTTTTTTTTTTTATTGTTGCCTTTGTGGTTATGCAAAGCAGGCCAATAGCTGGACAGACGTGGCTTAAAGTTAAGGCCTGGTCGAAAGGCTGCCCAACACTGACACTAATTGCAATTGTGTGCAGCATTAGCCAGAGGGAGAGACAGAGAGAGAGAGATGGAGTATCCTCCGCCTTGGCTCCTGGTTTTTCGCACAGGTTCTGCTGCTGCTGCTGCTGCTGCCAGTCTCTGGTCTTGTGGCCTGTAAAAAGGTTTTCATGTTGCCAAGTCAGCAAACGTCGACTCGCCGTCGTCGTCGTCATCGCATCTTCTTGTTTTTTTTTTTTTTTTTGGCACTTTGCTTTTTGCCTTTTGGCAGTGGCATAATCAAAAAGGACAAGCCACAGCGGCATTGCTGCTGCTGCTGCTGCTGCTGCTCCGTCTCCTGCTGTGTTATCCTGTGGTGCTGCCCCACAGCCGCCTGCTGATTCCTCCTGCTGTTCCAATGTTATTGGCATCCCATAACAACGGGAACCCACCCCCCTCCCAGAGCGACGTGCTGAAGTGAGATGTGATTGTGGTTCTGCTCCCAGGGAATGCTCTCAACCGCTCGTGTCGTTAGTGTGGGGGTTTCAAGGATTTGAGGAATTTCGAGAGGTAAATAATAATAATATATATTTTTAGAACTAAAAAAATATGTGGGAAAGAAATGGAAAATATTTTCGAAAAAATGGCAAATATTTTCGAAAACATTTTCGAAAAGTGGCATCAATTTTTATATATATATAGATACCATATATTTTTAGAACTAAAAAAATATGTGATAAAAAATGAAAAATATCGAAATAGTTTCGAAAGTGGCTCAGTATTATATATATATAGATACCATATATGTTTAGAAATACAAAAATATGTGATAAAAAAATGAAAAATATTTTCGAAAATATTTCTTTCTGTTTTTAGAAGAAATTTTATAAATTTTTATCGATTGAAATATGAATTGAATTAAATCTATCGATTGAAAAATTTGTATTTGTATTACCCTTTTTTATTTGAATAGTTTCTTGTTGTCATTCGAAACTTTGCATTCTGCTCGATTGAGTTTGGAAGTTTATCTTTTGAATATTTGACCATGGGGGAAAGCAATTTTCTAGCATTTTCCCCAGCTGTCGGTTGCGCTTTTCTGTTTGTTCGCGCAATCTTCTGGCTAATGCGAATTATTGTCAGGCTGCAGGAGGTGCATTTGCATGCCACACACCTGAGCAGACGCCACACACGCCAACCCATGGCAACCCATGGCAACCGTGCAACCACTTCAACCCTGCTACACCCTACTCCACCCTGCGCGCACCCCACACATAGAGGAAGCATCCTTTTTATTCAAATTGAAATGTCTTTTCAACGGGTTTGCTTTCTACTTCAGCGGCCCACGACACATGAGTGCTGTTTGTCTTCGTCGCCAGCGACTTTTTGGCCAAGGACCTGCACCTGCACCTCCCCACCTCCCATGCCGCCGAATGCTATGCTAAAAAAGAAACGTGTGTATACAGCGTTGGGGAGGTACAGAGGGCCATGCCAAAAAGGTTTATTACGTGCACCGCATGCAACTGAACAAAAGTCACGTGCTGCTGCTGCTGCTGCTGCTGCTGCTGCTGCTGCTGGGGGGCAGGCAACACACACACACCTGGCTGCCGTCGCCACACACTAGAGGCAGGGGGGAGCCACAAAAGGAGGCGCCACCACGCCACTTCTAGGAGGAGCAGCAGCAGTAGGAGCAGCAGCATTAGATTGCATTTGCTAAACCGAAACAGATGCAACAGAGGCAAGAAATGTGGAACGTGCCTCTCACATGTGCCACACCGAAAAAAACTATGCCAAGTTGACAAGCCGCCGCCACCCACCGCCAACGCAAAAGCCACCGCCACATCGTATTTTGTCTATGCGTGGCCACGTTGCGTATGCGCAACTTGATGTCCTTGCCAAACGTGTGTGCCTGTGTGCCTGTGTGCCTGCCTCCTCGCTGCCATGCCATGCCATGCCATGAAAAGCCTGCCCCAGAAATAAATGCATTTTTGATTCCATCTAAAGAGAAAGAGAGTGCACCTCCATTTTCAATAATTTCATTTGGGGCATTTCGACACGTTATAAAACACTCAACAGTCGAACGAAACGAACAGCAGGCGAACCAGAGTCAGAGTCAGAGTCAGAGACAGAGTCCTTGCCGCCGCGATGACAACATGACGCATTGGGGAGTTTAGTTTTTCCCAAAAATATTTCTTCTTTTCTATATTTATATTTTCTATACCCTTTTCGAGCAGGCGAGTCTTATGATTTTCAGAAAATTTATCACAATGCAAAAAAACCAGAAATGTAGGAGGTAGGAGTGGGAGGAAAAGGTGGAAGAAGATGGATGTTAGGAGTGGAAGAAAAGAGGTGGAAGAAGATGGAAATTGACAAAATTTGAATGTGAGAGGCAAAAACCAATGAATATCGAATGAATGAATGAATGAATGAAATATTAAATTTAGTATATTGTTAAATATTAAATTTAATATATTATTTAATATTAAATTTAATATATTATTTAATATTAAATTTAATATATTATTTAATATATTGTTTAAAATTAAATTTAATATATTATTTCATATTAAATTTAAGATATAATTTAATATTTAATTTAATATATTATTTAATATTAAATTTAATATATTATTAAATATTGAATTTAATATATTATTTAATATAATATTAAATAGATTGCTTTTCGATATGAAATCAAGTAAACAATTGTATATCGATAATAGCTATATGGCATATAAAATCGTCAAGATCGGATGACTATGTTGCGATATCTTAAGTAAATTCATTTGAAAATTATATTTTCTTTAGGGAAATCAAGCCTTTAAATCAAAGGCAGATATTGTACATATTGCTTAAATATATATAGATCGTCTATAGGCAATAGATCTTTAAGGGTATCCACTGATTCGTTCTTCCCACTATGGTTTTTTTGTTGTTGCATATTTGATGTTTCCTTGTGGCATAAATCAATCAAACGCAGCCACAACACGCAACGCACACAGCGAAAAAGACAGTGAGAAAGCGGCACGGGGGTGGCACGAGAAATAAACAGAAGCAGCAAGAGCAAACGAAGATACAGTTATGGAGGAGATGGAGAGAAGGCAAGAAGAAGAGTCAGCCAAGAGAAAGCTGGAGAAATGACACTGGCAGAGCCAAAAAGAATCCATGCAAACATTTTCAATTAAAAAATTGCCCTGCCATTTGTCATGCTGTTGCTGCGTGTTCCCCTTCCGCTCGTTTGCTCCTCTCCCTACCTTCGCTTACACCTCCTTCTCTTTTCCTATATCTTCGTTGGCTTGCTCTGCCCTCTCTCATCTGGTGCTATCAATTGCTTATCAATCACAATCACAGTCATGCGACAGTCGTGTCTTCTTTGCCTTTGCCTTTGCTTTCGCATTCATATCAGTCTCAATGCAGGCTGCCTGGCTGCCTGCCTGCCCGCCTGCCTGCTGTTGCTGATGTCATCACCCCCTGTACATCAGGGAAATGGATGCAGCAGAGTGCTGGAACGGGGGGGGTGTGATATCTAATTTTCTAGTTGCAGAAAAGAAATGTGAAAAAAAGGAAAGGGGAAAAATGTGTGCGTGGAAACCTGACAGAAACTGATGAGGTTATTTTTTTTTTTAATTTTTAATTTCTAATGAGATGTGGAAGTTGTAGGGGGAGAGAATTCGAGAGATTAAAGCTGAATCATGGATGGGAAAATTTTGTTCATTTGCTAACTTACTTCCATCTTAAGCTTTAGTTGTTAGCCCCAAATACAGATAAATATTAAACCACTGCTAAGATCCACACAAAACCGCTTGCTGCATGCCCCAAAGGCTTTTCAAACTCTCTCTCTCTCTGTCTGTCATTACAATGTAAGTCAAACTGTATTGGTTGCCCCCAAGGCATTTTCCCAAGCCATTCAAAAGCCAAAATGCTCCCAATTCAATTGTTGAACGTCGAACGTCGTCGTAGGTGCCCCGTGGCGGCTCTCTTCAAAATGCACCTTCGAGGCACACTTTTGACTTGTGGGGGGGAGCACACAAACACACACACAGACACCCATAGACACCCATAGAGCGTGGTATGTGAGGTTGCTGTTGTTGTTGCTCTGTGGCCTAGGCTGCTGACTCTTGCTGCTAATGGATTTTAAATGAGCATCATAAATACCAGCGTCGTTGGGAGTCGGTAGAAAAATTGCAACTGCCACGCCTTCTAACCCATAAAAGGAGTTCTACTTTGGCTCCAGTTGTACTCCTCCTCCCTGCCCCACTACCCTACCCTACCACCAGCTCTCCGCCATTTTCTCTAGCGTCTTTGCCTTTGGCTGGTTGTCATTTATTCTTGTTTCTGTTTGTTGTCTGTTATGCTGCTCGGTTCGTGCTACTTATTCTTTTATTATTATTATTTCGGGTTTTGTAGCCTGTAGAAGTTGAAGAAAACGGGCTTATACCCTGTACAAGTAGAATAAAAAGGGTTTATACCCTGTACAAGTAGTCGAAAAGGTAGAAAAGAGTTCTGGCAGAGGGTTTTATTGGAAGAAATGCAGGGAGGCTTTATTTGGGGGGCAAGAATTGGAATAATTTATCTTTGAGTCTTATTTAAATTTTTGGGCCTCAGAAAGTGCTTTATAAAAAACCCAAAAATTATATGTAACGTCGGGGTATTCCATAGGTCTAACCACTGCTAGCTCCAAAAATCGTGTCGTGTATTTTCTTGTTGTATTTTTTCTTACTTTTTGGTGGTTTTTCTATTATATTTTTGTGTGTGTGTGTGTGTGTTGTGTTTGTTGCCAAATAGCAAGGACTATAAATATTTGTTACGCTGACAACAACGACCAGATACACACATACATATAACACATTCAGATACATATATATACAGGCAGATACATATATGAGTTCTAGCTCTCTGGTGTCGCTGTCTACTTTTGCGGCTTGTACCGCAATTTATGTTTTCCTGCGACTACACGACGAGAAAAATGGCACTGAGAATCGAGTTACAAAATACAAAAATAAACATGCCACATATTCAAATGAAATATTTTCATATTTAAATGAAATATTTTCATATTTAAATGAAATATTTTTATATTTAAATGAAATATTTTCCGTATTTAAATGTGTGTTTTAAATTAAGCTTAAAAATGATCCGCATTAAAAAATACTCTGCAATACATTTATGTTTAAATCAAAGTAAATTATTTTTTAATTTCATTATTTTTTTACCTAAAACCTGAATATTTAATTCGAATATTATTCCTTTTTATTATGCCATGTTTCGCTGAGTGTATGGAATATACATTTCTGTCCCACTATATTTTTTTCTTGTTCCTTTTTCATGGCTTTTAGTAGTTTGTTACTTTATTTGAGTGCATAAATTCTATGCAGATTCTCTCATAACCTGATGATGATTTTTTATTAAATGCAAACTCAATGGAAAAAAGTGACAAGTAGATTGCGCATACGCAGCGCAGCGCAGCGTGTTGGCTCAACATTTAATATCCTGAGGCATTCTAATACACATGTACACGTACTCGTGTGTGTGTTCTTGTGTGTGTGTGTGTGTGTGTGTGTCCCACAACTAATATGACAAGTTGATTCTACAACCAGACGACACAGGCAGCGACCCTCCCCCATGTGTCGCCTCCTGGTGTAGTCCTGTGGTCCAATAACTAACAATCAAGTGGGTTGCACGAACAACATGTCTCTCTGTTTGTGTGTGTATGTGTGTGTGTGTGGTTGCAGACACTTTATGTGTCTGTCATGTGCTTGGATTTTTCGGTCACGTGGATCATGCGACGACAACATTTGCCACGAGAATTGGTAACATATGTTCTCATAAAAGCATTTGCCAAACTTTAATTACAAAAGAAATGCTGCCACAAGGCCAAGTGGATTGGCATGTATTTCTGAGGAAATGCAATAAACTTTTGCCCAGGCCATAAATGTAGCATTGAAGTTTGTTTTGTGTTGCTTGCACTTTGGTTTTTAATTGGCGCAACATGAGGCATTCGACACATGCAGATGTTCTCTTCTAATGAAGATTGACGTAGCAAAGTGAATGAGAGAGAGATTGATGTTTCAAGTATGAATACGCAGACACTGCCAAAGCTCCAGAAAAGAGCTAATCCCCAAGGCGAAATCGTCAGGGTCCTTGCTGGATCGTGGCTCAAACTGAGCCCCCATCGAAGCGTACCCTGAAGCACCACACACAAAGGGGACTGCAAGGACATGCTTTGCATTGAACTCATTCACCTTGTTGCAGAGCAGGATCTGTGGCGTTCACTCGGATCGAGTGCGCGGCAGCATAACCAACGCCGTCACTTCCCATCAGCCAATTCCATAGCCAATCAGCAGTATCCAAATTTTATATCGAACATTAATTCTGCCCACTCGTACCCGCATAATTTGAGGGGTTTTATGATCCTATTAAAGCACAAAGCTCGACTTGCAAACGATTTCAGCAAATCCCACAAAAATTTTGAATTTAAAATACAAAAAATACATTCACAAAAGTCGGAGATTGTTTTCCGTTAAAAAATGAGTACCGGGTGCCAGAAAATATATTCGGCTATAGATTTCAGCCACCTCTTGAGTTCTTCCACTCCTTTGGCTGCCAAATAAATTAACTAAAAATTAGACCAAACATTTGCTATAAATCTAAATGGTTTTTGAAGCAGCCAAACTTCATAAGCAAATTTGTTATTGTTGTCTGGCGGCGGCCGATAATACAAATTCTTCAGTCTCAAGTCGTAAATTCACCGGCTGACCCACCAATTCAACCTCATCAAGCCCCGAGGCACACAGAGTCACAGCCCCAGCCCCAGCCAAACCCAAACCCCATTTAACATCTACTCCTCGTACTCACAGTTGACGTTTAGAGAGACGCTGGTCTCGAGCGTATGGCCCTCCGGCATGGCACGATTCCAAACGACACATTTGTATTTGGCGCCATCGTCGGCCCGTCTGGGTACAATCTGTAGTGTGGCGTTTGTGTAGTGGTTCTTGGAGCCGCCCTTTAGAGCATACGACTGCAGTGGCACGGTGCTGCCCTCACGATACCAGCTGCAAACAGTAAGAGAAAAATGGTACGAATCAGAATGGATAGCAAGGAGACAAGGATTTAGTGCCAAAAAAAAAATGAGTATGGAAAAGTTAAGACAACGACTAGGTGTTATCTGTTAGGGAAGCAAAAAAAAAAAAAATAAAGGTTATGGGCAGTAGATTTTAAATTTCAATTTGGATGATATTTGATAATTATCAAAATTATAATAAAATAATAATAATTATAATTATTATAATAATAATATTATTATTATTATATTATATTAAATATTGTATTATATATTATATTATTATAAATTATAATAATAATAATAAAAAATAGCAATTATTGTGCCAGAACTCCTATTAAATATAAGATATATCGCTGTAATATTCTGGAGGTATCAAAAAGGGTTTTCAATCGTTTTCGGATAGAAAAAAAAGACAGAAAGCTAAGAATTACTACACCCTGGGATACGAAGTCTTAAAAGCCAATATACCCATCGCTATTAAGGGTATTTACAAAGCACTAGCTGCAGTAACCATGTGCGACAGACGGATTATTAATGAAGGCTATCGCATTGCCCGTTAAGTGATTTACTTAACCACAAAACCACACCGAAAGCCAAAAAAAAGAAAGAATTAAGAGAGCAAGCGAATGCGAGCGAGAAGCACATCAATTTAAATTTTCTTTTGGCCTTTGGGCTGGCTGGGCCCCTCCCTCCGCTCCTGCTCCTCTGCTCCCCTGCTCCCCTGCTCCCCTGCTTACGTTATCATGGGATCCGGCGAGCCGCCAATGCTGCTGCAGGTCAACTCCAAAGGCTTCTCCTCGGTGGCCACCGCAATGTTGCCCGGCGTGACCATCGGCGGATGTGGGGCCGTCAGCACCGTCAAATTGTAGAACTCTTGGTGCACATCCGCCCCGGTTCCTTTGGCCTTAATGCGGCACTCGAAGCGTCCATTGTCACGATTGTAGGAGGTATTCTTTATTTGCAGATCGTAAATGCCGCGACCCGGTCGAAAGTCCAAGCTGCAAGAACCAAACAGAGAGAGGAATACGTTGAAGAATTATATTATATTAATTTTTTTTTTTTTTGCCATAATAAGAAGTATGGCGGAAAATGCAAAGGAAAAAAATTAAGAGGGTAAAAGAGGGCTTCGGTTAAGTACGTTGTGGCAGGACACGGGAAAAAGTTTTACTTTATGTAAATTAACTGCGGGCAGGGCGCAGCACTTCCTTTTTGTTGTTGTTGCTGTTGATTTACAATACAAAAATCTGCATACATACATACATATGTAAATACACACACATATTTCTATACAATATTTTTGTATTTATCTTTATATAAATGTACAATCGATTATTTACGCATTTCTGTTGAGTTAATGCTTCGCTGGTCGTGTAGGGTATGAAAGGCCGTTGAGTTTCATTTGTAACGATTGGTTTTTGCAAAAACAAATACTAGAAAAAATATATAATACATACACAAAATATTTACAATAATAAAAATTACAAAAACAAAAAATCACACGAGAAAATTCCATGGTTCTTTGCAAAATAAATATTGGGAAATATATCGAACCTTAATAGTTTTTAAACTAATTTTTATCTGAGAACATCATTAGGTAGGGATAATTAATTTTGAAGGACAAAGTTTTCGATCTTTTAAAAAGTTAATTTCATTTGTTTAAAGATTGAAAATATTATAGAGAAAGATACTAGTTTTAAATCTATTTTATTTTTGTTTTGTATTATTGTTTCATTATTTTCATTATTATTTTAGTGAGTGGTGGATCCAAATGATTATTATTTTATGCTGTTATATGTATTTTTGTTTTATTAAATTTGAGAAAAATTCGAATGTCGTGTAGAATCCAACAATGAAAATTACGACTCATAGAAACTATGCATAAATCTCTGAACAATGGGCAAACTGTATTACTTTATGAAAGGCTTAAATAACTTTTATTTTAATCACCAAAAAAAAGCAATAAGCAGTACGAGTAGTCGATAAAGTAATCCAGTCTATTGAGACTTTTATTCTCTTTCATTCTCCTCTAGAACTGCCATAGTTCTTTTTCTTTCCACCCATAACTAAACTTTGAATGTAGAGCATCCTTTAGTCCACATCTCCAGAGAATGTGAAATAAATTTCTGTTCACTTGTTTTCGTTAAGTAGCTTTTCCCCCACTGCCTCTGAATGGTTGGGGTCCCGTCCGGGTCTCCCACTTGAGCTTCATCTCCTGGCATTGCCATTGCCATTGCCTCTGCGCTTGTTGTTCATTTTCATTCTCCTTCTGTTTTCCGAGCTTTTCCTTTTTGTTTTGTTTGTTGGTGTTGTGTTGTGTGTGTGTTTTTGGGTTTTTCTCTCGATTTCATTTTGGTGGGGGGCTTAAGAGCCATGGACCAGGGCTCTCAGCTCGGCTCGTGCCCGGCGTGAAATAAAATGAAAAATGCTCATGGCAAATTAAGCGTCGAACTCATTTTTGTAAATTTATTAGCTCAATTTCGGCTGGACGCTGGCCTGAACATTACATTTTTATTAATTTAACATGGATGTTGGGAGTGCTGTGCCACCTTGATGATGATGGCAATGGACGGGAGGATTGAGGATTGACTTCTGGCTGAAAAACCAAATGGAAAAACTCAATCAACTGTTGCATAAAAGCCAGCCTCAGCTCAGCCTCAGTCTCCTCTTCTAAGGATATTCTTATTCAACAACATTTTCTCATCTAGGCTCTGGCGGCTTTTGTATTTAAGTTTTAATTTCTTATGATGAGATTTTTAGCTCGAACTGCAGATGGCATTCCAGATGAAGAAAGAGTGAGGAGTAGTAGGAGGAGGAGCGCTCGTAGGAGCACTCGACATTATTAAAGTGGATCTCGTATAAAGTTCTTCAGTTCTGTTCTGCACGCGAAACGCGAGGCCGAATGAGATGCAAAGTTTGCTTGTTTTGGTTTTTTTCTTTCCTTTTTTTTTTTTTTGTGGAAATAAAATGAAAGAAATTTTCAATTTTGATAACTTTCCACGAGGAATGTGTGTGGGCGAAAATTGGGGGGTGCTCGACGGTAGGAGTGGTAGAAAGTGGAGAGGAAATGGATGTCTTTTGTACAGGAGCTGCACGATTTTTTTTTTTTTTGATTCTCTTTGGTTTCTCTTGGTATGGGATATAATGATTTTGAAGAGGTGTTTGAAAAAGGAATAATTATTAAAAAAAAAAAGAAAAATAAAAGGAACATCCAGAAAATACCAGAATTTACTAAAATAATAGACAAAATACTGGAGCAATGCTATAAATCAAGTACCATGAAAATACTATAAATTGTAACCATAGTACCAGAATATACCACAGGTAAAAAAAAGGTTCCAGACTGATTGCAATGCAATGAAAATAAGAGACTCATATTTTAAATGCCAGAAAATTTTAAGAAAGTAAAGCAAAATACTAGAAAGAAGATGTAAAAAAAATGCCTGAAAATACCATTAAAATACTAGGAATATTCTGCAAATAGATATAAATTTATTTTTAAATAATTTCGAACTGCTTTCCACTGTTTTTCAAAGAGTTTCTTAGAAGAATTTTCGCAGCATAGGGTATCAGCAAGTCGCAATGTCAAGTCACTCTTTATTTTTTATATTTTTGCTGGTGCTACTACTGCCTCTGCCTCTGCTTTTGCCATTGCATTTCCGGCAGCGACTTTTACGAGGCGGCTGCTGTCTTGAAAGGATCCTTAAGAGTGTGACGCTAGTGGGAGGTGGGGGGGCAGATGCTTAAGAGTTTGGGTGGTGAGGAAGTTGAGTACGGGTGGGAGTCAGTCGCAAGGAATGTGTGTGGGTGTGTGTGTGTGTTTGAGAGTGGAGTGCAGCTCAAGCGAAGCACATAATTGCCTCTGCCATGGGCCTCAGTCGTCCCTCAGTCGAAAAGAGGGAATTTCTAATGTGTATATAAGTGGCGCTGCCTGATGCTGCCACTGCCACTGCTCCATCTCCATCCTCAATTTTATTCCTCATATTCTGCTGCCCCATCATCTGGGTCTTGTTCTTGTTCTTCCTCCTCTTTTTGGTTATTATGTTGCATCGTCGTCGTAGTCGCAGGACTTATGCAAAACAGTCGCAGAATTGTTATGCAAATTGTAGCCAATTACATGAGAATGCCGCCGCCTTCCGCCTCAATGAGTTGCAACAAGCGGCGCGCTCAGTGCCACAGCAGAGGTACATACATATGTATGGGTGTATGCTTGTGTGTGTGTGTGTGTGTGTGCTGTAGAAAGTCCTTCAAGGAAAGTATTGAACAATTACACTGAGCTACATGAGCTCAGGGAAAGTAGATAATAGGGAAAGCCATTCGGCTGATTGATTTTCCTCGTCTTCTGCGTAGTTGGCAAATAGTTTTTAGCTCTTCAAAATGAAACCTTGTTGCACAGTGTAGCTGTGCTATAGGCGGGGGCAGCGTTTCGGCCACAAATGACGACCAGGACTCGTCTCAACTGAGGAAACTTCCACTATCAATGGGCGAGGGGTGGGGAGGGTTGTTAGAGCTGGGAGAGGGCTGGGGGAAAAACCTGAGGCAATCGACCAGGCCACTTGGCTTGTTAACGATAACTAAAGCTCAATTTTCCTCGAGAGAGAGAAAAAAAAACTCTATAAATAGTTGGGATAAAGGCTGAAGGGGAAGGATGGTTGGGAGGGGAGGGCGGTAGTGCGGGCAGGCAGGCAGGATTCCATGGGCAAGACACCGTGGCTGATTATGTTATTATCGGTTTAGTATCGAAGTCTTATGGCTCTCGTCGCTGGTTACCCGCGTCTCATGTCTCATGTAATTCAATTTACCGAGACAACCCTCCCTCCGTGCTCACTGCACCCTGCCCTCCCTGCTCTCTACCTCGTGCCGCGTCCTCTGCGTCCTTGCTTCGATTCGCATGCCAAGGAGTCGTCTCATGAAAGTAATAAACTTTTCTTCGCCTTCTTTTTTTTTTTTTTTTTCTTTCTTTCGCTTTGGCGTTGAAAAAAGTTGCCAAGAAAAAGGAAGCTGAACGGGAAAAAAGAAAACAACAGAAAAAAAAGAAAATAAAATGTAAACGCGCCAAATTTGACGCGTGGCAAAGGACTCGACGAGCGAGAGAGAACCCGCCTGAAACGATGTGCGTTATGTGCGGATAATTGACTTTTAAAATGTGTGTGCGATATCACAAGAACAACAGCAACAGCAGCAGCAGCAACAGGGAGAGGGAGAGCGAATGGGGATGCGACGTTGGGAAAGGTCCTGACGTATAATTAAACGGCATATTGTCACGCATCCCTAAAGCTCAAACCGAGAGGGAAAGTGAAAGAGCCAAGGGTGTGTCGAATGCGTGAGGGTTGTGATGGGGCGGGTAGTGGCGGAGGGTGCCAGTCAGTAGGGGAAGAAAACGGATATATGGTAGGGTCTCTGTCTTTCGCCTCAGTTCGGACCATTAAATATTGTGTGCTTGCTCACTGTTGTGCACCCTTTGTTGCTGTTTAAACTTTTACTTTCGCATCGCGAAGACAATGAGGGGCCGGCAGTATTTAGAGGGTTGGTGGAACCTGCTGTTGGCTTTAGGGGGAAGGGCAGCGACTAACAGGTATTATTAGTTGAAAAGAATCTTTAATGAAAGCTGCAACTTGGATTAAAACTGCATCAGGAACAGGACTAAGCTGTAAGGCAAAGCTCGAAAGATGCTCAAGACTCAAATGCACACTGCAGAATGACAGCGAAAGAAGCTAAGACTTATTGAGATTTAGGAAGTTCTTAGGTTCGCAAGAGCGAGGAATAATAACTCTAAGAGAGAGAGCAAAGATGCTTAAGACAAATGCAATTGAAGATAATAAAATAAATGGAAATTCTGCAAGGATATTCAAATAATTTTGACTACTTGATTATTTTTTTAAATTTATTTTTTTATACGATACATACGGACTTAAACACCAAAAATACTTAAGCAAATGCCAAATAATATAAGAAGATTAAATACCAACAAAGTAAGAGAAAAAAGCTTGAAAATTACATA